GTACATTTAACGAAACGCCAACAATGAGGAAACACTTAATAAATCAATCAATTGCAATCATGTGCAAAATTTACCTGGTCTTATAAATCGTATAAAAATTTCTTATATATTCGATCTAGCTTATAATTAACTTAAGAATACGATATATTTTGGGGGGAATTTGTTGTTTAATGCCTGCCTTTTTTGCAACGAGAAACATTTTGTCACGATCTGATCGCATAAGCTCAATTTATCTATCTTTAGGAAAAAAGTACATTATTTATTCATCATCGTCGTTGATTTCCGGTTACAAGATTAATTATATACAATATATTTTCGCTCTCGTACGACAGATCGTGGCGCATTTCTCGCAAAAGCGAATCGAAAAATAAGTCAGAGATACGCGAGAGAGATAGCGAGTATTCTTATTCTTTTTTTCTCTTTGTAAATAAAATTTTGCAAGTACAAGCGGTAATTAAGGCGTCGTAATTAAGGCGAGTGCAAGCTTCAGGGAAGCGCAATTAAAAGTAAAAAAAATTTTTTAATAAAAATTTCTTGAAAAGATTAATTGTCAAAAAAAATAGACATATATTTATTTGCAGCGAATGAGCGTCCTTTTTAATTTCGAAATTTATTTTTTTTAATTGTAGGTTTTAATTGTAATTAGAAAGAAGGACGCAGAAAGTTGAGCTGCAATGCAAACTAGTTTTGACATTAATACGATAATAGCTATCGATGAGATATTTGATCGAAAATCGCCTTTATAAGTTCTATATTCGCAAAATATCGATCTATCATTCAATTCGCCACCAAATTATCATATGGATTTTTTTATAAAATTAATTTTTACTCTTTTATAGAGCACAATAAAAGATAAAAATGAACAAAGATGAAAAAATGACAATATTTCAAAGAAAATTGAAAAAACTTAAAATTCATAGAAAATACATTATTTAATAATAAAAAAATGATTAAAAACTCAAAATTAGGAAAAATTGTTGAAAAATCTGAGACAAAAATATTTGTACCGAATCACACGGTATTAATTTGAAAGATATATTATCAAAAAAATAAAAAATGGTTTTTTCAAGTAGTTCTCAAAGCTTTTTAGCATACAAAAAATTACTAAATAAAATTAATTTCTCAAAACGTACACAACGTGACTAAATGATCTTTAAAAAAGATATAAAAATATAATTTAATATTTACTTTTTCGAAAATAATGTACCCAGAATCGAAAAAGAATATTAAAAAATAATTTGTTTAACATATATGTGAAAGTAATTTAATAGTAGTGACGATTAAATAATTTTTTTCGATTATTAAAATTACTATTTCTGCTAAGAAAAATAGATCAATTTGTTTAATGGGATAATTTTTGTGTTAAAAAGCTATAAATTTTTTTCAAAAACCTACGTATTTTTTTAATTTGTCGCAAACCCTTATCTTCAAAATTAATGTTGTAATTTAGTACAAATAATGCCGTTTCAGATTTCTTAATAATTTTTTCCAATTAAAAATTAGGGTCATTTTAAAAATTATTATAAATATATTTCCTACGAATTTTAAAATGTTTTGATAATTATTTACATTAATGGACACTCCTCCGATGATTATTATTACCCTCTTTTAATCCTCTTTGCTCACAATCAAATTTGCAAAATATAAAATCTTAATTTAAATATATGGCCGGTAATTGTTTTACATTCTTTTTCTCTCTCTTTTTTCTAATCAATCCTTATTTTCGTTCCCTGTTTCACTCTCTCTTTTTCAACTTTTCATTATTATAGTATACTTATTATATATTATATATATATAAGTTTATATTTAACCGCAATTAGTAAATATAATAATTGCAAGCTTATACTAATTTAATTCATATTATTTACATTGTTTGTGTATGTTTATGTTCAAATATTAAATCCACATTCATCTTCTATGCAATGAGAATCTCTCATTTTTTTCTTATTCTTTCTTAAATCATTAGCTGTCTCTATTACTTTCATTTTCATACATTAATAAACGATTCACTTATAATCAAACTCGACAAATCATGAACAAAAAAAATATTAAACCAGGGAAATTTATTTATACCGTTAAAAGTGATTTTAGATTGTAATATTCTATTTATGAATAATATGCAAAAAATAATATCTTTTTTATCGCGGATTAATCTCGTTTATATTCGAATTATAGCATTGTTAATTATTTTCTAATTACTTCTTGCTGATATAATTATCATACAACTAGAATAACGTAATAAACTCATAAGTTATTCGAACTTGGTGGTTTAATATTTAACTACTACCGCTAAAACTCGCTCTCTTTTTAACAATATTTAATGATTTATTTCTACGGCGATTAAAGGCAATAATTGGAAATTGATTTCCGGAAAGCGATAAAAAAGAACGGAAACATTTACAATTTATTCGTGTATAAATGGATGTGCGCATTGACGTATAAATAATAAAGGCACGTCTATATCCAAATAGCAAAGTGACGTCATTAAACGTCAAAGTAACATCACTTTGACGTCAATTTGCTACTTGGATATAGACTTGTTTAATTGCATAATACACGATATATACACAAAAAACTCAACCAATCACGCGTCTATATAAAAAATACAAGTTATTAATGTTCATATTAGACACTAGATTAATTAATTTCTCTCTGCATTATGCGGTTATGCAAATGTGTCTAGATAAAACTTAAATGATTTTTTCAATAACTCTTTCAATTGTAAATTGTTTAAATTTTCAATGTTTTATGCATTATTCAAATAAAGATGGAAAATATAAAAATTTTAAATAGATGAGTTAAAAGTTAACAATTGATAAAATTTTATCCTCGGTTTTTCCACTGTAACAATATTTTCGATACATCCTGCTAATTTGTTTACAATACTAATACATATATCTGCTTGACGAGGCGGAGTATTAATAATGCATGTCTATCTTTAGCTGAGAAACATCGCTGCGCTTTTAAAATGCCGCAAAATTGTACTATTTGCAATAGAAAATGAAGATCGCTAGTTCTCTCCTTTTGCATTATTTATCGATTGTAAAGAGTAGTCTACAGACATTTATTTATTTGAATATAGGAACGAGTCGCCTTATCGTAATAAGAGATTTTAGATTAATATTTAAAAAGAGAAGCTATGCCGGAGAAGCCAAAATGCTCGCTAAAAAATCATAATTTTGATTCATGTGAATGTTCTATACATATTATTATTATATAATCTAATTGTAATTAATAAGAATCTCGAAGATCGCGATGCTAGTAAGAAGTATCATATTAATTTAGCATATCCCAGATAAGAACATCATCTTTTCCAACTACCTATGTACATCGCATTCTCGAAAATCGATGAGTTTCAAGATATTCGGGCGCTCAACGCTCGTTATTTTCCATCCGTTTTATTTTTCTATATATCAAGCCTTTTCTCTTCTCTTCGTGAACATCTATCACGATGTAGCCTTCTATAAATCTTTACTTAAAAACAGAGTGCTCAACATGCATTTACGGTATAGACCTTACTATATCATTTTTCTCACTAAGAAGTCGATAGGGATAATCTCGAGATATGTCTTGTGTTAAGAATAATCGTTATAATTATATACTTAACTCTCGATTTGGGAAAGTGCAAAATTTTTTACTGCTTTTTCTATTAATATACATATACACTATACATTGTATACATACACTATGTATACAATGGATATTTCCAACAATAATTTGTAAATAAAATAATAATACAAAATCTTGATGCGCTTGTTTGTTCAACAGTTTTTTCATTTCTGTAATGTTTGAATTTTGCCTTGAAAATACTTTAATCAAATTTAATAATTATTTCACTTTTTTCTTCGTTTGTACACAATAAAAATAAAATTAAATATTCCAAAAAAAAAAAAAGTGATTGATGTAAAATTGATATAATCTTAAAATCTGAAATAGATAAATTAATTTTGAAAAAATTTAAAAATAATTTGATATAAAAAATAAAGAAATTTTTTTGAAAGTCTTCTTGTTTCGTTTAATAGTTCTTTTAAACAATTCTTTTTCACTTTCAAACATGCAGAACACATTTTGTATATGTGCATATATTATACATGCATACATACATGTACAAGTAAATACGTATATTATATATATACATATATACATATGTATGTACACATACATATGTTTATTTCTTTTTCTATACTACTTATATTAAATAACGCATTTTTTAATTGTTTTATTGTGGATTTATTATGGATTTCAAGTATATCTTCATCGAGTCAATTTTCTTTTTGCAAGGAACGAGAAAAATTATATATATATTATAAATATACAGAATGTTTCAAAATCACGGAATATCATTTTCATAACAGATTTTCAAATTTATTAAATGGAGACCATTTTTTCTCAGCAAAAATGTTAAGGCATTAATCATTTCCAACTTCTAAACAATTTGCGAAAAAAGAATTTTTCGCAAACTAACTTTGTAAAGTTAAAAGATTAACAAAACTAATTTCTTTGGTTAATTTGAAGTTTATTTAAATGAAATTTTAAATTAAAAAGTTTATTTACAGGACTGTATATGACAAAAATTTGGAAATTTTGCAAGAAATGATGAGCTCTCTCAATATTTTTGCTGAAGAAAAATGATCTCAAAAATCTGTCAGCAGGTGATGTGTCATCCTGTATATATAATATATGTATATATGTATATATTTATTCTTTCTCCCGCATATTATTATTGACGTACTTATATTTGTTATTAATATTTTCTAATGTATGGAAACCTGCTCTTTCTCTCTTTTTGTTCATCGTGCGTGGAAAAAATCTCTCGGCGCGTTTTTTGCATTTGATCATATGATTTCATGTTTCTAAATGGATGTGGAAATGCAAATTCGATATAAATTTAGTCGGATTGCTTTGAGAAGAGATTTTCATATAATAGGATTAAAAATTTGATCAAGAAATTATATCACATTTTATAATAATAAATTATAAATAAACAGAAATTATATATAATTTGCAGGATAATATATAATTTATAATTTATCGAAATAACAATAATGTATTCCGAGCAACGGCGTTTGTAATTTTTCTAGCTAACGAATAAAACATGCCTAAATGCAAAAGCATTATTTATAAACTTAACAGACGAAAAAATCAGCGATTATTGCACAGAAAAATGTTTTGCAATAATATCCAATGTGAAAAAAAACAATATCAATGTGTCATATTATATTGCACTTAAGTCTCGTTATTTATAACAAACACATTTCTTTATAATATACTTTACACTTCATTTCCTGAATCCCTTTCTTCGTATGATTCTTCATGTGTCGCACTATGTAGGCTTTTTTTATTTAAATACACGCCACTGATTCCGTGAGATTCATGACGATGTTCGATCTGGAGGCGATTTGGAAATATATATCTTTCTCGGAGAGTTATTTATTTTACGAACTGAATAGTATAATATCAATTCTTTTTAATATTACTGTATTCTATATAATAACTTTTTCTGTATGTAATTTTTTTTAGATTCCAAGTTCAAAGAAAATTCACGCGCGCGCATGTATTTCTCGAAATATAATCAAGTATATGTGTGAACTTTGAAAATGAAAATAAATGTAGAATTCGCACTAAAAATTTCGATGTTTCGAAATTTCGTTCACATAACAAATGACTGCACTATTCCCATTTATTGTTGCCTCTTGATCTTCTCCCTATTACTGCTGATGGAAAGATTAATTCATATTTAGACTTCATAATCTTCTACGGCGTATAGATGCGGTTCATACGCTTTTTGTATTTCTCTATCAAGACGACGTTCCAAAGGAGCGTCCTCTTGTCGAAGGAAACCTCACCAGAATCTCTGAGCACTGTCCCATAAATTTTTCAGACTCGATCGGAATTCGAAGCGAAGGTTCTGATAGTATCACGCTATGTTGTTACCACTCATCGTGGTGACACATTTCTTCTCGGGCGTGTTCTGGCTCTCCGAATTACTTCGCACTGCTTTAGGGGAGCTGCCCGGCGTGGACGTTGCGTCGCTCGGCAGGGCATTGTTATTATTCGTCGACGTCGAGCTTCTTCGACCGTTTTCGCGAGTCGGTGACTTCACGTCAAACACCGACGTGTCCGACTCGATGTCCGAATCGATCTGAAATACCAGATTTTTTTTCATTAATTCTTTATTTCGTATATAGGAATATGGGAGTCCGTGTATGCACAAGACTCAACGTATTCCTTGTGTTAAAATAAAAAGTTTATATAACATAAGGAATATGTCCTACAAAGTCCTAGTATTTCGTAAACACAAATAAGCAAATATACAAATAATATTTTATATATAATTAGATATCCAGATAGGAAACATGTTATATTGACGTCGAATGATGTCATCAGACATCAAAATGACGTCAGTTTGCTACTTGAATATAGTATTTTATTATATATATGGACTTTATTTCCTCGAGGTTTTATAAACAAAATAAGATGAACAAGATTAATATTTTTTTATGTCTTTGTTAATTGATGTACATCCAGTAAGAATTAAATTAAACTTATTAAATTCGTGAAAAAAAACGACCAATACTGGACTACAAAAATTTTTCTTTATTTATTTAATTCATGACGTTTCGACCTGTGGTTTAGGTCTTTATCAAATGATTAATTCTTTTATAAGATGTCAATATAATTAAAGTGGTGTTAATTTTTTTAAAAAACATTTCAATCACACTATGTATTAAAACTTGTGTCTCTCAGGACATCTCGTTGTTATGTGAAAATAAGATTTTATCCCAAGTAGCAAGCATATTTCATTTTGACGTCAGTTTGCTACTAGATAGTCACAGTAATTATTATGATATCACTTTGACGTCAAAATAACGTAATTTGATGTCAAAAGGACTACTTTTGCTATGTTTCATAAAATCTGATACAATTAAATAATTTTAACTTCTAGAGAGAAGCTCTAGACAGAGGAGAATAATTATTTAATAATTAAGAAAATGATAATATTACACTATTATGATAACGATGAAGATCTATAAGTAAAGCGGAGTGGGCTAATTAAGAGCCGTAAGTGCGGACTGTTTGTGCATATTTAATATCAGAGCCTTCTACTTCAATTTCGATGACGATGATGATGAGGATGATGCACTACCTTGTTAAAACAGACTACCTGTCTGGTAGCTGGATGAGGACTAAGGAAGAGTCGTTCGCTGGTGTCGCTGCCGCAGCTGGAACTCTCACTCATTTCTGTGGTGAATTTCCTAGAGGCTCTCGGACTCGGGGGTGCGGCTCTACTCTGTCCTCCCAAACTTATACCCACATTTCTCGAACATACTTGGGACTGGATGTGCTCGCACACTCGCCTGAATCTTCGGATGTTCCCTGCGAATATTAATCAATTGCATTACAACTAATTCGACAGTCTATATGTTCCCTTACGGAAATGTTCAGAAAAACTCCCAGACAGCAAGCATGCGTCATTTTGACGTTTAATGACGTCAATTTGCTATTAGAGTATTTTTTCTTAATTCTATTTTCTAGTAAAAACAAAATTCGAATAAAATTAATATATAAAATGAATTGATGAAAACAACAAAAAGAAAGGCTACCGGATTCTATTCGTCGACTTTATCATTTTATATATACATATGCAAATGCATACATAAGAATATACATGTGCAGATAAGATGTAAGGCTGCATGTATCTTACTGACATGAGCCAAGGATGCTACCACCGATCGATAGTGCGCTTGGATGACTGCCAAACATCGAACAATGAAAAATATTTCATCGAAATCGAAATTTTCGGGTTTGTGAAGTTCCTTATTAATGTTTACTAAGTATTTTTGCAAAGACTTTGTACATTTTTCGCTCTTTAGTTATTCAAGTAGCAAACTGGCGTTATTAAACGTCAAAGTGACATCACTTTGATGTTTAATAACGCCAGTTAGCAAAACGATATTCCTAATTGAAGAAAAAGAAGCTAAGCAAAAATGGTGTGCTTACCGCTCAATAATGTGAACGTGATGGCGAAGAGGGGCTCGTTTGGTTGCTTCGAGATCGCACTAATATCAACTTGAAAGCGCACTTGTCTTTGGAACATGACAGGTGCGGTGCTACCTCTCTTGTACTCCACTCTGAACGACATCGGTGAGCTTACACTGTGAGATAATTCTGCTATCTGCAGGTATAAGTTCGTTCCAAATTAAAATATTAAAGATATTATTGAAAATATTCAATAATGACAAACAAATTACTATTAAAAAATAATTAAATGTACAGTGTAACAAAATAACATTAAATTTTTAGGAAATTGTGCACATAAAGAGAATTATGTTCTGATTCAGCAAAAATTCTACCTAAAATTATTAAAGACTGAAAAAATTATACATACAAGACATCAAATATTTCAAATCATAAAATTTCTTTAAATTTTTTAAATATTATAATTTTTAATGGAAAAAGAATTTCGTAGTTTTTAAATATATAATATGTATGCAGATTAATCTATCTTAAATACTTTATTTGTATTGCACAGATGTTTTGTTTAAAATAATTATTCCTTTCTCTCTCTCTCTCCCAAATATATAAGATTAACTATTATTTTACTTTTTTTATTTTTAAAAATTACTCCGAAATTGACAATGATTGTTTGGACTAAACTCCGATTAACTTAATCGGATTAATATATCACGCAATACCCGCATTTTATTAATTCAGAATAACTTCAAAATTATTATTAATTATTTGTCATCCGATGTGCGGAGAGAAAGATAACATTAGAATCAATAAGTATATAAAATGTGAAATTTCACTGAAAAAAATTGTTAACTCGATTAAATCTTTCAACTAAATTACTTAATTTTGTTAATTGAGACATGTATTAGTATTTAAGTCAAATATATGTTTTGTTAATATATTATATTTAATTTAAATTTTTATATTATTTATAATTGAACAAGGTTTAGTCAAGTGAACAATTTTTTTCAGTATAAATAATTTCATATATCAATTGAATTGATTACCGAGTACGTTAATCAGACTTTAATCGAAGTGATCTCTGATCTCGATATACTTACGGACAAGAAAGCATGGATCAGATCAGCCTTGACACTGGCCAGTGGTTTTCCCTTAACCAGGACGGTGAAAGTCTCGTCTTTTTCCGTAGTCATCAAGCTACCGAACCACGATTTCTTTGTTAGTTCCGGAGAGGAATCTGGCGTGAGGTGTACCTATATGCAGTAGGAAGCTTACTTTGTGATTCCTCCTGAGATATATATGAATAAAATTAATTTTATATTTAATGTCTATTCAAACTACATCATATTATCTATTACACTCCGCTAAAATGTTCAAAATTCATTTTTCACTGGAATTTTACTGTGCATGGAAATATATTTATTGACTTTTAAATTGTATCAGGATTAATCGGATTATTAAACTCATCCATCAAATTTAATATGCTGTAAGTAACACGTGTTGCGATTGAAATACAATACAGTGTCATAATACAAATGATAATAAAAAGAAATTATTTATACTTTTTTATCTACTATCGCATACCTCCTCGGTACTAGTGAGCAATTTACGACGATGAAACCTGGGACTGCCTAAGAAGGAATTCTTGATCGTGGTCAATCTCGATCTCCAGTGATGAGCTCCGGATCCTGCTCCTGTGTGAGGCGATCCAGGGGGTGTAATACCGACCGCAACTATTGAGAAACAAGCTACGTTTTAATACAGCGGGCTTATCTTAAGCACAATTAAATAATACGTCATAGTTTCATCTATTCCTTTGGAAATTAAAAATTATTTATTTCTTCAAAGGATTCCGCACAATCTTTATAGAAATTGGCTGTTTTTTTTCATATGTTGTAGCTTATGATCTGCTGCACAAAAGATGTAATAGCTAAATAATGAACGCTTAGGGAGTTGTAAACCAGTGAAGTAACTTGCAGAACCCGAGCTTTTCACGTTTAACTGGTTATAAATCAGTAACTGTTTATTATTTAGCTTTGAACCTATTACATTTTTTATTCAGATCATAAGCCACATGTGAGAAAATCAGCTGATTTTATCGGGATTCAATTTTATGTAGGACTTCATATAGATTCAAAAAGCCTGCACTAATCCTATATAAAATTGAATCTCGGTTTATAGGTTGAAAAACTAAATAATAGACAGTTACCGATTTATAACTATAGTTAAACATGAAAAATTTGGGCTTTGCGAGTTGTGTGAGTGACTATAACTCAGTAATTGTCCATTATTCAGCTTCGACGTTATCTTTTATTCACCAGGTCACAAGCTATAATATATGAGAAAATTAGCCAATTCCAAAATCCAATATCCATAAAAATTGTGCGAAGTTCTTTACTTGGAACTTCCAGTGTTACTGTAAAAACTCACCAGGTTGCATCTCGTTAAGTTCAATGCCGACACTGGTGAGCGCCGACGCCGACGCCGGCGTTGGTACGCTCTGACTCGTAGGACTGCCGTTTCCAGCGGTGGTAGTAGTACTACTGCCTATGGACAACCTGTGCGGACTGCTGGTAACCGTTTGGCCTACGTGTGATATCGGCGCTCGGTGAGGACTCAATAGGCCCGCAGGCGCGTGCAACGGCGAGCTACCCGGAGTTGACGCGTGCGAATGAGAGCTGTGAGTGTGACACCCGCCTGTACTTGGTGATCGGCGCGCGTGGTGTCTCGTGCTGCAACAATCAGCGATACCATTAATGAAACAGCGCTCACTTAGACACTTTAATTGATGTTCCCATTGGTATTAATTGTTTTGTGTTTTATTTTGCGGAAGAGCTCAACCCAGGTAGCAAGTGTACGTCATTTTGACGTCGAATGACGTCATAGACGTCAAATTGACATCATTTTGACTTCTAATGATGTCAATTTGTTACTTGGGAAGATTCCAAACATGATACGAGAGCTAGTCCTAAGCCTGTACAAAGTTCAGATCTGACGGAAAAGAAAGTGAAATGAAGGAAATATGTACAAAACACGCGACATAACTGACGCTGTCATGCAATGTCAATTTCAAGTGAACTAACTGTCTGACATTGCAGAACTCTTTCATTAAGCACATGAGTTTTATTCATAAAATGCACGAATCTCTTCAGTATTACTTTCTGGACGCATCTCGTTTATTAAAATTCACTTGAGGTCTACCTGGACTGTCTTCTGGGCGTCAATGGCGATCCATGACTGATCTGTCCGAGATTGAGCGCGGTACTTCCGTTCACTCTACATGTGTCCACTCGTTTCCTCGGTGGATCAGCTTCCAATTGTCCTGCGGATCCCCTCATGCCACCCCTCATTACTTCCAGCTCGTCCTCGCACGCCGGTCTCCTTCGCTTCCTCTCCAGCAACAGGAAATATATCACTTTTTCCGTGTTGTGGCTGAGGAGAAGTTTTCTCGTTACTTTGTAAAGTCTTTTTTTTTCACGATATATTTCCAATCATTAGCTAGATTTAAATCCTTTAGATAGATTTAAGTTAAATATAAAGTCTCTGATCATCTTACTTTGGACTGAGCAGTTCCTGAATGAGTTTGTCGCGCTCTTTGAAGCAACCAAGACTCGCGATCGCTTGCAGCACGTCGGGATCGATCGCATCCACGGACGGAATAACGTGCGTCTGCACTACATCCATCATCGACATCTCCAACTCCAGCTCGCCCTTACCCGCCGCCGTTACCCAGATATGTTTGTTTATTTCCGCTAACTAAAACAAAAAAATAGCCTTGCTTGTTATTTACAAAATATATATTTCAGCACTAAATATTAAATATAATATATCTAATGTTTTTCTATATATTTTACTATTTATATTTTATTCAGCACTAAATATTAAATATATCTAATATGTTTTTTTTATATATTTTACTATTTATATTTTATTCAGCACTAAATTTTAAATGTATCTAATATGTTTTTCTATATATTTTATTATTTATATTTTATTTAAAACTGCTTTACGATTAAAGCGTCTCACCGTCAGTCTTTTCTCAGGATCAACCTCTATCATACCCCTGAGCAAATTCTGACACTCAGGCGGTACGAAGTGCGGTATGTAAAACAGTCCCCGCTTAACTTTCTCCAGTAATTTTCTCAGATTGTCATCGTCGAAAGGTAACGCACCTACCAGAAGCGCGTAAAGTATCACCCCGCAGGACCAAACATCCGCCTTTCTGCCGTCATACTTTTCACCCTGAAAAAAAGAGGAAATGCTTTTATATAAATGATGTATATACGCTTATTAGTTATTACTCGCTTCATTTATCACTCTTGTAATTCGATACGCTATCGATTAGCCATTAGGGAGAAAATTAATTATAAAAGAGGTCCTTACTCTAATGACTTCGGGACAGGCGTAATGAGGCGAGCCGCAACTAGTCTCCAACATGGAACCCGCAGGTTGTAAAGATGCCATTCCAAAATCCGCTATCTTAATATTATTCTTCTCATCCAGTAATAAGTTTTCAGGTTTCAAATCTCTGTGGCTGTAAAAATGACGACAAAAATCAGTCTTATCGTAGATAATATCGAGAAAGAGAAACAATAATAAAAAAAAATACGATTATTTATGTTATGAATAACGAGACTCACCATATACTATGGCTGTGACAAAAGTCTAATGCGGAAATTATTTGTCGAAAAAATCGTCTCGCTTCCTTCGGAGTCAGTCTACCCTTTTTAACCAAATAATCGAACAGCTCCCCACCCGAGACGTGTTCCAGTACAAGATACCTTGAAAGAATAATATTGGTATTATAAGAGGTTTTTCTCATTTGTAAAGATATTTTTATCAATTTTTAGCTTACAAATATTTCTTGTTTTCGTACACATCCGACAGGCCGAGCACGTGAGGATGGTCGATCAGTTTCATGATTGCGATTTCGCGCTCCACTTTCATCAGCACAGATTCCGAAAGCTTTTCACGATTGATAATCTTGATTGCTACCTTTTTGCCCAACACACAGTGTACGCCAAGCTTTACCAATCCTAAAATAAAAAGGAAAATCTCTACTTTATACATATTAGCATAGGAAAAACAGGAAGATAAAGAAGAAAGATTTCTCTATTTTTTTTTAATTTAACTGCGATGTGCCTTAAAAACACAAACAGCTCTAATTATTTTGGTCTCATTATTACATTAAAATAATAAAATTTTCTGCAATTTTTGCAATAATAACAAATTGAAAATATATTATTAAAAATATTTTGAAATACATTAATAATTCAAATATAAATATATAGTGAGTAAGTGCGTTATTATAATTATTTGCGCCATATATTATCCTCGCAATCTACTCTTAATTATTATATAATGACAATTATATATACATATAATGACACAACCATATTTGTACGATGATATTATCATTGAACGTAAATGTACAGAATACGTATTAGTAATTTAGCAACGCAGCAAATTTTTTTGACTAAAATTTTTTTTATATTTTTTCTATTTTGTATTAATTTTTAATTTCCGCAAATTTTTTAATTTTTGTATTTTTTATTTATTTGTCGCAATTTTTTATATCGTTATTTTTTTTTAATATTAATTTATTAGATTAATAATTTATAAAACAAAAGTGATTTACTTGAATCGTCCCAAGTAGCAAACTGACGTCATTAAACGTCAAAATGACGTCATTAAACGTCAAAATGACGTTATTAAATGTCAAAATGACGTACGTTTGCTACTTAGGGCAGCCTGAAATTTATAAATCGCATCAGACAATGTTTTTATCCACTTAAATAGTTGAACCAACGATGATTGTACCGTTTAAACGAATATACAAAGAGAAAAAAGGGAGGAGAAAAACAGCAGGAAACTGTTCGTCGTAAAAGCGATAATGGGGAGCAATTAAAAGTCCTTATAATGAAGTTCGCATCTAATTGGAGGTAGAAAAGGATTAATCCTAGATGAGGAATTTGCATAGCCTTTACATAGCAATTATATGAAAACTATTAACAATCTTGCAGGCGCTCGATTATCACGAAGTGATCAACGTTTTTTGATTACTCGAGCGAAACATAATTTTTCACGTGCGCGTTGGCTTCCCTATATATCTATCGCATGTGCACTTATTTACATGTCGTCTAAAATATATTATATATTTCTGTGACGTTATATCGCAACGTTATAAATAGCCCGAAACACTTTTTATGATCGATGATTATCTTTTAGACAGCCTCAATAGAGCCACATGAAATGAAGTCCGATGTTAAGTCCCGATGATTGACGACATGACATTTATGTATAGAGATGTTAAATAGAACGCAGCGTTTCCATCAAATCTGATGACAATTGCATTAACAGCACCATCGAGAGAGTTAAAATCATTTTTTTTCTTCGCAATCCGTAATTAAACAATGTCGAAAGTAGATGCATTCGAAGAATAAAATTTCCGAATATTTTTTTACGCAAAACTAATTTCCCAAATTTAAGTATCTGAAACGATGTGAAGAAATGAAATTCGTATTTGCAAAATGTTTCAAAATTTAATTTTTTTTAAATATTTCTTTTTAATAATTTCAAAATTTTTGTCATTTCATAGAGATTTTTTATCTAATCTTTTAATGCAACAAATATAATATTAATTTATGTGACAAACATAATTTTAATTTAATCAGAAATGAATTTGAATTAGGTTTGAATGTTTTTCGGGATGGGGACAACTTCTTTTAATAAACATTCTATAAGAATGACTTATCAAATTGAGCAATCCCAGAAGTAACCCCAAGTAGCAAACTGACGTCATTAAACATCAAAATGTCATTTTGTCGTCTGATAACGTCATTCGATGTCAAAATGACGTATTGCTACCTGAGAACATTCTTGCCCTTCTCAAATAGCAAATTGACATCATTTAACGTCAAAATGACGTCATTTTGCTGTTTGATGACGTCATTCAATGTCAAAATGACGTATTGCTACCTGAGAACATTTTGTCCTCAAATAGCAAATTGACATCATTAACGTCAAAATGACGTCATTTTAACGTCGAATGACGTCATTAGACGTCAAAATGACGTATGCCTGCTACCTGGGTTGTCTTTTCACCCAAATAGCAAACTGACGTCATTAAACGTCAAAATGACGTACGTTTGCTACCTGGGTAGTATTTTTTCGCGCGAAAACACGTAAGAAAGTCTGAAAATTGTTATATTCTTCTCTGTAACTTTTCATCCAGATCTAATAACCACTTGGTTATAATTCAAACTTGTGCCAGCAAGCACGAGCGGCAATTTCATTACCCGTTTGCGCGTGGGTCACAGAATTCAAAGCGTGGAGAGGAATTCATTCGTATGATTAACGCACCGTATTGTCACGTGCCGGAGCATGCACCCCTTCCAAGGTGCATATGGGATCGATATAGTCTGCCAGAGGAAATGACCACTACGAGACTCATTCGCTGAAAGCCAACCCATGTGAATTCATTAACAAGTTCTTGCGAAACACTACACACGTTGATCGCAAAAAAATTCGCATCTCTATATAAACTTTGCATTTGAAGGCTCTGCCGGTAAAAATTTGGATACAGATCTAAAAAGAAACGTAAAAGTCTAATAAAAAGTTCTATTTAAAACAGAAGTCAATTATCTCTCCTCTTTTCATTTTAATACCACCAATTTACGCTAGCATTCATATGCAAAATACGCACGTTGGCGTTCTCTTCTTTCTTTGGTTCATTGTCATCGACATTATATTATTTCCTATAGTCTCTTCGTCGATGGTGCTTAATTAGAAACGCTCGTTAAATACTTAATAAAAATTTGCAATCATTATCAAGGATGTTTTTCTCTTCCAGTCAATGCAATACAGAAATTTAATTTTAGAATTTTAATTTTACATTTCACATTAATTCTGTAATTACATTTGTTATTAAAATACTGATTTACAAGCTGATTTATCCAAGTAGCAAACTGACGTCATTAAATGTCAAAATGACATGTGTTTGTTAACTGGGGTATGTAATGCATTTCTTTGTGTTGCGTAGAGAGATATTTAACGAAAAATATTTAAAAATATACAATGAAATGTATAATCAAAATATACATATATGTCAATTCTTTTAATTACCAGGTTTTTCAATTATTTTAATAATATTAGTGAAATTTCGCATTTTATCCTTTTTATTACAACTTTTCCTATAATTGAAAACAAAATCTTGGATCAAATGCTTTGATATCAATATACTAATTTTAATTCTAATTTTCTTATATGTATTAAGCAATATTCTTAAAATATTTCGATAAAAATTTTCCTTTCTATTTATCTTGTTTTTATATCATCTGTAACCGACTCAAATTTTGAAAAATAGTACAATTTAGTTCTACCAATTTATAATTGGACGCAGTTATGTCATATGGAACCAATCACCATTTTTTTTATTTCAAGATTTTTATTGATATGGCCAAATGTATCAGGCACAATTTGCAATAAAAATTTCGAAATAGAAAATTGATGATTGGTTCCCCATATTGCATAACTGCGTTCATCTGTGTGACAATATGAATACACATATACATATTTTTGTATACATTTCAATTATTGCTCTCAAACATTTCTAGCTCTCTATCTGCCCATAACCACTGTATAATTAGTATGTCATCAGTATTGATCGCATAATAGCATAATAGCATCGAATACCTTCGAGGTGAGAGCAAATTAGTGCGGCATTAACTTCTCCGCAAATATTCTTGATGTACGAGCTTTTTATAAAACACATTTGTTCTCTCACTTATTTTTTTATGATTCATATCGTGAAAAATTTTTAACCATTAATTATCTATTTTTCCTCGAATTATTGCACTTATGGTATTTTTATTGTGCCACAACAAACATAATTTTGCTATAAAAAGCATTTTGTAATAATTACAATTGTAACATTTGATATTTGCAGAAATATATATATAGTGTTATTATTTATGTATGCATACATATTTATACACACAATATTTATATTTTATTATATATAAATAGTACATATATAAATATATAACATATAAATAATAAATGTAATAAATTATATAAATACATATATATATATATATATATATATATATATATGTATATAAAATGTTTGTAAAAATGTTTATATATAAACAGTATTCTCAAAATATTATTTATCGTATGATTTTCCTTAATGTGCATATAAGATGTATGGAATATGTATCTATTTTAGATAAATTTACTATATATATAGCGTGTCGTAGTAACGACGAAAGACAATACCTAAGTTTTGTTTGGGCGAAACAATAGACCGATGGACAGAGAGAAGTTAATGAAACAATCAAATCCGTATCGAGTTGGAAAATGTATTTAACTGAATATTACCATAAAGCTGATATTCATTATTTATGGAATGACTATTCGATCTTATGTGCCGGAAACGCGAGTTGGTTTCATTATACAAAAAAATAATAAACAAAAAAATATACGAACAAGACTAGTCATTTCTTGTATTTTTTTTACGCTGAATATGATTCCAGTTTTTAAAGTGTTTTATTATATCACAATTTTGAGAAATTAGCAGTTAAAATTGTAAGAATTGCTCTATTTAAATATGTTATATATTATAATTACAGTATATTATAATTATAATATATTATAATTACAGTATGTGACGTATTGTGTGGAAAAATTTTATTGCAATTAAAATTAAGTGCTGTTAAGATTTTTAACCCACAAAAGAAACTTACTGTATCGATTACGCGTAACAAGATATTCATAATTAAATAAAATTAACATGATTAAGTATATTTTCAATTATATTTCATTTAAATTTCAGGACTTTTTAAGCTGCCGAATACAAATTCAATGTTAAAATGAATAATATTTGGAAATATTTGGATATTTTGCAAAAAATTTATATATCTTTTTTTAGAGCTGAAAGTCTGAACAAGATACTTCATTTTTATTGCAATAAAACCAATTCATATCGTAGCTATAATATAATAAAATATGTTATAATTATAACTCCATTTCTTCCAATTTTAATTGCAAAATTTCCAAAATTATGGAGCAATTTGTAAACCGAAATCATCTTTAGCGTGAACAAAACTAGAAACGATTAATTTTGATCTTGTATCTGAAAAAAGTTGCTTCTTGTAAAATGATATTCGTAAAAAAATCTTTTTCTCGTAATTTGTTATGATATCAGAATTCGCAATCTTTTGCAGATTTGCAAGATCTCGAAGAAGATATCTTTGTTTCATAAGTATACGGATAATTAAATAATCCATGAAACTTGCATGTGTTCTATATATCTCTCTCTCTCACACACACATACATACGTACAAAGGACGCCCTTGAAATCGCGCGAGAAAGTTTTGCAGCAAATTTATATCGATCAATGTATTCATGCGCACCGACTTCGATAAGTTTTGGGTAAGCAAGAAACCGCGACACCATCGACTCGGACAGTCAATTTCACACATATGTGCAATTATACAAATTCCTATAATCGCATGTGCAAAGTTATACATCCTACGTCCTCTCAAATACGTGGAACTTGCTCTGATTCTTCAACCCCTATTTAACTAGATATTATTCTGCGATTTGCCATCCAATATAAAGATAACAATTATGTTAAAGATTTTGCGACACAGAACAAAAGAGGGAAAAAGATAGATAGATAGATAGATTGGAGGAGAAAGAGGGATGATGCACCACCCACCGGTCTGGCCTTTCCCCAAGGTCTTCTCCAACCGATAAGGGCCGACGTACTGATGAGTCTCCTGGGTGTTGGACCCGATAGGGCTCTCTTTGCCCTGCATCGCTGCCGAGCCTCCACCTTCCTCTTGGTCCGCCAGGTTGAATGATTGTTTTGTACAAGCCACGGGGATCGAACGGCCACGCAGATCCTTCCTCTTCCTCTTCTTCAGCTTCCTGTGTCCTCCCACAGGTTCGTCGTGTATCACTTTCTCGCGGGATTGCTGTGTTCCACTGCCATTTTACCTCTATGCACTTTGTTGGAGTGATTTGAAGGCGCAGCTCTTGCGATGGGATTCGAAGAAAACGCTCTGTCAAAGGCAACTCGAGAAATTAATGATTTTTCCAGGTCCATTCAGACACAAACAATCCGGAAAGCAATGATGTTCCAGTCTGTCTCGAATTATTACTGTATACATTCTGAATGAAACTTTACCCAAATTATCTACAAATGTTATTTGGAATATTTTGCCTTTTCGTTTCTAATGAACCGAGAACGATCAAAAATCACGTGTCACGTACACATCCATAGTTTAGTTAGCCTAAATTCTTATCCCTCAAAAGACGACGTTTTCACTTTCGACGATGAAATAAGGGAGCACGAAATACTTTCAGAGGCAGAGGCATCATATACCTACAAATACACACTCGCGCTAACATTATATCACTGTCGTAAGTGTTCTTTTATCTTCGGTGGATGTATCTTGCGAATTTGTTCCATGCTGTCTCCTTGCAAGCTCGCCCGGGATATTTCGAAGAACTACACTAGCTGATTCGCCCATTTGAGTTAGCGAGGTATCAAGCGAACTATATAGATATATACATATAGAAGTAGTTGGAGTTGATTATTTAGATATTTATGAAGGTAGTATCTGCAGTTGCTCCTGCATCAGTCGTTCACGGCCCGTCAGGATTTCACGAAAATGGACGCCATTATGATTCGCGCCATTTATGAGAAAAGATCCCACAGCACCCGGGTCTAGCCTCGCTCGGGCTAAGCCTCCAAGGAAAATTGGCCGTTTTTAGCCCTCGCTTGCGATCCCGCAGACTCCTCCGCTTCACGAAGACTCCCCTCGTTCGTCCATCAGCCTCAAGCGGATCGTCGAGTCCGCTTCCATTGATGATACCTTCTGGCTCCGCTGACAAAGTTGGCACCCGAGAACAGAACGAACTCGATGGCTTCCTCAAGACTTCCTAGACACCCTCGGGGCTCGGGCTGGCACGTATGCATGGGCACCCTCCTCCGTTTGAGTCATTCTACCCTGCACGCATTCACGCATCGGTGTCGCTATAATCTAGCTGATAAGCGGCGTGATCGTGTTCCGGCGATCCGAGTGTCCCTTTTATCGCGGATCGGGAGGAATCCGGATCCTCGGCGCGAAAATCTTTGGCCCTTGCCTCGTCTCGTATCAAATTGTATATACTTTCCACGGCTCTCTCTCTCTCTCTCTCTCTCTTTTTTCTCTCCTCTCTATCGTGATTACATTACCATTTTTAGCGATGAAATATAGCCCCGTTTTACGGAACTGACGACTACTACGGCGCTCCCAGTTCGATTACGTGCCGGGGCGCACAAAGGGGGGTAAGGTGGTGCGCGCGCACCCCCACGCCCGCTAACGAACAGACCCTTTCCACCCTCTGCGCGCATGCAGAGAACACGATCGCCGACCAGCGGAGAACGGCGATAGATATGCGAGGGTGTCAAATCAGGCTCTGGAAAACGTGGCGGACGGAACGGAGCCGCGTGTCCGTCCGTCTTCGGGGTGGCAAAGTGTGCTCGCGCGAGGGGTTGATACCTCCACCGTCGATACAAAGACAATTGCCGATGGTTCGTGTCCGGGCTTCGTGTTATGCTTGAATGGGTTCTTCATCGTGCGAGGGTGCTCGTGGCTTATTTTGGTTTTTTTTTTCTTTCTTCTCTGCTGTTGATTTTATCTTATTTAGAAGGTGTATATATATATAATCTTCGTTTTATTTTTACCCACCTAAGGGATGATATATTTGTATTTCGAGCACATGTCAGAATTGTTACATTCAATGAATATTATAAATTTAAGTGGAAAAGACAAAATTGTCGTCATGAATAAATTATTCGAATAGTTATATCATCGTTTCTCTTTCAATCTGGATCTTTTCACTTTTTAATCCAATTTCCATTCTTAGACCGAAGTCTGTTTTTCTATCATGTTTATTATGACTATATGGAATTATTTATAATTACGCTTAAAAAAATTTGTTGACTAAATCGTCCGACTAAATATTATTTTATTAATTGAACGTATATATTGAAGAAATATTTAAATTAAATATAACATGTTAAATCTAACAAAACATATATTTGACTTAAATATATATGTTCAATTAATAAAATAGTAATTTAATGAACGATTTAATCAAGTTAACAATTTTTTCAGTGTAGTATTATATATCATTGACATTTTTTTATATTTTTCATTATCGTATTTTTCTTTCTAAATTTAAATAAATAATACAATTGATTTTTATTCAATTCTATCTTCAATAAAATTGTATTATTATGCAACATAATAAAAAATCAAGTTTGTCATAATTTTATGTCTCTTTATCTTCTATATATGTATATATAAAGTTGACGGAGAAACAAAATACGACGTAACGTATGTAAAGAATAATTAACACAAATCCTTGACGCTCCCTAGCCATTGCTTACATTGCTTACAAGCATCTTGCTTTTGTCACAATTCACTTTCAAGTGGAATAAGCCGCGTAGGCGTGTCGCGTGACGTATAATTTTGTTCCAAATACTTTTTACTTATTTTCGAGAAGGAAATCGCATAAATTAACTCGCTCAAGCTAAAATATCTTTAGAGTATAAAGAGAGTATAGAAAGAACATCTTAATATTCCCAGATAGTAAGCATGCGTCATTTATTCGACGCCGAATGACGTCATTAAACATCAAAATGACGTCATTAGATGTTAAAATGATGTTATTTTGATATTTAATGACGTCAGTTTGTTACTTGCGTTGTAATACAATACATGATCATATTAAATATTTATAGTGCAAATATTATTTGCAATTTATCACAATATAATAAAAAATTATATACCCAGATAGCCACAGTAATTATTATGACATCAAAATGATGTCATAATAAAATATTATATTATATATAATCTTTGTGCTTATATTATATATATTATAATAAAATATATATATAATATATATAATAAAAATAAAAACTTTTTGTCAAGAGAGAGGAAAAGAGAAATAAATATTTTTCCATTTATATAATAGATGAAGATCGATCCAGGTCAGCGATAATGTGATGTAACAACGTTTTTGCTGAAGAGTAAAATTTTCACATGTCTCTCCGGAAGTGCAATGAAATTTGTGATATTTTCTCGATTTTGCTTTTCCTCGTCGTCATGCTTTCTATCGCTGACATGCTATAATATGCCAACTTACCACAATCGCACGATCTCCCACGGATTGCGCCAATTCCCTTATATATTCCCAAGTTTCCCCACTCATGTTTTCATCTGTCTGGGTCCATGGAGAAGGTGCGCGAGGCGTATTTATCGTAGTATCGTAACGAGTACCGAGGTGTTCAAATACTCGCGCAGAGAAATCTCGAAGAATTTCCTGAAATTTAAAAAAAATTAGTGAATTAATTATGAGGACTCTCTGGACCGTCGTCCTTCTTTCTCTCGTCGTCGCGATAAACGCCAAGTCTATGATTTATAAGAAAAACGGGGACAACATCTTTGAACCAGGTGGGCGAACAATCTGTCATTTATTTGTCAGGAATTTAAATGTGTTGTTCTAAAGAAAAATTAATAAATTGAAATTAACGTATTTCAATATTTCACGAAGATTTTAGTTTGAATGTCCTCTTCTGCTGCTGTTATTTATTCTCACTTTCACGCGCGTGCTAGAATGTCCTCTGAATATTTCCTGTGAAATCTAAACTTTCATTAGCACGCGAAAAAATATATACACAATAACTCGTGTGTTTTCCAATGCACATCATCTATCTATAGTTTTAGTACGAAATAAACAATAAAAAAATGAATTCACTTTTCGCGTCAATATCTGTATATTCTAATAAAAAACTACATACGAACAAAAATTGCTATTAGTTTCCGAAAAATTTTTAGTCAACAAAGATAAAATAAAATAATTTTTTCTTATTGTTATTAGATCACGTAAGAAACGCATTATTGTTCCATAAATAAAACATAATTAAGAAAATAATTTTTCGTTTTGCAAAATAATAAAAATATTTCAAAAAATTATTTATTATTATAAAAAAAAATACATTTTAATATAATAAAAATTAAGTGTTTAAATATAAAATTTTTTTTTTCATTAAAAAAATCCTAAGGAATCGCATAAAAGTAACACATCATGAAAAAGTGAACGTGAAAAGAACTTTCACCGTAATTATATATCGTTGAGGCTAATTGATACTGTTCTCTCTCGTACTATTTACATTTTTCATATACATTATCGTTTTGTGTATCTCAAGAAAAAGTGCATATTAAAAAAAGGAAAAGCCGAGAGAGAAAGAAAATAGTTAAAACGTAAAATACAAATATCATATAAAAATATGTAATAAAATACACGTATACATTAAATAATGTTGTGACGCATAAAATTATAAATAGAATTCTCTTTTGAATTTTGTCACGAATATGAATCGTCTAAAGAAGCCTTAACAGAATGGTGATGTCAGTCAGAATAATGTGTAGGTGTTTGATCATATTAAAGATTTACATATTATATTTTACAAGATTACAAAGAGAGAAAGAGAACCTACATATATTATATTGTATATATTATTATCAAAGTAAAATACTCGATATTGCATCCTACACAAATCTGTTTTTGTTTCTTTATTTTTACCCATATCTAGATCGCGAAATTTTACACATTTTGCTGGCGCAATAAAACGTAGTAAAATTTATGCAGCCGAGCTTTGAAACATCATCCTTGAAGCAAAAATTTAATTTAGTAATAATATAATAAGCAGACAAAAATGGTTAAATATACGTACATATATAATATTAAATGTACGATAAAATTTTTTTTGTAATAATAAATGTACGTATAAAAATTTTTTAATCAAATAACAGAACAAAAGTCATACACTAAAAAAAATTTATTAACTTACTAATAACTACCTTTCAACTAAATATTATTTTGTTAATTGAACATATAAAAATATTTAAATATATATAACATATTAAATCTATATAATAAAACATATTTCACTTAAATACTAATGTATATGTGTTCAATTAACCAAATAGTAAAATTTAGTTGAAAGATTTGATCAAGTTAACAAATTTTTTTTCAGTATATATTATATATATATAACATCTTTAAAAATTTCAGGCAGTTATCCCTATATTTTGTACCAAAAGTGACACCTTTTATAAAATTATCTGCAATAAAAAAAATTATTAATAAAAAATAAGATCCAGGAAGAATTATTATTTCTACTTATAACGATATTATAATATACGAATATTGTAATAAATACATATATTATAAATGGCCCTCTTTGCAACTTTTTCTTTTTGACAATTATTTTTTATCAAAAATTTAATCTCAAAATATATATATGTCAGTATTTGTTTGTACAAAATGCATAAATGACTGATAAATTTTTTTAAATTGTATACATACAATTTTGATATTTTGTAGCTATTTACTTATTTAATATTTTTATTATTTTATAAATGTATATATTATATCTTATAATATTATATATAAATATTTTATATTATTTATAATTATTAATTGTATATATATAATTAATAATTATAAATGTATTTATATAATAAGTATACATGTGTATATATACATAAAACTATTAATTAAATTATTAATTATTAATTTTATATGTACAATATACATGTACATAATTAATAATTATAAATATATTTATTCTTTCTTTAGTAATGATACCTGTATCATCCACGGTGATTCCATTACCCGTGTACAGGGTAGAATATGGCTTAGGTTTCATATCAAAAGATAAAAAGGCCCAATCGTCCTTCAAACCGGAAGACAACATAAAACTGATAACCAGTAAGTATATTAGCTTGTAAATGAGATTAGAAAATCTTGTTTCTGCGGACTTTCTTCTGCCATTTATGCCTGCTTCTCTTTCTTAAAAATTTGCCTTGCAAGTAAAACTAGAAGCTGAAGAATTATAATCCCAACAGATATCTTCAGACGTTTTAGCCCAGATTAACAAACGCCCGTTATTTCTGCGTGCAAATGTTTTCTTAGCAGAGGTGAACGTGATTGGTTCTTTGCTTTTCGAGCTAACCAATCAACGCTGTCAACTCAACAGTTGTTCCGCTGAACGCGGCAATTTTGAAATCAAATGTGTTACTATATAGAATATTGATATTCAGAAAAAATTTTCTTAAAAATATAACAAATAAGCGCTTCAAACTATGCCTAGAAATATTTTCTAGATATTTTATTTTAGAATTCTAAAAATGTCTTCAAGATAGCTTCAAAATATCATGAAGAATCTATATATTATATGAATCCTATATAGGGTGTCCTATTTTAATGTCCCACCTCAAATAAGTTTTTTATTTTTGATCGTAGAAAAAAATGTTTCAGACCAAAATTGTATGATTTCGAGGACATAAGGTGGTGCCATTAGTTTGACCTTGAATAGTTGCTTGAGGGTCATGTAAAGGTCACCTTTAATTTCTTAAATGGAACCACCTACTTTTCATTACATATTCTTGTAGCTGACATCGAGAGCTTTCCAAAACACTATAATGAAACATTTTTATCTCAAGTACTTTTTGAGTTATAAAACAAGATCTCCTCACCCCAAGGTGACCTTTATGTGACCTTCAAGCAACTATTCAAGGTCAAACTAATGGCATTACCTTATGTCCTCCTCGGAATCATACAATTTTTGTCTGAAACATTTTTTTCTACGATCAAAAATAAAAAACTTATTTGGGGTGGGACATTAAAATGGGACACCTTGTATATGGAATATTTATAAAGGATATAATTAAATAATATATTATATTATTTAATTATGTAATAATTAAATAAAATACATTATATATACCTTACAACTAAAATTAATATTACATGTATGCACATTAAATTTTCACATAGATATTTATAAAAAGTTTAAAATATTCTGGACATTTTGGATAAAGTGATATTTTGTGCTATTTTTTATTAGAAAATTATTTATTAGAATATTTATTAGAATATTATACTATTATTAGAATATTTTATTAGAAAAGGATTCAATTATTCATATTCAAATTACATAAAAAATACATTTGCACGGAAACAAGTTTTCTATGTTATTTATGTAATGACTTTATATAATATTTGTGATGATTAATGTCAACTTTTTCTTTCTAGTCAAGAAAACTCAGGAGAAAAAGACGAAAATTTAGTACTAAACTACATTCTACATCAAGTATTTATGAAGATAAATATTGCATTTAAGTCATTAAATTGAATACTTTATGCACTATTCAAAATACATCGCATAAAATGAGTTCTTATAGTAAGATTTTCATTATTTTTTTTTAAATTCATGATAAACTTATATTCAGCAACCCAGTAAACAAATCTGAAGGCAGATCAAAACATTTGAATAATGAAAGTAAAATACAAAAATACACGTTTCATTGTATAATATATAGTTAAGAGAAAAATCACACCAAAAATATAATATACCTCCTTTATAAATGTTATAATTACCAATTATTGCTTATATCTCTATTATCAAAAGTGTATTATTATTATCCAAGATAAATCAAAACTAATAAGTAGAACTATATATATATAAATATGGAAATGTTTGCATATCTACCTTACTAAACTGTAAAATATACAAATTTATTTATTAAGAGACAATAATGCAAAGCATTTATTTTTGATATTTTTCATATATAATTAATATATAAGAATATTTGTACTAATAAGTAATAGCATTAAGAAATGTGTCTCGATTGTTTTTCATGTAATAAAAATAAAACATTCTAATATAATTACTCTTTGATAATTATAGATGAATATTGTAAAATATAGAACTTAATGAAAAAAATTCGACTTCTATACTTTTTAATTCTCTATGGAGAAACATCCATATCCCCAGCTGCAGTAGCTGCAATAATTAAACAAACTTTAAACATGTAGTCTTAAATTACGCATAATAATAACATTTTTACTTACGGAATTCATTGAACATAAAATCATCTTGATATTCCTTAAGAAATTGCGTAGATCTATTTTCATCAAGAAATAGAGAATAGACACGTTTTACGTCGTCAATATTAACCTAAACATAAATTAAAAATACAATTATAATAACAATAATAATATCACAATAATATTATTGAACACATAATAAATTATGTCATATACTACTTACTTCTGTACTCTTTCTTCGGCGACTAACCAGAGAAGCCGTAGTAATTAATTGTATTGCGTATCTTAGTGAGGTTTCCAAAGCGATCCTTGTTAACACTGTCAGAGCATCATCAGCCATTTCACAATCTTCTTCCTCGCATCTTATTTTCAAGATTTCCTTTAGGTCTTTCTCTTGATATGGAATTGTCGGAACAATAATCATACGATCCAATAAATCAATTGGCATTCCATGAGGACTTTTATAATTTGTCCCTCTGATTCTTGTAATACCTACACAATTACAGAATTTTAATTCATAACTATTAATTTTTTTCTCTTAAAAACAATGTTTTCTTTACCAATTAATTTTTTTTAGTTTTTTGTACAAAATTATTGACAAGATTATCGAAGAATGAATATTTACGAGATATTTTATTAATATTATTAATTAATTTATTATTATTTTTATATTATTAATTTAATATTGATAATATTAATATTAATAGTGTTTATATTTTATGAAATATGTAAAATTATGTGTTAAAATTACAAAATTATAATTATTTTACAGCTCTTTAATATATTTTATTATTTCCACATTTTTGTACCTCTGTTTGTTGCCATGATCACAACTGGAGCCATTTCATTTTCCAGTGCCCGATTGAGAAATGAAAAACATTCGATGTCCAACATGTGTACCTCGTCGATAAAAAGTACGCCTGGCACGATTTCCGCTTTACCCTCCTCTCGCCATTCGGCAACTTTAGCATTTATTTGATCCCGCACTTCCGATTTAATCTCTCCGGTATCTCCGGCGAACAGCGCTAAGAATCCATGAGTTCTGCTATTTATTACATCAATTTCATGTAAAGTCACCGTATGAACAACTTCTTTGCGTTTCTGCAATTCGCCCTCCGGACATTGAACGAAACGCGTTTGAGAACCAGTTGCATCGTAATCTCGAGCTCTCGTAAAGGACCGTCCGAGTCTGTTGATCTTTCCTGTTGCTTTATCGATTGTTATAACATCACCAGCTTGCACCTAGAGACAATGAAAAACCGTAATTAAAAAAAAAATCGATGTAAAAAAATATTATCTAATGTGATATAAATGTACTAACTTTCTCCTTCATCAAACAATCGATCATTTTGTTTCCTAAATCATATATCGTTTCCATTTCAGTTGTTTTTAATGTCAGTTTGCCAACTTTCACTCCCACTCCAGTTGCCGGCCTATCAACTTGGATCTCCACCACCTCGCCCTCTATAATTTCTGTCTCCTCTTTGATTCTAACACCGATGGACTTTCTGATAGACTGAAGTAGGGCCTCCGTCTTACTCATTTCTAAAGAATAAATCTCAGAACCAGCCATCGACGTGAAAGGGGTATCTGCACCCAGGGCTTGCGCCAGTCCCATAGCAATGGCTGTTTTTCCTGTGCCAGGTTGTCCGGCTAGCAAAACCGCACGACCTGCTATCTTGCCATCTTTTATCATCTCCAGAACAACGCCAGCTGCCCTACGGGCCATTTCCTGGCCAACCATACCTTGGGATACCTATAACATAATGTAAAATTAAAAACAATAAAATTTAAATTGCTTTATTTTTTGTAATTAATAAAATATAAGTAATCAACATATAATTATATATGTAACATAACATAATATATAAATGTAATTAATAAAAAGTCTTTGTCCAATGCAGATAATTACATGACGAGCTTCCAAGTTGTCGCTCAGTCCTAAACCTCTGATATGGGAATGAGCACCGATGCGCTCAATTTTGGTAATTTCACGAACATCTTGGACATTAGTAAGAACCTGAAATAAAAAATAATAATTAGATACTTGATGACGAAGAGTTTCAAATCTGCATATTGTAGAATTGTGATCAAAGATGCATAATTATAATAAAATTGATCAAATTCTTGGTTGCTATGTCAACCAATATAAAGCATAAAATAATATCAATATTTAGCTATTAAAATAATATTAAGCTATTATAAAAAATTTATATTAAAGCAAAACATTAGTAGATTAATATTTTCTACAAAGCGTGATTTGTGCGAATAAAATATGTATTTTAGATCGGTTATACAAGAAGTATATATATATAGGTTAATCGACGCTAAAGATAAGAAATTGCACTTGCCGCATCAAAATTGCAAAATTATGAAAAAAGATGCATATCATTTATTTTCATAAAGACATAGAATTTATCTATAAATATTTATAATTTATTTAAATAGAGAAACTTACCGCCATGCTCAATGATAATAAACATGTGTATCTTCGCCGGCGAAATAAGAGAAAATCATAGAACTCGTTCCCCTTCCATATTATGACGATATACCGTTCCAGCGTGTGACGTCACACAGTCTTTGTGCCGCCAGCCAATCACGTCGCTCGCCGACTAGGGGGGAACCAGAGTCCCTAGCGGCGCTCGGCCAATCGGAGCGCTCCGTCTCCCGAGTCGACCAATCAGCGCCGCGGGATTCGTTCTCTGTTTCTAAACCCGTCGCAGGATTAGAACGCCGTTGCTAAACTGTGACGAAAACATACATGTTGAGTTGTTAAAGCCGTCGTTGGGCCATTTCGTGCGATTTTGTATAATTGCGTTACAACTACTCGTGCGTGTATAAATTTGCGGACAATCGTACAATTTCGCGCCTCGCGCGTTTATTCGAGCGAGTTTTATTTGTTAGGTGAGTAAGGGACCTCGAGACTCCACCGAGAAGTGGATTTTCTCCCAACAATAGAAAGGACTGCGAGTTCATAACCAAAGCGAAATTGCGTATTACGCGCTCTTATCTCGGAGAAATTTTCTTCTTTTTGCTTACTTGTTTCTTTAATTCGCATATTTTATAGATTCGTAGACGCAGGAACAGAATCTGTTCGGAAAAAAAATTAGCTTTTTTTTTTTTAGCGATTTTATGTGCCTTATGTACTTTATTAAGCATCCATAAGCATTGTTGCTACAGCATCTTGCAATAATCTGTTTTAGTATTCATATTTTGATGTGAATTGTATTTTATAAATTATAACATTCTTTTAAATTGTAAAAAAAAATTATTAACATTAATAAAGCATAATATTGAACTGTTCCGCAACAATATTTAAGATTAGATATTGTATATATATTTTTATTAAAAGGTAGCATATAGTTTTATCTTATATAATTACTGTATTTAATTGTATTGAATTGCATATAATGTGTTTAATCAATTATCAATTACAGAAAAAAATGAGCAATTTTGTTTAACAGATTTAGTATCGATCAATAAAAAATATATAAAATATATATATAATTAAACTATTTTTTTTACTTGAAACTCGTAAAAAATTGCAAATATATGTTTTTTTATAAATACTTTGAAATAATCAGATTTGTAAAAATATATACATATATCATAAAATATTAACAGTTTATCAGTATATCAGAATAATTATTATTAACAGTGTATCAGAACTTACATCATGTATTTTAATCAATATATTGGTGTTATAAGTATCGTAAATTACAAGAATTTGTAATTTGCGATAATTGTAACACCAATTGTAACAGCTTTATAACTACTTTTTTTATATTACTTGCTCGTTAAGGCCTTATAATAAATCTTTTTATTATTAATAGTTTAATTATATATTAAATATATATTATCAAATTGTTTATAACATTTGCTACATTTTTTTAGGTTAATGGTTAACATTAATAAAAATTATAAATTAGTAAATGTATTAAAGTTGTGAATCCACTTAATAGCATTCGATATGTTCTGAAATATAAATAATTTTTCTAAATATATTTTTATATGAAACTTTCTATAAAAATATAGAATCAATTTTAATCTAATTTTTTATTTTTCAGACTGTGAGCCAGATTTTGGCACAATTTCACTGCAAAAATGTTTGGGCAAACTGGAAATACATCTTTCAGTATGTATATTTGAGACGTAGATATTATTCAAGAGATTTTATTACAGATTGTATTTAAAAAATGTGCATTTTTATTTTTTTTTAAGGTGGATTTAGTACAACACAAAACAGTCCATTTGGTCAGTCTGCTTTTGGTAAACCAATTACTACGACAAGTTTTGGTAGTGGTGCAGCACCTGTTTTTGGTAGTACCAATACTTCATCACTCTTTAGTTCTAAGCCCACAGGTTCTACTACAGGTGGCTTGTTTGGCAATACCACAACGCCACCGGCATTTAGACAGCCAACTAACACACAACCATCTTTTGGAGGTAGCAATTTATAAATTATTTTATTACACATAGGCATCAGTTGTATTGTACATCTTTTACAAAAATTTATTTAACAAATTGGAGGAATTTTCAAAGAATTTCACAAAAATTTCAAAGACGATTTAATATAACTCTTAAGTTTGTAAACTCTGAAAAGCATTTATATTTAAAAAACATTTAACAAAATTACAAATGTAAACAATTGGTTTAAAACTTTTTTTATATTATGTATATATTTCTTACACTTTATTTTGACATTAAGTAAACAGATAAAGGAGAGAAAAAGATAAAATTAGTAATTAAATGTTTTGTAGATAATAAGTCATCTTTTTGATAAATGTATAATATTAGAATATGTTTTTGAAGTAATAATTTTATTTTTATAGGCTTTGGAACAACGAATACAAGTACTAATCTTTTCGGTACTCAACAAAATGCAGGCACAAATCTTTTTGGCACAAGTACAGGAACTTCGGCCTTTGGTCAAACAAACAAACCTGGTAGTTTCAGCTTCGGTACAACGTCTGGAACTAATTTATTTGGGCAGCCACAACAGAATACACCGCAAACTACTCCATTTGGTCAAACTAACACTACTACAAATACAAATCTTTTTGGTACAACTGCAGGTAAATTATAAACTATATATATTATACATATTAATTTTATATATTAATTACAAATATTAAATAGAAAGCAACAGTCATTTAATAGATTAAAAAATATTTAATATATTACAAGAAAGAGTAAATAATTAGAAGAAAAAATGTTTAAGAGATATTTTATAGAAATATGTATTATCTCTCGATACATTAATCATAATTATAATCTATAACAATATTTTCTTTGAAGTTTAAATTATTTTGATTTTTTTTTACACAGGTTTTGGCAATACTAATACTACTACTGTACCAACTGGTACTGTAGTAAAATTTACACCTGTCATTACAACTGATTCTATGTCAAAGAACGGAATATCACACAGCATTTCTGCGCGTCATTGTTGCATCGCATCTATGAAGGAATATGAATCAAAATCGTACGAAGAATTACGTTTCGAAGATTATCAAGTAGGAAGAAAAGGTACACATTGTAATTCATATTTTTAATTATGAAAAAATGAAAAAAATTAATTGATTTTTTTCCTTATGTTTTACACAAATAGGTCCACAACAAACAGGACTTTTTGGAGCACCAGCACAAACATCGCCGTTTGGCAATACAACGGCTGGTACTAGTACAGGTGGAACAGGTAATTTAAACGATATAAAACATTTTTATTTATAATAAAAATTTTTATATAAGCACTTTTTTAATACTTATAAGTAAGAGGAGATCTAACTTATTTTGTTTGTTAAAGGATTTGGATCAATGAGTGGTGGTTTTGGCACTACCAGCCAATCTGGATCAACTGGATTATTTGGAAAACCTATTACTAATTTTGGAGCACCAGCGACTACAACAACCAATAACTTTGCATTCAATTCTACACCTACTACAAACTTGTTTGGTACTAATACACAAACAAAACCATTTGGTAGTAAGTAATCTATCTCTACGAATATATGGTGCTTTCCATTTAGCAACACAAGTCGACACAAGCATCATTCTATCTTTATTCTTATAGAATGTAGAACAAAGATAGAATGACGTTTGTGTCGTTTTGTGTTGTTAAATGGAAAGCACCAATAGTATACAAATATATATACATATCAATATATATTAATTATTTTTATATATTAAAAATTAATCACAAAATTGAAAAATTGAAGATGTTAAATTTTCGTATTTTTGATATGCAATTTTATTTATCTCATTTATCAAGGACATTTTTATGTTAATAAAAGATTTATTATAATATAAAATACGAAAACGACATATACAAAATATACGAATGTGAAAATAAAATATATAAAGCAGTGTATATAAAATATGAAATTTTCTATTTACAGCAGCTGCCCCGACGCCGCTTTTTGGTACCAGTAATACAAATACTGCTGGTACAGGTTTTGGTAGTATTAATACTGGTCAGACTACAGGTTTTGGATCTACATTTGGTTCCACACAACCTAACCAGGTAATACTTGATAAATATATATTGTATATACATAAAAGTCAAAATTATTTTTATATTTTATGCATTTTTTGCAGAGCATTGGATTATTCAACCAAAACAAGTCGGCTTTTAATATTCCATCAACATCGACTAGCACTGGCTTTACTAGTTTTGGACAACCAGCTACAAATAACACTACTACTCCATTATTTGGTAACAAAACCAATACGACTGGATTCGGAACAACATCTACATTCGGTGCCACTGCGCCTTCCACATTCGGAACTAATACTGGCTTCAATTCTGGTACCAACACTGGATCCTCATTATTTAATTCATCGTTTAAACCGGCTGGACAAACATCAGGATTTTCTTTTGGAGCTACACCTGTATCTTCAACTGGACTAGGTAAATACATGTTTATTTTGATTTAATATTTAATTCGATTTTATTATATTTACAAAATTAACACTCCTGTTAATTAATATCGACATTTTTTAAATTAATGTTAAATATTTTACAGGCACAAATACTGGTTTGAGTTTAAATAGTGGTTCTTCGTTATTTGGACAACAAAAACCAGGCAGTCTGTTTGGAAATACTGGAACTAATACGACGTTTAATAATCCTGGAACATTTGGATCTTCCACCTTTGGAACAGGCTCTAATATGATGTCTGGAACAGGAATGGGTTTACTTAATGGAGGGTAATGTTTATACATTTTTCAAATAATAAGTTTCATATAATAAGAATATATATTTTATATATATATATAAAATTATTATGAGATAGATTATATCTGAAAGCACAAACTTTGGATCTAATTTATCAATTTTATAAACACACTTCCCATTTAAAAATATTGACATTTTTATTTTCGGATTTTCTTATTTGAACTGAGGAATATATCCTCAAATTTACAACTATAAATTGAGATATTTTGTGTGTTTGTGTACATAAATTGAATAAACATTTATTTTTTAGAATGGTATCTAATCAAACCAAAACAAACGGTTTAGTACCAGTGCATCAACAAATCTTGGCTCTTGTTTCTGCACCATTCGGCGATTCACCATTATTAAAGAATCTCTTACCAGTAAGTATTATATTTTACACATGTACATTTAGGATAATTATATTTTTTATTTTTCTATTTTTATAGGCATCTGGAAAGACCGAAGAACTTTTAAAACCTACAAATCCAACATCAAAAATACTTAATAGTCCACATTATAGAGTTACCACTAATAACAAATCTCCAAAAATCAAGGCAAAAGTTGTCAATTCTGTACAACTATCTAAGGTAAATTGTTTACTAAGTTATTTAAACTTATTTCAATTTTTTTTAAACATTTGAAAATGATTGAATTGCATATTCATGTTGATTGAAATTTTTTTATTTTAATATTATGTCATTTATCAGTCTTTACATATTTATCATTATAAATGTGCTTTTAATAACACTGTATATGGATAATAACATTTAGCTTTATTTATGCTTATATTTTTAATCATATATGCATGATAAGTATTACATTCTTATTAAATGGAATATTTTATTTTTCTAGAAATCTTTGTTTGATGGTCTTGAAGAGGAAGATCCTGTGTTAACAGAAGCTTTCCAACCCCGGCCAAATGCAAAACGTTTGGTATTACGACCAAAATCGACAACAAATTCCTCGATTCAGTCTCCTACAGAAAACGGAGAATCTGTGGCAAAAAATAATTCTAATAATTCTATAGAAGATAGAGCGGATACATCAAATATATCAGTACACAATAGTAGTATTGAAGTTAATAATAAAGAAAATCACAGTCAAGATAATAATCGAATTGCAAACGATCGACGATCATCAACATCTTGGTAAGATAATATTGATATGTAAATTGTTCAGATTTTCTTTTCTCGTAGTTTTTATTTTTTTATAGAAATTTTAAATAAATTATAATCATTCAATTAAATTTGGAATAATATTCAAAAATTGTTTATATATTTTCTTGTTTTCATAATTCTTTAAAAAATTGAAAGCGAGAACGAGAAAAGAAAATGTGGAAGATTTATATATTATTAATAATAATTTCCATTTATAGGTTGAAGTCGACACTTCCGCGGAGAAATAAAATTCCAGATGACGAATTACTTGAGGGCCAGCGATCGCCATTTTCTGCACTAAATGTACCCGAGGAAGTGAACAACACGGTGGCAGAATTGAGACCACAAAATAATATGTTAAATACGAATCATTCCGATAATACGATTAATTCGATCGAAGTACCATTAAATTCTTCTTTCGATGATAAAAGCTCTGGAAATCTTTCCCTCCAAAATACAGGTAAATATTTTTCAATTAAGGTTTCTGGCTCCTTGTCGATCATATTGGAATTATGACGTCAGAGGCGACAAAACACTCTAAAAATTTTTGATACCATTTCGAAATATTTTCATTTAAAAATGGTATCTAAGAATTTTTAGCGTGTACTTTCTGTGACGTCAATCTAACATGGCTGCGGCGAGGACCCAGGCCTTAATTTAATTGAAAAAAACTTTATGTATAATAAAAGATTGTTTTGAATATTAGATTAAGTTATTATGTTAGGTGGTTTTTAAATTTTTAATTTGACTTTTCTTCACAGATTTAAGTCAGGAAGCAAATGAAAATTCCTTTTGATGTTGCAATCAAGTTGGAGCTTAAATATGGCTAAAGTCACATTACGACGAGCGGGTTATTACACCATTCCGCCACTCGATAAATTAGACGATTTCCTTTGTGGCGAGACATGTATCGTGCCAAACTTTACCATTGGCCGTGAAGGTTACGGCAATGTCTATTTTCCGGATTCGTTCGATGTGTACGGTTTGAATCTTGATGAAATCGGTAAGTTAATTAATAGATATATTAATCTATTTTTTTACAACATACAAATTACTATTATATGATATGTATTTTATTTATCATTTAATATGTGTATTTTGATACTTTACTTTATTCTAATTTTATTGTAAGATTATCAAACAATACACACATATATATATATATATATATATATATAAAATTTTATTGCAATTAATTTTTTAATTATATTTAATTGTATTTTATAATTTTATATGTATACAGGGTGTCTCATTTTAATCAAATAAGTTTTTTATTTTTGATTGTAGAAAAAAAATGTTTCAGACAAAAGTTGTATGATTTCGAGGAGGACATGAGGTGGTGCCATTAGTTTGACCTTGAATAGTTGCTTGAAGGTCACGTGAAGGTTACTTTGAGATGAGGAGATCTTGCCTTATAACTCAAAAAGTACTTGAGATAAAAGTGTTTCATTATAGTGTTTCGGAAAGCTCTCGATGTCAGCTATAAGAATATGTAGTGAAAAGTAGGTAGTTCCATTTAAGAGAAATTAAAGGTGACCTTCACATGACCCTCAAGCAACTATTCAAGGTCAAACTAATGGCACCACCTTATGTCCTCCTCGAAACCATACAACTTTTGTCTGAAACATTTTTTCTACAATCAAAAATAAAAAACTTATGGAGTGGGATATTAAAATGGGACACTTTGTATATAATTTTATCGCGATTAATTTTTAAATTGTTTGTTAAAGTACATGAATCATGTTGAGTGATATTTTGCGCTTTATATTACAGTTCATTTCCGTCATAAGGAGGTGATCATTTATCCCGACGACGAGAAGAAGCCGCCAGTGGGCCAAGGTTTGAATCGAAGGGCGCAAGTTACATTGGACAAGGTGTGGCCGCACGACAAATCGCTACACGAGCCGATCACGGACCCGCAGCGCCTTGCCGCGATGAACTACGAAGGCAAACTGCGCAGAGTATCCGCGAAGCACGACACCCGTTTCCTCGAATATCGGCCGGAGACCGGCTCCTGGGTGTTCAAGGTCGAGCACTTCTCCAAGTACGGTCTCAGCGATTCGGACGAGGACGAATCCAGCCAAGTCCCGGCGGCCTCGGACGCGAAGAAGCTGAAGGGGTTTCCGGTTGCCCCGCAGAAAGGAAAGCTCGCCGATCCATCTGCCGCGAATAAGGACGCGATAAACGGGGGAATTAACGGAGCGGTCGGTGGCGGAAAGCCGGAGGGCGCTAACAAACACGCGAACCTCGAGGAGAATTTTTTCGAGGAAACCCCGATTCCGTTCATCCGCGAGCGCGCTTACGACAAGTGGGACAGGTTCGTTCGTCCAGTCAGGGATCCGCCTGCGGACCGTTCCGTTTTCATTTCCAGGGATTACAATTACGAGAAGCGCATGACGGTCAGCCCGGTCGGCGATAACGCTCGAATAGCGGGTACGGACAGCCACAAGGTGCAGCTTATGAAGGCGAGCTTCTTCGACGCGAACGAGGATGACGACGATATGATGAGCGAGGAGATGAACCACGACATATTTCCCTCCGTGAAGAAGACCCTGACCCGTTACTTCCCGGACGTCGCGGAGCTGAAGAGCGACGAGAGCCTGCTGCGCTCGAGCGTCGTCGTGAACGAGATCCCGTTCTCCACGAGCCAGGAGAGCCTGTTCTATGCCCCGAGCAATAAGCTGCAGCTGTCGACGCGGCTGAGCGCGCAGAGCAAGCAGTCCGTCGTCGAGAGGGCGCTTCCTCCGTCCACGGTTGCTCCGATCACCAGCGTGTTGAAGTACCACTACGAGGTCGTGCCGCTGAAGGAGTCGAGGCTGAACAAGCTGCGCTTCCGCTGCATCGCTGACGCCGGGATACAAATGGGCAGGATGTTCCGGCCCAGCTGGGGAGCCGGTTTAACCCTGCTGTCCCTGAGCACGCAGGAGCAGGCGACCAAGGTGCAGCTGCAGGGCGCGTTCAGCCAGCTGAGTCACTACGTCTCCGGGCGTCTGGCGAACGACACTTCTTCCACGGCGATCGTGCAGCGGTTGCAGCTCCTGGGCGGCGACGAGGACGACGCGAGGATGTTTCGGGACAGCATAGAGCGCCACCTGAGGATCCAGTTAGACCACTGCGTGATGGGTCATGAAGGGGACTGTCCCGTCTTCCACGTCGCCACGGAGAACGCGAACAAGGCGCTGCAGCTGCACTGCACCTTGGCCCAGGAGCTCGCGGAGAAGGAGCAGCGACTGAACGAGAATGTAAACGACGAGCAGCTGCGGGACCTCGGCGAACGCTCGTTCCGCCAGTACGCGAGCATCGTGTGGACCCTGTGCGTTGCGCTCTGGGGAAATTACGCGGATCAGGATGCTGGACAGGCTAACGAGGAACATTGCAACGTGATGCTGAGGAGGGAGGCGCTGAGCGAGTGGCTGAAGAGCGTGGTGCAGCAGACGGTGGAGCGGGAGATCAGGAACGTGGACGGCCAGGTGAGGAACTCCCACGAGAGGGTGATCCTGTCGTTGCTCTCGGCCTGCAAGCTCGAGGACGCCTGCCAGGAGGCGCGACAGGCCGGGGACCACTGTCTGGCGTTGCTGATGGCGCAGCTGAGAGGCGGTTCCCCGGTCAAAGAGCTGATCAAGCAGCAGCTCGCCCTGTGGCAGGAGATCTACGCGGACGAGAATCTGACGGTCGAGCGGCTCAAGCTGTTCATGCTGATCGCGGGCGAGCCGCTTATCTCCAGCAAGCACGGCACCATCAACGTGTGCGAGGAACTAGACTGGAAACGGGCCTTCGCCATCCACCTCTGGTACCTGTCGGCGCCCACTTGCTCGATCACGGACGCCCTGGACCTCTACCAGGCGTCGTTCGACGCGACCGACGACTCCCAGAGGTACGCGGCGACACCGGAACCCGAGTACAGGAAGAGCTACGATTGCGACGCCGAATTGAGCAACCGCAAGCAGTCCTACGACCTCTGCTTTCATCTCTTGAAGTTGTACTGCACGGGGAATCACAACCTGGGAGAGCTCTTGAATCCGCTGTCCTATACCGCGAATCCTTTGGATTACAGAATGAGGTAAACTCGAAACCTGCCGACGTCTTGCCTGGCATTTGGCCGAGTGTTGAATCGTAATAATCAATTATAGCACGATCAACAGCAAAAAATCATGTAGTTTTAATTATAAGATATATATCAGAAGACTTTTGTTTTGGAATATTATTATTTAAATTTGTGGGAAAAAATATAATGAATACCGAGGTGTACTAAAAATGTCTTAATGTAGAAGTATTATCAAGAAATATTTAAGAGTCAAATTGAAAAAATAAAGACAAGTAGATATCAATCGCAAGTTACAAAATTATTGCGTAAATATAATTAGTTTAATTTTACAAATATCTTTGGATAAGAATCAATCAGAGCCATTTTAAGTTAAAAAATAGGTAATTTGCAGCTACATGTTTTTTTCTTTAAAACAATCATGCATTTTCTTCACAATTGATTTCTCTCATTATTTTGTACATAAAAGAATCTTGGGGTAGGATTATCGAAAAATGAATTAAAGAAAACGATTTTTAAATTAATACCTTGTGAACTATTCATTTTTTGATTATTTTACTATTAATGTTTTATAACTTTTATAACTTATAATGTTTTCTACTTTTTATGTCAAATTTGGTAAGGAATCAATTTAAGTAAAAAAAGTGATTTTATTTAAAAAAACAAAAATTAGATTGAATTTTAAATGAATTTTAATTGAAAAGTGACTTAGTTTAAAATGCAAAATTATCAATTTTGCTCTTCCCTCGAAACCTTAACTTTTGTATGGAATATTTACTCGATACAGCCATAGCTTCAGCAATATTCAGCTAAAATATGAGAATTTTTTTTTTGGCAGCTGGTTGATACAACAGATACTCATAGCTCTGGGTTACACGCATCTTTCCGATCACGTTGCCGCGTTAACACATGCAAATTTTGCGACGCAATTAGAGGCATACGGACTCTGGCACTGGGCGATCTTCGTAATGTTGCATCTAAGAGATTCATCTAGACGACAAATCGCTGTACAGGATCTGCTCTTGCGTCACATAGAGATAGACGATTCTTCAGAATATATGGAACGTGAACAATTCCTGAAAGAAGAGCTCGGTATATCATCAGTTTGGATTAATCAAGCTAAAGCCATCAAGAGTAGTATCAATAAAAGGTATCTTTAACTTATATTTAATATTAAGATTTTTGTGTGCTTTCTCTGTCATGACTTTTTTTATAAATAATTAAATCTTATCAATTTGTTAATGAGTGATTGCTATTCAATTTTTAAAAATTAAAGCCGTGACTTTAATAAAATATGTCAAGCTCAAAATTATTCTACATATTTATTGTAAATATTAAAAAGAAAAAGAACTGCTATATTTGTAAATACATAAATACGTTTGTCGATTGTAAAAAAATTCTGAGCATATTTACTTTTTTTTTTTTTTTTTTTTTTTTTTTTTTTTTACAGATTTGGTGAAGCAGCTTGGTACTACATTCAAGCGGAACAATGGACTCAAGCTCATGAAATTATTATAGAGCATTTGGCAGCTGATGCTATAATAAATGGTACTATTAATTTACATTTTTCGTATTTTAATGTATTAAACGATTATAAAATATTATATATATATACACAAAGTAAGATCCACACTAAACATTATCTCTTTGAGATTAATTTTGCTTTCCGTAATGTATCGAAACTATGTAAAACTATATTTTTAGACCAATGTTGTCCAAAACATTAGCTTACTACTAACTATGTTTATATTTTGCAATAGGCAATTAGTGACGATTAAAACCTTTTGAGTATTGCCATAATTTTCACCACGTATTTCAAAATCATTGAAATAAGCAAAAAGCCATGTTCCGATATACTCAACTTTGTCCAAACAATTTCACAAACTGTCCTGTTTTTTCAGAAAACTACGAATATTTGAAATCATTGTTAATCACGCTAGTACCAGCCGAATGTAGTGGTACAATTAACAAATGGGCACATCAAGGACAGCTCCTGTGGGAATATATGGAAATAACTGCTGAAATTCAAAATCTGTTAAAATCCACTCCAGATTTTCATGGAATTACTTATCAACTGGAAGCATTAAAGCCACGTTTAATGAACTTGTGTCAAAAGATCGACCAGTTTCCATGTCCAACTGCTAAACACAGGTATGCAAAATACATATTATTTCAAGGTAATTATCAGTGTTATGCTTAGATGATTTTAAAATTAGCTAAATAAAAAAGAGATAAAAATATGTAAATTCATCTTAGATAAGATGAAGATGATTTTGTTTTAAATATATCTAGATAAAAGATAAAATTATATGGCGACTCATCCAGATACTTTTCTAGATAATAATTTTTAAGACTGCTTATATAAACACAGTTATAAAAAAAATGTAAATTATAAAAAGGATATTAAAATATATGTATTCATATTTTTTAATATCCTTATTTATAAATTTTTATCGCTTACTGCCTAAGTTCTACTATTTAAGTATTTTTAGTGCTATGATTCTAAACCAAAATTATCTGAAAATTATTCTAGATAATTTAATAAAGATATACTTTTTTCATCTAAGATGCAGACATATAAATAATACATATTTTTATTATCTAAGAATATAAAGATAAGATGACGCCAAAGTTTCATCTGGATGATCATCTATATAATTTTATTTAAATAACAAATACTGGCTATTACGTTCTCAACTTATATTAATGCAATTTCCATATTTCCAGATTATGTCAGGCTGAAATTGCAAAAAGAACTCTTCATTTGGCTAGAAATCTGTTACTACTGCAGAAAAATGAACAGAAATCCGTCACAAAATTGTTGGTTCGCCTACTATCTCGGCTACCATTACCGGAGGATTATGCGCAGCAAGAACTTCGACCCATCGTTAATATGCGCGTAACAGAAGTGATGTCGCAATAAATAACACACATAAATTAATTTATTGATTATTAATATAGTTGTAAAGCTTTTACGACTTTTTAACGCAATAGAGAAGGTACTGACTTTTATTTTTTTTCCCACAATTAAGTTATAATTCCACATAAACAAGTAAAAAGCTTTTTTTTTAAACTTCAAGCAATACAGATATATAATACATATATTTAGTAAACTGCGACATGATGATGAGATAAATCACGCGATTCATCCAGTAGATAAAAAGCTGAAAATTTTAAACTTGGCAAAATACATTAACATGTGATATCACATTTAGATCTTTTTTACATTTTTATTAATTAAAAATTCGTGCATAAAATTATATTAAGTAATTTAAGAAGCGTATGTGGCGATATATATAATGCAATTCAGTATGTATTCAATAATAGCGTGTAGTTCAGGAAAAAGGTGCACGAGAAATAATGAGAAATAACTGTATTCTTTAGAGAAACATTTCATACATATATATATTTCTTTTTACAATATCTTATTTGAGAAAGGATGAATCATATTGGATATCTTTTGAAAGATTATTCAAAATAGAACTTTTCTGAATGTATTTTGTATGTATTACGACATATATGTATCATAATAATATAATCATTATTTGCATTAGTTTTTATATTAGTTATTTGTTCAACATGATTATATTTTTGAGTATTTGCGTTTCATATTAATAAAATTTAGATAAAATCACGTATAAATGTAATTAATAAGTAAAAGTAATTAATAAGTATAAATTGTTTTTCTTCACATGTGCGACAAACTTGTACATTATGTTAAAGTTGAAGATGTTCGAAGAGATATATTTTGATGCATTCTTGAATGTATGCTATACAAGTGTAAAAAGTTTTTCCATTATTGGCAGGTCAGATACTTTTATGAAAAGCATCAATTATATTAGCAAAAAATGAAATACATATATATGTATAAAGAATATTTGTATAAATGAAACCAAGTTTTTTACTCTTTTCAAGATTGAAATAAACATAGAATATCTGCACGTATATACAATCTTACACACACACATACACATACTCACTGCTTTTACATTATATAAGCGAGTGTGTAAGTGGAACACATTTTGTAGACAGAAGTATAAATAATCAAGAGCACAGTATAAAATTATGAATAAACATACAAGTGTTACAATTGAAATATTTCAACTTTATTAGCGTAGTAGTTCGAGAGAGGAAAAAAACATTAAAGTTTTTTGTTTTAATCTCTAGAGTACTAGCGATTAAATCTCCAAATTAACTCCTTCGATGAATAAGCCTTCTCTCACACTTTTCTTAGTACATAAGTTGCGCGTATAACGCTAATTCCTGTCGCACTTGAACAATTATAATGCGATGCCACCTCGTCTCGCCATTATAGGAAAGGATCTCTCGCTGTCTTTATTGTAAGATATAGATATATGTTAAATCAATGATACCGGGCTTGCGCTGCGTTAAACCCCCCTAACGTCGCATAAGGTTTGGGACTGTGCCATCCCCGCCAACGGGGTAGCGAAGCCGGGTAGTCGACGCTACCCCTCTACTATCTTCTGTCGCTTTTATCCCTCCTTTCTTCCCCACCGTACTCGTACTCCACCGACCTATATATGTATATATATATATATATATATACAGGGTGTCCCGTTTTAATTTACACAATAAAATATTTTGATGTGTAATTTTAGAAAAAAAAGATTTGACCTTGAACAGTCATTTGGAGGTGACTTTCAATTTTTTAAGAGAAACCTACTGTTTTTCATTGCAGATTCTTGTAGCTTATTTTGTCTCGAGAACTTTCCAAAAGATATTTTTCTCTTAAATATTTTTTGAGTTATATAACTTGACAATTTTTTATGTCAAAAAATTATTGACTTCGATAACTCAGAGTAGTTGAAAGAAAAATATACTTTATTATATTTTGGAAAGCTCTCAAGATAAGCTACAAGAATACGCAATGAAAAATAATAGTTTCCGCTTAAGAAATTAAAAAGGTGACCTTTAAACGACTATCCAAGGTCAAATATCTTACGTCTCTCTCGAAGTCATATTTTTTTCTAAAATAACGTAACATCAAAATAATTGACTGAAAATTAAAATAAAACACCCTGTATATACACTTTTCCCTCCCTCTCGCCCTTTCCATCTTTCAATACACGCGAATACTCCGAAAGCTTTACAAAACGAATCACAATGGCCGAGGAAGCCTTTCAACAAGTTTCGATTCCAATCTCGAGGGGTTGGCTGTGTGACGTCATCAAAGCATAAATTAAGACATGTACATATCCTTGTAATTTTTCCCAGCGAAAACAACGAAAGGATGCGCACTTTTCCCACTTCCGCTTCCGTTCCTACCTACCTACCTACCCTCCGGAATAAACGTACTCTCGAAGCGCGCGAGAGCCGCCTCATAGCCGTAGCGAGAACCGCGCATGCGCGCGCCGCGAGTGGGGGAGATAGGGGCGCCACGCGCGCGTGGTGGGGAGTGGCGGTAACCATGGCGACGCGCAGCGGCGGCTAGCGGCGACGGACGGAGATGACAGACAGAGTGGCGCGACGCGCAGCGTGATACTACGTCGCCGCGACGCGCGTTTCTGCGAGATTTTTTACGTCACCGTTTGGGGTGGCCTCGTCGAAGAAATTTCGCGAAATCGTGCGTCGATCCCGATATCGCTCCCATCCCTTTATTTCGCTTGATCAAAAAACAAGTACACACATATATATATATATCCATATATATATATATATATATATACATATATATCTCCCCGAAGAAGCCCCGCAGTCTCTCCTTTCCCGCCGCTTCCACCCTTTCCTTCTCCCTCTACGGGGTCGCCACCCCTTCTCTCTCGTCTTCCATTCTTTCTGGTTCTCTGCGCGTTACGGCGTGAACTATACCGAATTCGGTACGGAATCGTATCGGGGTAGTATAATAGTGGAGTGCGAATATATAAAATCGACGTGTGTGTCGGGGTCGCGATCTTAAAGAGGGTTGAATACGTAATATGCCGCAATAATTCGGTAAGCGCGATGAAATCATGTGGTCGCGCTCGGCTCCGGAGGAGGCAGTGACATTTATTTATACGGACGCACATATACGTGTTCCGGAACGTAGTTACTACACCTAGCCCGGAACGCCGCCGCCTTCCTCATCCTTTCCGCCCTCTGTTGAAATGATCGACTCGACGGACGGGCGATCCGTCGTCGTGGCGTGGACGAGCGATATCGTCGGGGAAAATGGAGAGACGTCGAGGATGAAGATCGAGGAGTCCTTATTTCGTCGCTGTGTGTGAGACCCGGAACCTTTTCGCGATATACATATATATATATATATATATATATATGTATACATATATATAGATATATAGATATATCTGGTACACATGAGCGAGTGACAGGTTTTGGGAGAGAATTTTCCTACTGCAGTTCGCGATATTATAGTGATAATAGGATAGATAGATAGAGAGAGAAAGAGAGAGAGCGAGAGAGAGAGAGAGAGAGGACTAGATGCGCCTGAGATCGATCCGGAGGAAGAACGAGAGAGGAAGAAATCGCGGACGCTTCTTAGGCGACGACCTATGGACGATGCGCGAAGATCATCATTAAATCGACGGGTGTCGGAGCCGGTACCTGGTCGCTGCTCCCCGATTCGACTCATCGATCGCCAATCGCGCGAGATTATCGCGAGGAAAGGGGCTTTACTACGCAGAACCCCCCGAGAAAGAGGGAGAAGGAGAGGGAGAGAGAGGAATTTGAGAAATATAATTGTCGAGAGCTGTTGAAATATATAATAATGTTCCTGCGCATCGACGACAAGCTACTACGCTTCGGGATACTACTTCTGTTGTGGATAGGCTCGAGCTGTCAGCAGGAGGAGGACATACCTCACAATGAGTAAGTATCAGTCCCAAAAGTAGCAAACTTACGTCATTAAACGTCAAAGTGACGTCAGAATGACGAACGCTTGCTTTAAATGATTCCTCATAAGCCTCATAGCGATTGAGGGACAGTAAAAGGGTATGAAGAGTATCCGGCAGAGACCTTCGTCGTCAAAATGACGAATGACGTCAAAATGACGAATATTTTGTTTTAAATGATTCCTCATAATCCTTATAGCGATTTAGGGACGATAAGAGGGTATAACGAATATTTGGTAGAAACCTTCGTCGTCAAAATGACGTCAAAATGACAAACACTTGCTTTAAATGATTTCTCATAATCCTCATAGCGATTTAGGGATGATAACAGGGTATGAAGATTATTTGGCAGAGATCTTCGTTGTCAAAATGACGTTTAATAACGTCAAAATGACAAACATCTGTTTTAAATGATTCCTCATGATCCTCATAGCGATTTAAGGACGATAAAAGGGTATGAAGAATATTTGGCAGAAACCTTCGTCGTCAAAATGATGTTTAACGACGTCAAAATGACAAACGCTTGTTTTAAATGATTCCTCATGATCCTCATAGCGATTTAGGGACGATAAAAGGGTATGAGGAATATTTGGCAGAAACCTTCGTCGTCAAAATGATGTTTAACGACGTCAAAATGACAAACGCTTGTTTTAAAATGATTCCTCATAATCCTCATTGCGATTGAGGGACAATTTAGAGGGTATGAAGAGTGTCCGGCAGAGACCTTCGTCGGACTCGGACATCGATGACGCATATAGGGGCCTGAAAGAGAAAAAGGGAACCAGGGAGCGAGAGAGGAAGGGAGTTAGAGTGGTGGGGTGGTGGCGCGATGTGGATATGTGAGCGATCGGACGGATGGGGTGCATAAAGCTCGACGAGCAAAACTCGATAGGGAGTAGAAGGTGCGCGAGGGCAAAGGGCGAGCGGGTAGATGAAGGCGAGAACGAGCATGCGGTAACAGGGTGGGGAAATAAAGGAGCGCGCGCGAAAGGGTGGGAAGGAGGGCAGGTAAAAAGAGAGGGATGAGGGCGATGAGGGACGAGAAACGCGTTGCTCTCTCTCTCTCAAGAAAGACGAATATGTAGGATCGAGAAGGGGAGAATGAGGTGGCAAAGTGAGAAAAATAAAAAGAATATAAGCGGAAAAGTCTAAAAAAAATAAGAGGATAGGTAATATATGAGGAAATATAGGGAGAAATAAGAAGAGGCGACTATATATTTGAAAAGCGTGAAAGAAAGCAAAGAGTAAAAATGGAAATAAGGAAGAGCGTGAGACATGAATAAATAGAAAAAGAAAAAATTAAGCATGAAAAGAATCAAATGTAAAATATTTAAAAAAATTTTTTAATTTTATTTTTTAGTCTAAAAAAAAAGACAGTTGAAGATCAGCAAACAAATGGCAAATGTGCAAATCAAATGTGTTTATATATTTTTTTAATTACAAGAGATCCATTATACTTGATGTACTTCTAACTACTTTAATTTTTATTATAATTAATTTGTAAAGTATAAATTTTATACATGGATAATATCTCATATTGATTCATTATCTCAAGGATTTTTTCATATGTATCACAGTTTTAATAAAGATGTGCAAAAACATACAGTATTTTCCATAAGTGTTTGGAAACACTTTACATTTTACAGTTAAACAATCGCATGGCAGGGATCTGTCATAAATAAAAATGTTATTTAAATATTTTACGATTTATTGATACAAAAAATCTACACAGATTGTTTAACTGTAAAATGTAAGGTGTTTCCAAACTTTGGAGGGTACTGTTTATTTAATGCAATTATGAGTAATATTTTATTAATGACTTTTATTAATTAGAGTATAAATCAATGTCATAAGTTTAATAAAGTTAATAGAGAAATCTTAATTATTTATTTTATATTTTATTTGCAAATGATTTCATTTTTTACTGAATATGCATGTATTTGAAATATAATATTGTATTATTAAAATTGTTGCAGAGTGAAAAACTGGGCCTTAAAGTTTGGAGTGGATTTATGGGAGTTTGGGAAACAAGTAACTAAAATGAATGAGATACAAAGGGTAAGATATTATATTATACTTAACTAGACTTAATATTTAATTAATTGTACACATACATTCAGTATTATAATATTACATTCATAATTATAATAAATGTAATTTAATGACATGCATACGCATTTAGTGTTATATTAGGTCTGTTCTTTTCAGCTGAACTGGCTACACTAGTTCAAAGGTTATCTTTTTCCTTTCAATGTCGAGCAAAAAAGATGACCTCTGAACTAGTGTAGCCAGTTCAGCTGTGAAAAAAACCTAATATTACATTTGATTCAATATTACATTCAAAATTATAACAAATATGTCCATTAAACAAATCATATGAAGATATTGTTATTATATACACAAAGGTTTATATATATATTTGGATAACATGTAAGAGAATATATATGAATCATATTTTATAATTCTTTCGCAAAGTCACTCTCTTTAATAAAAAAAATTCTTATAGTTTTATTTCTTATGCACTGATGTTTCTTACTTGACATTTAGAAATACCATGAGGTGGATGCAGATGTCAGAAAAAGAGATGGTCTTGTTCTTGTTCGGGAAATGGCCATGGAAGTGAAAAATATGATTGACTTTAAAATGAATGCTGTAATGGTACGTAATTAATAGATATCTTTTTTTCCTTGTGCTTCAATTTTATATCTTTATTTATTAAATTAGATATCTGTATATTAAATTAGATATCTATATATTAAATTAGATTTAATACTATATAAAAACTGTCTTGATGAAAATTAGATAGTGTTCTTTTTTTCTGTAATATTTAAAAATTCACTGTGAGTTATCAAAAATGAGAGAATTTCCACGACTCAACAAAACGAAATTATATAATATGAATAAATATGAATAATATGGCTGCTACACAATTTATATATTATATATTGTAGTGAATATGTAAGTGAACAGAAAGAGTAGACTCACCAAGAGAACCTCGCAAACTCAAAAATGTTGATAAAACTTTATACACATATAGGAGAGATAAATAGATCAATTTAGAAATTTTTTAATGCGGCTCAAAATGATTCTAAGAGATGAAATCACCCTTACATATAAAACTGCTTGTTGTTTTTCTTGTTGACTATTTAAATAATAATGTAAATGTATTTAATATTACACAAAACTTTGTCAGATTCTGTTGGTAAATCTTATGAACACTCCATATTGTAAAATATAATAAAAAATAATAAATTAATAATATAATAGAGCTTCACAGGCAAAAGTCTATTTTTAAAAAACCTGCATGCAAAAACATACATATTTTTATAGAGATACAATATAATTACTCTACAATATAATTAATGTTATAATATCATTAATTGAATAAATTCTGACATTCCGAACGTCAATTGAATTGATTTTTTAATGAAACTGTTACATTTGTGATTAAATAGAAATGCAAATAAAATGTATATAATCTATTTGTAACACATAATCTGTACATTTACAGAGATTGGTCGAGAGCGCCGAGCAAGCCGCGGTGTCGATGCCAAAAGAAGGGAATGTATCGCCTAAATATTATGCTTCACATCGGCTTAATAACTTTGTTAGTGACGGAAAGGCCGGCTCGCAAGAAATGTTCCTCACTGTAAATCGTCATTTTGACCATTTAGCAGTGAACGTTAGTTTGTCTGCCGTGCTTTTGCCAAGTGGAGTTAAAGACAGCGGTGAGTATTGTAATAGAGTTTTTATTTTACAGTATAAAATAAATAAACCGAAAATACAAATTATTAACAAAAAATGCAAGAACAACGGAGAGAAAGACTTTTATATAATTATAGAAATTTTTATATATTTTATAAAGTCTGATAACGAATTTGAAACTCGCACTACTTTGCATTAATATATGTTAAAATTTACTAATATGTATATAAAAAAATAATAGAATAAGAAAATATAAAAATAAATAAATATAAAATTTAAATACATTGTAAAGAATTAAATTCAATATGATATATATTGTCAAATTATATATTTAATAGAATATATATTGTTTTATCATTATAACATATTATGATGCATATTACTTTAAAGCTATTTTATTGTTGTTTATAAAAGTCGCTTCATCATTGAATATAATTTTATTAAATATATAACATATACTTTATAACATTATTCTTCACTTGATTGGATTATTTCATGGTCATTTCAAATAAGTCTGTTGAATTTGCTTTCATGTACTAAATATAATTAACATAAATCTATTGTTCCAATTGAAGAAACAAAATAACTTCAATAATCTTAAAAAAAATATAAAAAAATAAAATTGTATTATTAAGTTTACATAAAATTAATTTAATAAAGGAAAATATTTCATTTTCTTTTTACCTGTTTTATTACGTATCAGTCGTTATTTTTGTAACTGCTACAATTTAAATTTAAATAAAAAAATATTAATAAAACAAGTGTCGATTAGTAATTGAAGAAAATAATTTAGCTTAATTATTTTTATTATAAAAAATGATCGTTTATTTGCAGAACGTGATGTTGCTGCGGGCATTCAATGGAGCGAATATTTAGATCTCTTGTTTGTTAATAATTATGAGAGCGATCCTACACTATCATGGCAATATTATGGATCGACGACAGGATTTCTACGTCGTTTTCCAGGTATTTATAATTATCATAATTTTATAATTTTTTAATACAAATTTTATTAATTTTGTCTAAGATATATTAAACAATATATTAAACTATTTATATTGTTTAATATATTTTATATATTAAACAATAATAAAATAATATAATAATAATAATATAATAATATAATATTATATTAAATATATTTTAATATGATGTTGCCTTTTACAATATGTAGTTATTTTCATAAATTCTATTTTATTATTTAGATAAGTTCTGGAAAAATGACATGAAAATATAATAAGATATATAATATAATAAGATCATTTTTATTACAGCGATATCGTGGCCGCCGATGGAAGCTACATTCGGAAGGTCCAAGTCCTCGCACCATCGCTCTGTTCGCGACATATACGACTTTAAAATGCTGAATTGGTTTATCGGGGCGGCGAATAGCCCAAGGGATCTAGCAATATTGATCGACAGTGCGACTTATTCATCCGATAAGAATCGGCGATTAACAATAGCCACAACGAAGGTCATTCTGGACACCCTAGGACCGAACGATTACGTCAACGTATATCGTTACGGTGAAAACGCCGAGGAGATCGTGCAATGTTTCAAGGACAGCTTGGTGCAGGCTTCGCCGGAGAATATTCACGAGATGAAGGTCGCATTGGGCTCGGTGAAACACGAGGATCCAGCGACCAACATCTCAGCTGCGCTCAGCACTGCCTTCGAGATCCTGCAGAAATATAACCGGACCGGCCAGGGGAGCCAGTGCAATCAGGCCATTATGTTGATCACTTCCGACACCAGCAGCCCGCCTATGGAAGTCATAAAACGTTACAATTGGCCGCACATGCCTGTTCGCATCTTCACTTATCTCATCGGCGGTGATAAGAGTCCCGAACTCCGAAATACGGCTTGCACCAATAAGGGTAACGTTATTTCGGCTGATAACTTGCAAATATACAGGGTGTTTACTTAGACAAAATAAAATAAAACAGATTGTATACAGAGTATCTGATAAAAATTGTAAAATCCCACTGTTATGCAGTTGTTAGGCAGGAATAGCCTTGGAAATTTATCCAAATATTTTGTAAACACCCAGTATATTATAAATGAACTATAAATAGATATTCGAAATATATAATTAATTGTGTTTTATTAAATCTATCTATGTAAAAGTTAAGAGAAATTAGGAAAAGGTATATATATAGGAATTAAGAGAAAAAAATTAATGTCTCGTTAAATATCTGAAGAAAATAAACTTTTATAAATATTTTATATCCAACAATAATGACCTCATAGGATTTTATGCGAGAATAACAAACGTGGACGAAATCCATGATAAAGTCTTTGAGTACGTGAAGGTTCTAGCGCGGCCTATGGTACTTTATCAGCATGATCATCCTCTCCACTGGAGTCCTGCTTATATAGGTGGAAAGGTAAGCCATTTAATTCACGTTATTAATAAGTTGTCATAAAATTATTATGTCAATTTATCATATTAATTAATATTAACATTTTCGCGAAATATTCTTTGTAAATATTAATATTTTCTTGATATCACATGTGATAATCTATATGACATTTTACAATAATAACGATTGGTTTTCAGAGTAGTATGTATGGCAAAGAAAATCGCGGTCAACTAATGACGTCTGTGACAGCTCCAATCTTAGATCGCCGAAATTATACGGTAATTATCTAAAAATAATGGGTCTTGTTTTAATGTTGCATCAACGTTACTTTAATATTTTATTATTAAAGTTAAAATATTTATTCATTCATAATCTTACTCAGGTAGCAAATGCACGCCAGAAGACGTCAAAATGACATTATTTGACATCAAAACGACCCAAGTAGCAAGCATACGTCATTTTGACATTTAATGACGTCAGTTTGCTACTTGGGGACGTGCATTCGCTATCTAGGTTGCCTTGCAATTCAATTTACATGTTACTTTATTGTATGATTATCGTTTTTAAGGTAAAAACAGCCAATTTATTGGGTATCGTTGGTACTGACGTACCTGTTGAGGAGATTCAGAAACTCGTGCCGCCTTACAAGGTACAGATTAATACTTTATTTCATAAGTCAAATTTGATTGCATCAGCTAGCTTGATCAAACTTGATTCTTTCTTTGTAAAATTAGAATTTCTCACATTTTCTTATCCATAATATAAATATAGAAAAAAGATGTATTTAATAAAAGTTAGAAGATTGATATAATTAACTTTAATTATACAAGTTATTTTTTTCTTGGTTTGATTATTATTTTTAATGTACGGTATTTTAATTACAGTTAGGAGTTAATGGATATTCATTTATTGTTGACAATAATGGCAGAGTTCTGTATCATCCTGATTTGCGGCCTCTCGTAAGTATTAATATTATTATAATAACAAATATATAATATTACCGAAATTTTTTTATTTCAAAAATTTTTAACTAGTAATGATTGGCTTATTTTCATATCTTGGCATACATTACTTTGCACATATAATGCATAATTGTTTTAAAAGTAATTCTTGATTTCAACAATAAAAGCTTGTACAGACTAAATCTTTAGTTTTTTGTCTATATTTTTGCAAAAATATATCATGATATTATAATCAATAAATTTTTGTTTTATATGCAGCCTGGAAATATAGAAGTAAGTAATGAAAATCATATAAACATAATAATACATATAAAAAAATTATTATATTTATATTCCAAAATTATTGGAGATTACATTTTATTTGAATATATGAAAATTTTGAAGAAATATATATATTTTTTTTCAGTATGAAGAAACGCTGAAGCCTTCATATATAAGTGTGGATTTATCGGAAGTTGAACTCGCAGAATATGATGGCCCTTCGACCCCTCCAAACAATTCTCTCCTCCTCGATGTAAGTTCGATATATGCGTAATGCGTGTTTCGATTATTTTATTGTTATTTATAATGTATACTAATAAGTGTGATATTATTCTTTTTTAGTTGAGACGTGATATGATCGATCAAAAAGAAGGAGAGACAGATTTTACAATCAAAATTCATTATGACAATATGGTAAGACTTGAAAGATTGATAATTAAATAACTATTGCGAAAAGATTACACCTCTAACTTATCACTTTGACTTTCACGTATTTTTTCAATCATACATCTTGCAGAGTTTTAAAATTTCTGAAATATATTATTTAAAAATTTTTAACTTATAAATAAAATGTAAAATTAATCAGCACTCTGTATTTTGATTATAATAAAAGTAAATAATATAATAATAATATATAATAAAAGTAAAAAATAAAAATGATTGATGAGGTGTAATTTTTTCATAATTACCGAAATTACCTGGGATATTACGAAATATAAACATGTATTTGACTATACAATATATATTCATATTGCTTTGCAGAAGAGAGTTACGATTAGACGGCACAATTATTTTTACACGCCGATCGAAGGTACTCCATTTTCTTTAGGCCTAGCTTTACCAGAAGGGTACGGCATGTCCGAATTGCGTGCCGAGCACGAAATCAAACTCGCTATTGTAAATGGTAAGTTTTCCACTAATATTTTAGAGTATCAAATAGTAGGAAATAAATTAAGATCTTTATTATTATTATTATTATTATTATTACAGTAACAGAGTATTTCAAAGGGGGCAACTGGAAAGTGCATCCCGATTGGGTCTACTGCGAATATAATTCGGCTTCCGATAAGTTCTTTTCTTCTCCCGAGGAACGCGTCTTGCATTTTCTAGCACGAACGCGTAGACCGGGTTGGAAGTGGATGTCCTTGAGAGCAAGGAGTCCTAGCTCGCACCATAAGCAAGCGAGCAAGACGGATAAAGATGCTTATTATTGTAAGTATTTGCATATTAATAATTTATTATCTTTAAATCATGTAGTTCAAGATGATTTTGAGAAAATAAATAAATATTAAACTAAGACGAGCAAAAATAGTAATTATTTACATTAGGGCCGATATATATAAGATCATTGAAATCTATTGAGGCTCTAATGCAAATTATTGTCATAAAAATAATACAATATTGCAAATAAAATTTTCTAATTTTAATAAAAACAATAATTCTAATTTTAAGGAGCCTTAATAAAATAAATAAATAATTTTTATTAATAAAATAATTTGATTTTTCGTTGAATTAAGACGATACTGTCATATTTTCCAGGTGATAAGAAACTAGTGCAATCCCTAGTCATGGATGCTCTAGTGACAGATGGGTTTGATAAGAGGGAAGGACAAAGGATGCACAAGGAGGAAAATGAAAAGTAAGTTCTCGGTCGGTAGTAAGCAAGAATGCACGTCTGTCTCTTACTCTCACCCGTTTCACACCAATATTGCAAATTGCGATCGAGCACAGCAATGCACAAGCACGCGGTTCATTACCACGCACCGTATATAATGCCGGTTATTTTTGCAAATTATTATTCACCTGCCACTCTGCGCCTTGATTATATATAGCCCGTGATATACGTCCTGGTTTGCACATAATTGTTTTGCAAGGTGTAGAAATAAACTTAAAAAGAAAGATGCAACCTATTCCTCTAGTGTCAATAGACGGATAAAGTTTCTGACAATCGCTGAACATTGTTCAGAACTCTTTGTCAAGTCTGTATACGGATATATATAAAAGAGAGAAGTGCTTTGTATATTCATATATATACGCATAATAAGATATCAAAGGTGATAAAGATTGTTCGCACGTTATATTTTTATATATATATATAAAAAAGAGAGATCAGTGTGATCAGTTATCACTACTCGAAGTAATATGCGAAATGTACTTTGAGCAACACCGTCCAACATTTCATTTTACAATATTATCTTTTATTGCATATTTTTATTACATTTTATTATTGTGTGTCTCCATCGCTAGCCCTATTGCCATACTGATGGCTCTGCTGCACAGGTAATCCATTATGCACAATTATTTGTCTAACATGTTAAACACATTTATCAATAATGCACGGTAACACTCACTTTTTTAATGGCCATTTATTGGTTGAAATGTGTTTATTATTTTTGATGGACAAAAAATAGAATCGCAATTGTTTTTAGCAATTTTTGTTATATAAATGTAACAAATCTGTTTTTGTGTATAATAAGAAAATATACCAAGTTGTACGTGTTCTGGTGATAATATAGCTTTTGTATGTATGTGTGTACATACATAGGTACATATACATATATATATACATAAATAAAAGCTATACTATACTAAAACTGATGGTACAATCGAAAAGATCCTGATTTTTTATGAAGAAATATAATCAAATCACACAAGAAATTTAAAAAACATATTATATACTGTGACTATATATATATATATATATATATATATATATATATATATATATATACATACTATATAATAATATATACATATATAAACCAAAATTAAATCGGGACCAAATTTGAAGAGACTATTATATCCAATTTTTCATTTTAAATATTCCAATAAAATATTTGATATATATAATTAAAGGATATCAGGAAAAAACTTTAATATGTTGATGATTGTACGCGTATAAGTGTTAGTTGTGGGAGATTTCATTTTAATCAAATAATTGGAGACACCCGCAAATAAAATTATAAATCTGAACATTAAATAGTTGTAATATAAAGAAATAATAATCTTTGATCATTGACTATAGTCGTTAAACGAGCTAAAAGGAACGTTTGGCAGCCGTCGACTATAGTCTTTTTATTTTCGGAAAGATTCTGCTGTGGAAAAAAAATAAGTGAACCGAAAAAATCAATGGAAATTTGTTTAATAAATAATTCAATTTTATTAACTATAAATTCTTATTGATTTTTTTTACAATTTATTTATTTTTTTTACACAATTAGTCCGAAACAAAATAAGAACAAGCAAAGCGATTATCTCCGAATTATTCATAAATATAATAAGTATAGACGATTTTGAATTAAAAGAATGAAGAGAAAAAGTTTTAGTGAATATAGCCTTTTTCTCTATATATTCTCATCCAGAGTCAAATTAATTAATTAAGGTTCCTTATTGCAACTATTGAATTATAATTTCAGAAACGAGAAATATAAGATTTTTTCTTGAAAACATATCAAAATAAAATTTTTGAATGCAATTATTTGCATGTTTGAGAATATTAATTAATTCATAAAACACACTAAAATGTTCTTTGAATTATGAATTAATAAATAGCTATAAATCTCGATCAATTGTTATAAATTTTTTTTCTGAAAATGGACATATACAGATAATATATTTATTAATACAGGATAATGAAAATGAAGATTTTGACGTATTTTATTAATTTATATTATTGCATATGAATAATAACAAAAAAAATTTATTTTTTAAGAAAAAAATTTATATGATTTCTCGTTTTTAATATCATAATTCAATATGACACCAAAAAAAGAGATAAAAAGCCTTAAAGAGATGAAAAAAAAAAATATATATATATATATATATATATATATATAAAATATACACATATATATATTTTAAATATTTCGTTCTTTTTTTAATTTACGATTAGAATAAGAGATGTTTAATACCTTACTGTGTGTCTATATTTATTATATTTATTATAAAATCAGTATGCTTATAGAATTTCCTAAGTTTATAGAATTTCATGTTACAATAGATCATTGCCGGAAAATTAAATGTGATTATATGTCAATATCAATACATCGTATTTTCATTAAGAAATCATTTTTTCCGATTTTACCATCATGTATAAGAGACAATCTGTATACAATTTATATTACAATTATTGATGAAGTAATATTTAATATAAACTAAAATATAATATTGCGTACTTTTGCACGTATTTATGTAATAAATATGTCGCTGTCTCCAATTATATTCAGATTAAGCCATTAAATTATGCCAAATATCGAACTTGATAGTTTTACTTAGGAATAAAAAAGTGTCAAATGTATATAGTTCGAATATATCAACAGTTTTGTAATTTTTGTTTTACTGAATTTTTTATTTTAACATCAGCGAGAACTGAGAGTAAATATATTGATAAAAGAAGATCCGGATAATTTTAATTTTGACATATATATTAACAAGATTATCACTCTGAGGTTTTAAACATCACTCATTGTTTATCCAAAAGTTTTTAACAAATAAAGTTTTCTGAAAAGCAAGATTTTAACAAAAACCGGATATGGAAAATTTAATATTAAATTTGTATTCGAATCTTGATTTTCATAAATCTTTGTTAATAATTTTTTAATAATCAATTAGCGACAGAGTTTTAAAACTTTAGGGATTACGCAGGGTGATATGATTGTCACAATATATGTCAAGATTAAAGTCAACAGAACGGGATCTTCATTTATTAAATATTTACTGAATTCTGAAAGAACTGTTAAGGCTTCTGGCTCCTCACCGATCATGTTGGCATTGTGACGTCAGAGAAGACATTCGCTAAAAATTCTTAAATTCGAAATAGAAAGATATTTCGCACTTCAGATGACGTTAACACTCTTAAAATACCTCGAAGACTATCCTCTTACCTTTGTAATCAATCAACAGTTGTAAAATCACTGTAAAATGAGCAAAATACATCATTTTACCTTCAAAATGACGTAATTTGACGGCAAAATGACTACTTTTGCTATCTGGATATAATATCACTCTCATTTTACGATTATTGATTGACTGTCAAAGGAGAATACTCATTTTTGAGATATTTTTAAATGTTTTATCGAAATAAAATTTCTTCTCTTTATTTAAGACATTTCAGCGTATGCCTTTTTCTCGCGTCTGACGTCATAATCTGACACGCGACGAGGACCTGGAAGTTTTAAACGAAAATTACTCCACAAACCACGATCAGAACGATTAGTTTGACTTGCAATTCGGCTTTTGGACGTACAAATAATTGCGTACCGGGATGTGGCAATATTTGTTATATTACCATGGACACTATTTACATGGCTTATTATGTGCATTTGCAGTCAAGGCAAGGGTAGATTTGGCGTCACGAGAAGTTTCATTGCAACCAGAAGTGGACTCCTGCGATGGCACGAGCATCAGCAGCAAACCGACGACAACGTTGACGAACCGTGAGCTTATTTAACAATAAAAAATGTCGAATAAGTAGCTGTAAAAACTGCATGAAACACTATTAAATTAATGGGCGCGTTCGAGCAAAATAAACCGCTTATTGTTAGTGACAATCGAACGTAATTGACTCTTGTAGATCCAACAAATCTGCAATATTTAATATGATATAATGAATGTTGATAAGCAGTTGTTCTGCTGAACGCGATTAATATTTTTAATTATTAGTATAAAAATGTATGAAAAACGACAGATTTTATATGATAAATACTGAATCGTCAAATTTAATTAAACAAGATCGGCTTTTTATAATGATTTGAAAAATACAGGCGATTCGCGGAAAAGCATTCTAGAGCTATGGATTCAACGTGGTATAAACGTGCAGTGGATCAACACTCCATAGAACCAGAAAGTTTCGTCTTCAGCGTACCATTTGATGCGGGTAAATGTAAATTTTAACTACAAAAATAATAATTTTTTTATTAGATAATTCTTGCTTACTATTTGATGAAATTAATAAAACTAAATGTGAATTTAAATTTTTTAAAATTTGGATTTTTAAAATATATTTATTTTATAGTTTTTTTTTATATAATTAATTTTTGAGGTATTATTTTTTATGAGAGAAGTAAGTTATAAATACATTACACAGATATTTTAAAATGCATTTTAAAATATATGTATATATAATAAGAGATATACTACTATAAATATATTAATTATTGATATTTTATTCTTATTTCTTATTTTATCAAATATAAACAAAGAATAGAAAGCCAAAGAAGCAATTCTAAAAATTGTATATCATAATTCTTATCATTTGCAAAGCATTTTTAAATTACCGAAGCATTTAGAATAAGCTATACATCAAGACAAATGTTATTTGATAATCTTAATTTTTTTAATAATAATAAATCGTAATTACCCTTCTTTTAATTTGATTGACTGATAAAAATTAATTTATTACTAAATTATGAAATTATAAGTGCTGTATTTTAGAGTAAAGCAAGCGATGATCTAATGGACGAATTTTATTATATTATTTATTAAATTATTACTATATGTGAATTTTGTATGACATTCCAAGTACATATAAAAGAATTTGTTTAATTATTATTATTTCTGTAATTAATTATTCATTCAATTATAGCCGACACAGCCGATCCGCTTGTCACCGCCACTCACGCGGTATACATCGGAAAAAGTCACAAAGCTCCAGCGGCAGTGGTGGGTTTGCAATTTCAACACTCGTCTTTGGCAACTCATTTCGTCAATATCACTTCTACGGTAAGCTGAAATATATTTCTTTTCTTTTATATAATTATACAGGATATTTGCAAAATTCTTGGACAATTTTCTAAGGCAATTTCTTGCATCAAAATTAAAAATATACCTATATACATATAGGGTGTTACAAAATTAGACCGACAAATTTTGAGTTTAAAGAGTTTGTGACTTAAACAATAAACACATATACAGGATGTCCCATTTTAATGTCCCACCTTAAATAAGTTTTTTATTTTTGATTGTAGAAAAAAATGTTTCAGACAAAGTTGTATGGTTTTGAGGAGGACATAAGGTAGTGCCATTAGTTTGAATAGTTGCTCGAGGGTCATGTGAAGGTCACCTTTAATTTCTTAAATGGAACCACCTACTTTTTATTACATATTCTCGTAGCTGACATCGAGAGCTTTCTAAAACACTATAATGAAACATTTTTATCTCAAGTACTTTTTGAGTTATAAGACAAGGTCTTCTTACCTCAAGGTGACCTTTACATGACCTTCAAGCAACTATTCAAGGTCAAACTAATGGTACCACCTTATGTCCTCCTCGAAATCATACCATTTTTTTCTACAATCAAAAATAAAAAACTTATTGGGGTGGGACATTAAAATGGGACACCCTGTATATAAGTGGAAAAATTAAATTGTATTTTAATTTTGAACAAAAGAAACTGAAAAGTCACAAACTCATATCACATATCATGTGTTAAAATTAAACGTTACAGACAAAATTAGTATTAATAAAAAATGTTAATTTTGAAGTTTTCTTTCTCCCTTCAAAGTTTGTCGGTCTAATTTTTTAACACCCTGTATATAATGAAAAATGAGCGGCTGTAAAGTTATGGTAAAATACGACCTAGAAGTTTGTCTCAAGTAAATATCCTATATATATGTGTGTGTGTGTGTGTGTATGTGTGTGTGTGTGTGATACATTTATATTGAGTGTTTGATTTTTAGTGCACCGGTATGACAGGATGCAAAAAGAATTGCGCGTCTGAAGAGCTCGACTGTTATATTCTAGATAACAATGGATTTATCATTATAAGCGAACGTCACGAACATACCGGAAAGTTTTTCGGCGAAATAGATGGGACAATAATGGATTCTTTAGTACAAGATAGGATATACAGGTAATATATTACATATTGTATAGTGTCATAAAAATGTTTATCCAAATTTTTGAACTATGTGCTAAAATAAGCACCTTTAAAATGAATCCTAAGTCAAATTTTTAAATATAATATATTTAAATATTATTGTTTTATCATCAAATAATTTGATTAAAAAAAATATGAAATTAAAAAAATACTAATATTCAATTTTAGAAAGTATAGCTCTTGATTCTCGAAAAAAATTCTAATTTATCCAGCTTTAATACTACTTATAATTTGTATTCTTTTATTTCTTAAGTAAAAAAATTAAAAATTCAAATCCATCTCGTCGAGATTCGGGTCTACTACTTGTGCAAAAGTACTGCTTTGATTTTTTTAAGTATAATTTTCGAGTATAATTCTCGTTTAAAACAAACAGATTTGAATTAATTTGTATTATAAGGTACTCATCTGTAAGATTAATAATAATCGGCACTATTTATTAAATTTAATTAATTTTGTTTATGCGATGTTTCAGAAAAGTAACTGTTATTGATTATCAAGGAACCTGCAGTCCTCAAGAATCTCATCAATCGTCAGCGCCGCGAACTCCAGCCAGCTCTGTTATAAAAACAGCGGTGTCATTCGGCAATTTTCTTTGGACTCTGGTCTTAAGCCTCAGTATTCAAGATTTTTGGCGACCAACATTGGCATTTGCTAAAGAGGCAATGCATTCGTTAGACGGTAATATCTCATAAATGCATTTATAAATAAAAACTTTCGTATTCTCAATATATACTCTCAAATAGATTTTTAATTAACAACTACAAGGTAAATATAGTTTTGGTTTGTAAAAATTGTTTCTATTGCAAATAATTTTCATTGAGATCATTTTCAGATGAAAGATATAGAATTATATAGAATTTATAATTTCAGTTATTAAAATATTTAATGCAGAATATAATTATTTAATATAATAGTTAAAAATTAAAGTGTGGATTAATTAAATATTAATAAAAAATATGTTTTATAAATAGATAAAAACTTTCTATTAGTTATTATTTTATTTATCATATTATTCTATTATTTATTATATTTAATAGAAATTATGTTTTTTAGAAAAATGTCTGCTTTCTCTTGTAATCTTAAATATATAGGCAACTTTCCTTTCATTGATATATATTCTAAGCTTGCAAGTTCATTTTCATAGAAGATCTGATTATTTCAGGTTCATTATGATTTTTCACTAATTCAAGAAATTGCATTTACCTTTCCCAGACGATATAATATTCAACGAAGGCGAAACCCACGATTTTGAGTCACTTGCGCCTGTCGATTCGACAGAGGAGGCGACATCGGACAACAACAACAACATATATATGAGATTTCCGATGGTTGCGCCGGTTTCACCACCGACCACTCGAGCCACTTCCGCTCATTATCCCCGAAAATTGCGCTCCTGTGAGAAGAAGACAGATTTGTATATTCTGCAACCTGAACGGCTTAATACCAGCGGCCAAAGTAATCCTTTGAAGGGAAAGCTCACCAATTGTCACGTTACTGGATGCGAAAGGTAATTTGTAACGATTACGCACACGTACAAAATAAGCTAAATCACGATCGTTTTTCTAAAATTAAAAAAAAAATAAAATTAAATAAAATTATAAAACTAAAAAAATATATATACATACATCTTATATATTATTTCCAAAAATATTAGATGAATTTCAATGAAACTGGATAAGCTTTTAAAATAAAGAGCGCGGAAGGCCAAGTTTCACCTGATTTCTTGTTAGCTGCAATTATATTATAATATAATTACGTAATATATACATTATATAATACATATTATATTGATATATAATATATTAATAAATATATATTAATATATATATAATATATATATATATATATATATTAATAATAAAAATTAATAATTAATTAATATATACTAATAAATTATAATATAATTATAGAATATATTATATTAATAATATAATTATGAAAACTTGACCATATTACAATTTATATTTAGTCTCAAAAAGAGGTAGAAAAAACATACATTATTTTAATGTTACATGACATGATGTATGTATTTAGGATGAAACAGAGAATTTTTAATCTAATATATTTTTCTTTTTCTGTTATCGCTATGTAGACCGTTCAGTGTTCAAAAGATTCGTCACACCAATTTGATATTGCTGGTGGTCGACACCTTGTGTCCATGCGGCAGTAAACAATTGAGTATTGAACCCATTGAGGCTTTGACAGAACCCGGAGCGTGCACGGCAAGGAGAGAACGCTTGTATCGACGAAGACCACCGAAATGTATAAACTACCATCCTGAAGAGATGGAGATTAAATTCTGCGGCGACGCGGGTCGTCTTATTGTTAGTTTCTCGTCGTTAAATCTTATAGTTCTCTTATCCATCGTTACAGTGCGGCTGTTACTTGCGTGACTTTATCGTCATTATTAATTAATATATTGCGCGTGCATTACGCGCGCAAATACATATATACACACACACACACATATATATATATATACACACACATGTTTATAAATTATCTTTTTAAAATGAATTTAGTATTATTGTTTCTATGAAACAGTTATAAAGGAGAGAAGTAAAAAGAGAAAAAGAGAAAGCAAATGCATTAGATATTTCGAGGTGAAGATAAAATGGTGATATACACACACATACATACATAAAAACATACGTAAAGTTATCGATGTTAATTTGAGTGTGCCAAGTGTGGAAATACGCTAATACGGTGCACAATAAAAAGTTGAGATTTCAAGCATCTATTATCGCAATTCAATATCGCAAATCTCTAATGGCCTTAAATATGTTTCAAAAACGTTTCTGATATTACTTCCCAGCTAACCATTTGTGGACTGTTAACAATCTGGAAACAATTTTCTGCCAACTGCAGTTGCAAATCCAGGGTCTACTGTGTCCTCAAGTTTGCCCTAATTGCAATTAAAAGTTGAAAGCATATCCTAACATCAAGTTGGGTGTAACGCCAGAGCAGATCTGTCACTAACAGTGCGACAACAGATTGACGCAACAAACTGAGAACAGATTTGTCAACTGCAAACTGAAAACAGATTTGCACCAAATACTCAACAAATCGAAGAAAAATGATTAAGTAAAAAAAAAGAAAAATCAAATAAAAAACATTTAATAATTTATAATAATTGAAAAAAGTAAAAATAATCTATTATACTGTATAAATGATTTTTGTTAGTCAAAACATATTTTGAAAAAAACGTATATAATCTTTTAACACTACTTTTGTGGCACATCTGTGTGCTTTTTGTTGTCAATTTAACATTTCGACAGATATGCTTGTTATTCATTGCCACTTTGTCAAAATAGTCTGCAAACTGATATTGGGAAATATTTACTGAATTTATGCTCACAGCATTTGCAATGACAAAATATGTTTCTCATCTGCGGCCATTTAACAAACAAAATTTGTAGCCTACATTTGCCTCAACAGAAATGGTTAGCTAGGTTTATTATTAGCAGAAAAACGTAACATTCCCGGACACAAACTGTCATTTTAAAAATGCTTATTTTATCATTTTCTTTTAACTCTTAAATGTTGGTCAGCGTTGTTTTAAAACACTGTCTCTGTGTATGTATGTGTGTGTGTTTGTGTGTGTCTGTGTGCGTGTATGTGTACACATATACATATCCAGATAGAAAAATACTAATAATAGTAGTATACCCGAAAATTTAATCATGATTTTGCAACATATTTTGATGCTTCCTCATTAAACTCAATTGCTCAGTAGCATATTTTGCTGGTATAATGTGACAATAAAAATGCAATAAAAATCGAACATTGATTGATTTACTATCATGTTGTGGCAACAAATATGAAAGAAAAATCAAGCACTTATTTGTTAGTTTGAATTTACTTTCTATTAGTATTCTATAATATATTATGCCACGCAATTTGAATTTTATTTCTACGCCAGTCTAAGTTCTACTTAATACTTATAGTATTTTTTAAAGTATGTTATGACGCAAAATCTGCTCGATTGCAGATTTGGCTATCTGGATATATTATACATATGTATATATGTATGTGTGTATGTATGTATGCATGTATGTAAGTAGGAAATGTATGTATGTACATATATGTATGTATATGTATGTATGTATGTATGTGTATATGTACGTATATGTATGTTGTATATGTTTATATATACATACATATACACATATATGAATATACATCACATCTATGTTATAATGTTGAATTATGATTTTTGTTAGGCGAGAAAGTCTTGTATATTTATACCTATCTCGTCGTACATACGTCAAAATTTATTATTCTCTCACTAAAAGCAATAAATACTCTTATAATTTGACGATCTAAAAATGAAGGATTTGAGCAACACAATTAAAAGAAGCTCATTAACATAATATATTTAATGCTGTTGTAGCAAGTTTCCTTAGTTTTAATTTGAATAGTAAAAATAATTGGAAAATTTAACTTATTTAAAATGGATTTTGTCGACTTGCAAATTATAACAAATTGATATTTATTCTATAATGACAATTTTGTTGCAATAGGAATTTTTCTTAGTAGATTGCTTTGACAGTAAATTGGTGTTTTTCTCACCAAATTTTTATTTTAAGATTTTTTGTTTTACGATTTAAACATTATAATTACAAGATATTATTAAAACAAAAAAATCATTAAAGTGATACTGGCTATAAGATATTATTTAATAATGAATAATTGATTGTAATGAAACGAAGTTTGTAAACTTTTTTTATATTAAATAGCAGCAGCAGCAATTTTTTGAACGATTTTAGTTAGCGATTCTTTCTTTTTTATTTTCTACTAATTAATGTAATAAACAATTGCAAACGTAAAAATCAAGAATTTTTGAGAAAGAAAATAGAGAATATTTAATAGTTGTATAATAGCTATCTTAAATTTTTTTTTTTTTTAATTTAAACTTGTGTTTTATTTTTTTCCTGGAGAATACATATTTTTGTTTGGCATAAATTATTTTAGAGAGAGAATACTAGATAAATTATTTCAATTCATGATTTTTTCTTGTTCTCATATATTTATTAATTATTCTAAGGTAGTTCTTTCCTCTAAAATAATACCAGCAGAATTGCTGTCTTTCACAAAAAAGTCTTCCTTATTCATATCTATAATCATATCAATATTGAATATTTTTATTATTCTTAAAATTATAGATAAACTCTGATATATAAAACACAAATTACTCAATAAATGAAAGGTTGAGTTAATTAGCCTGTCAGATAGACATTGGTTTTTTCCACAACAGAGAATTGATGGTTTTATTTATTGTCATAATTATTGAAATGCCTAAAACTAGATTGCTCATTATGCAATATCAACAAACGAGAGTTACTATATTATATATTATATTATTATATAGTTCAATAATTATAGTTCTATTATGCTAGTGAATCATTTGCAATAATATTATCGAAACAGTCAATCTGATTCAGAATCATCAATTGCGATGATATTATTATACTAACATTCGCTGTCAAATATTAATAATATTTGAGTTTCTTATTTTTCATTTTCTGTTCTGTTTTATTAACCACTTCTCGCTCTGCTCTTTTACTATTTTTATATTTGCATGGCTATGTGACTGTGCATTAATTATTCACTTTTTTCAAATACTACTCTATACAAAATATAGTAAGAAAGCAGTGTACAAAAGAAGTGATAAAAATAATAAAGAATAAAAAAAAAACAGAATTTGAAAAATGAGAGCCTGATTATAATTGTTTTAATATTTAATTAATTTGTAATATTTGTTCCAAAGTGTTAATTTTTTAGAGTTATTTTATTATCGTGCTTATTCTTTGTTAATTATTGAATTACTTATTAAATTATAATAATATTCCAAAGAGATGTGAAATTTGAAAATGTAAAGCACTGTACTGGATTTTTGAGTCCATGTCACGAAGAAAATTTCATGAAATAGTCGTTACACAATTTTGCGAATTGCATATCTATATTCGCATTTGTTGAAACATTTTCAGGGCGACGTTAAAAGTTTTTTATTCATCTTCTAGGAAAATGAAGATGATTAAAAAAAAGAAAATGATAATTGATCTAAAAAAAGAGAAATTTTCCATCCGTGTCACAAACGCACACATACGAAAATTACATTAAAAAGAAGTGTATTTTGCGACAATTGTACAGTGTATCGATTATTTATTCCGTATAAAGTAAGGCGTATAAACACACATATTAGTATCATCTTTACAATCGAATAACAATTAAAAAAGTAACATTATTCCGGTTACTTCTTCTAAAGCAACATTTTCTTCCAAAGTAAAACTTTCTTCTATATACGTTGTGTGTATGTGCGTGTGTATGTGTGTGTGTGTGTGAAGAAAGAAAAGAGAGACTCTTTGTGTTATCTTGTAAATTTACCTGGTACACGTCAGAAATAGCCGCAGAATCGTATAGATACAATTGATTGCATAACAAAGTTTCTATGGAAGTGTAGAAAGCGCGATACACTTGGAGCAACGAAATAATCAATAAGGAAGTAAAAAAAATCGCAAAACAGAAGAAGAGAGAGAAACAAGTAATCTAATAATATTCATTGTTTCTTATTTGACATAAAACAATGTGAATAAGATAATGTTCTTGTTGTGAATAAGACGCGCAAAGAAACTTGTAGGTTGACGTATTCACAATGACATATAATTCAGAAGCAACAACAAAAATAATACGTATTCAATTTTAATTGATATTTTATTATCAGATTATCATATCAGAAGATACGCATCATTTCGTAATTGAGTGTTGTATGCACTGAAAAAATTGTATTCTTTCATTTTAAGAATTTATTCCCATTTGTTATCAGAATGCTCTGTTCCGAAATAGTCATCAAAAAGGGACGTCAGATATTTCTAATTAAAAATTGTGGACGAAATTTAATTTATTTTTACATTAAGGCTTCTTGGTCCTCGCTATATTAGATTGTGACGTCAGAGGCGAGAAAGCACACGTTGAAAATTCTTAAATGCCATTTTTAAAACACTAAGTCGCTCAAGAAATATAAATAATAAATATATAAAGAACAATTATTAGTCAACTTTTTAAGAATATATCTGTTAAAAAGGATTTTATACAATTTTCTTCGAGAGTACATTTTTTTGGTGTAAACTTCACACAGAAATTATGACCATATAACGAAGATAATAATTGATTAACATATAATTATTACTAGCAATGATTATTATTATTAGCATGATTAATAGAGTTGTTGGAGTATCACGGATACGGAAATGATACACAAATCACGCAATAATACATTCTTATAGCTAGTTGCGTGCTATCACTTCTATTTTATTGTTTTATAATACTGTGATTGTAAGATATATAAATGTGAGGACAGAAATTTTGTTTATCAGGATATCGGTCAAACCGAACCTGACTTCCTAATTCGATGAGATATTGATTCCCCCACAAGTGATCTTAACAATTTTCTAAGGAAAACGATGAAGATCGAGAAACGGAAGTACAGAATAATTTGCATTTTTATGGGCGCGCGCGTACGAAATATTAAAATCAAATTTTTTATTAAAACTTGAAAAGTAAGAATTTCTTATGAGAAAATGTAGGAATGTTGATTTTTAAAAACGAACATTTTTTTTCAATTCCAATCTTTTTTATCGCAATTACCAAAATGCTTAATATTGAAAATCACTGATATTCTAATATAAGAAATGGCGATAATATTTTTTTAACATTTTTCTACAAGGATTTTAATTTTAAATTGACATATCGATTTTGCTATTAATCTTTATATACATATTCTAGTTACAATGCATTGCTTTATAATTTGCATTACATTTGAATGCGATAGGATTATATACTTAACGAAAGGAATGCATTATCTCTTTGCAAATAAAACTCTACGTTATAAAAGCGAAATCACACACAACACACACATATCTCCAATTTTGTTTAGTTTATAAATGACTCATTATTCGTGAAATTTGTATTCCTCTAAATTTTTATATAGTTTGATTATTATAGACTGTTATATATTTTATGATTAATTTATATATATACATATGTTGATTAAATTTCGATGATGTATAATAATTATTATATAATTATTATATACCATCAATATCATTTATATAATGTACTTTCTCACATTTTTTTTGTAAAATGTAAAATGTTATAAATTGTAGATTCCTTTATTAAGATAAGCAAATTATTAATTTATATATATACATATGTTGATTTCGATGATGTATAATAATTATTATATAATTACTATATACCATCCATATAATTTATATAATGTACCTTCTTACATTTTTGTAAAGTGTAAAATGTTATAAATTGTAGATTTCTTTATTAAGACAAGCAAAGGTAGAATTATAGAGCCAAAGAAAAATATGACTTATTGTCAAAGTATCGGTCTAATAGCCAATAATATGTCATTAAAAAGTAGCCCGACCATGAATGATTTCAATGCGGGATTATGTGTGAGGAAGGATTGAAAAATAAAAGAAAAACTCAAATGTTTGTTGAGAGCTTAGTTGGCTATTCGTTCGATTTAATTGTAAGTAAGAAATGTTACATTATAACGTATGTTAATATATATATATATGTACGCGTCGCGGAGCGTCACAAGACTTTAAAATCACAGTGACACAAATTTTACCAGAGTATTATTAGAGGTGAACTTCAAATGATATACAAACAACAATTGCTGTAATGTTGCGATATTATACTTTGCGGCAAAATCGCGATGTAGAATACTGAGCGTCATCAGCATTCCTTGAAAGAAAGATTATTACGTTTTAGGTATTTGTAATTAGACAAATTCAAGACAATTTAATCTACTTATTCAAATCAAAATCCAATATCAATTATTTTTATCAATTTATAGTGTTATAAAATATTTATTCCTCTTTATTTTAAAGTGTACGTCATTTTGTCGTCGAATGACGTCATTAGATATTAAAGTCAGGTCAGTTTGTTACTTGGAATTGTATTTATATATACATATATATTTTTTATTTTTGGTAATCTATGCTAGGCAACTGTCTATTTTTTATAATTTGTTTGTTTTTTCTTGTTAAATATTTTATTTTTTGTCTTGATCTTGATAGATAATTATTTAAAAATAATGCATTTTATCAAAAACTCTATATGATAATGGGAATATATATATATATATGTATATTTATGTGTGTATATGTGTGTGTATGTATGTACACACACATACCCACACATATCTATGTAAACTCAGTATATAATGCGAACAAAACGCGTGCAACACTAGATCACGCAAAATAAAGATAAACGTTAATAACTTAAAATAACAAAAAGTTCTATAAACGTGTTAGATAAAAAATCTTTCGATCGGCACTTTTAGTGCTGCCATATGTCTTCCATTATTTGTATATTAATTAATAATAAAATTGACTATAACGTATTATATAAAATTACACACACAAATCATACACAAACACACAATCCAAATATACCGAAAATAATAATGCGAACTTATTTAATATTGTCTATGAATAAGGATACGATGTAATTTACGTAACAAACAAACAAAAATGTGAACGCAAGGAAAAGTTGATATTTTTCACAGGATTTTTAAGATCGAAGTCGTGTTTATTATTTATTCTCATAGGTTTTCAATGAAGAATGTAACTTGGCTATATATTCTGCGTACGTTGCTGAAATAGTGCGAAAGAGATTGGAAGAATAAGTTAACTCGTTTTTACATGAGTCATAATCCTTGGAATAATGTTATTAGAGATATGCGAATTATTCGAATTCGAATCGACGTAGTTCGAAATCGAAAGATTCGATAACGTCGAATCACTGCAATTCGAATTCGAATCAAAGAACCGCGTAAGAAGACTTAAAATCCATTTAATTCTATCGTTTAATTCTATACGCGTTGATTCGATTCGAATTCGAAATATGGGTGATTTGATTCAAATTCGAAATATGGGTAATTCGATTCGATTCGGCGATATTTTTGTCGATTCGATTCGAGTTGTTTTTTTTTGCAAATTTGATTCGATTCGATTCGAATTAGAAAATCTTGATTCGCACATCTCTAAATGTTATTATATTTGCCAATCATGTATTTGCATTTTTGGAATAGAATCTAGGAGATGTATTGTTTGAAATGTAGATGAGATTACAGCGCAAATTTTGCTTAATTTGTAATTGTACATATCGCACTGAAATTGTCGCATCTTCTCTCATATAATAGAATTCCAATTAGGAAAAGTAACAGCGTAAAACAATTTTAGAAATTGTTTCTTTTAACCCAAATTGGACATTTAACAACTTTAATGACAGTATTAAAAATTTTGCATATGTATAAAGAGAACAATTGAAAATTATTGCAAAAGAGAAAAAAAATTTTGTAATCGACAAATTTACTTTTCGCTTCAATTTCTTTCCATGTACTAGGCACCTCGATGAACAATAATGCGTTAAAATAGAGAAAATATATATAGAACAAATTATGAAATAGTTTCAGAAACGTGGAACAAAGAGCGAAATGCGCAAACTATTACGATTCAACGTACGCATATTATAATTCTACGATTTACTACAATTTACGATTTTTATTTTGTACAATATTTAATCTTTAGGTAAGGAAGCAAGCGATATAAGAAATATTAAGAATAATGAAAAATTCGTGTTATGGTAGCGGTAAAAGTGAACACACATATCGCTCTGCGATATTATATAATCGTATAATATACATTATACACATAACACGCTTTAACAGTCGGAAAAAAAAGAAAACTTGTCAAATAAAACCTTTTACTTGATGTATTTATCGGACATAAATACAATGACGTCTAATATATTGCAATAAAAAGGACTAAAATCACTAACAAAACCAGTTGTTTTTATGTAAAACACGAAGATGCAGCAATGGATCAAATATTTAAATATACATTTATATATATTATAATATATTTAAAAATATATAGATTATATAATTTAATATATAAATTGATTTTTTCATACATTATCAAAAAGATTGAAATAGACAAATCGAAGCGTTTAATAAAACATTAAAAATTGTAATTGAAAATATTCAATCCACTGCAAGATGGCAAATATATACCATTATTAATATTATACTCATAGTGAAATTAATTAAATCATAAACCTATACAAAACTATACATTTTTATAGTCTGCTTTTCATTGATATAATAGGGTGTCATAAACAATTCAATAAGAAAAATATAGTAAACATGATTTTAGTTTTGCATATAAAATATTTATATACATATATACAGTAATTGTAGATAAAAAAAACTTAACGCTACACCTCAATTAAAACGCCATCTTTTAATTTCTTATATTTAAATTCTGGTTCTGAATATTTATCATTATAAACTATCGTATCTGATGGATTCAATATACTTTCTGGACTGACAGCAGCTTCTTGAAATTTCAATAAAGTATCATCATCTTCCATCGGTGAACACCTTCCGAGTTTCTCTTTGTGCTTTGTAAACAATTTTGTGATTTCTTTAGTAGTTACAAATTTTTTAGACGTGCTCAACAGTTTTATTCCAGAATTTTTATTCCTTTTCCGTTTCTGTTTTATGAAACATTCAGTAGTTTTGTTTCTTTTTAATTTAATAGTCCTAAGAAAGAGAAAATTGATATTTACACAGAAAATAATAATTCAAATTAAAATGGCATTTGTAGATAATTACTCTGATACTTGCCTCTCCAAAATTCCATCCAACTTATTAGCGACAAAATTTTGGAACGTGTCAGTAACACCAAAATTTGTAAATTTGTCCTGTTTTGAGATTCTGAGAGATTTTGGTTTGTTGATCTCCGAGTCTTCAACAATTATAAAAAAATAATTAATATATATATATTAATAAATATAGAATATATATATATATATATATATATATATATAAACAATATAATAAATATAATGAATAATACAATAAATAATATAATAAATTAATATATAAAGAAATAATAGATAAATAAATCAATATATAAAATAATAAATATAATTTCGCGATCATAAAAAAAGGTAATATATAAATACTTATTTATTCCATAATAAATTTAAACAAAAATAATACAAGAGCAAGATCATGTTTGTTTACCAGATTCAGGAGCAACTTTGGTTTCCCCCGTCTTATAAAAAGTGTTTTTCAAAAATTGTTGATCGATCGCTTCCTGGAGAACACTTGCAGATATTTCATCCTCCGAGCTCGACGAATTCACCAGTTCATCGGCTTTTTTCATTTTCAATTCTAAATATTCTAACAGCAATAACCTCGCAACACAACATCAACGCAAAGCTGAAGAGGTCATTTCTCAGCCTGGCGGCCGTGGACCTAGAACTCGAAGTTTCGACTTTTCGCCGCGCGAGGGCGCCACCTGTCAAGTAAAATGATCAGGATCTCCCTTATTGATGATTATATGAGAAGCACCGGCGTAGCCGGGTTCTCAGACTTCGCTGTGGCGCAACCCGGGCTGGGAGTTGCGAATTCGGATGGATATCGCGTAGTGTGAAAAACCGGGAGTGAGTTTTGACAGCTCCGAGAACAGGATGGATGACAGACGGAACAATCGCGAGGTGGTGACGGTGCTGTTCCTGTGTCTGCTGTGGTACGTCGTCTCCAGCAGCAGCAACGTCGTCGGGAAGATGTTGCTGTCCGAGTTTCCGTATCCTCTCACCGTCACCATGGTCCAGCTGACCTCGATCACCCTCTACTCCGATCCGTTTTTCAACCTCTGGGGCGTGAGACGTTACACGTCCAATATTACGTGGAGCTATTACCTGAGGCTCATCGTCCCCCTGGCCTTAGGCAAATTTCTCGCGAACGTGTTCAGCCACGTCAGCATCTGGAAAGTACCTGTCTCCTATGCTCATACTGGTAATGGATATAGTAATACCCCAGGTGGAACGTCAAACTCATATAATGACATAATGATAACTTATGTCACTGATAACTGATAACTTGAAAGTCATTTTGGCGATGAATTTTTATGGATCTACAGGATTATTTATTTGAATAAATGTTCAAGCAACATGAATTTTTGGAAAATTATATATTAAGTGATTATCTTGTATTAGGGATTGGAACGTTAAACTCATATAATGACATGTAACTTGTGATGATGTCACTTAAAAGTCAATTTTGGACAAAGATTTTTATATACCATTATTTATTTGTTCTACTGTTCATGCGTATTCTGATAAATATTCAAGCAATATGCATTTTTTGAAAATTATATTGAGCGATTATCTTATATTAGGGAACTTTGAATCTGTGGTTTTTTTTGTTGTCTTTAAATCATTTTTTAATCATTTTTGTTGATGAATTTATCACTTAAAAGTTATTTGGATACAAAAATCATGATGACGTCACTTAAAAATCACTTTGGATAAACTTTTTATATATTACAATTATTTATTTATTTTGTCGTTCAGAGATACTCTAACAATTCAAAGACAAAGAATTGTTGCTTGAATTTTTGTATAATTTTTATATAAAGTAATCTTATATTAGGGAACTTTGAATCTATGATTTCTTTTGTCATTTTTAAATAATTTTTGTCCAGATAATTTTTAAGGAGAAACAAAAATTATGATGACACCATTATGAGTTTCATGTTTTACCTGGGTATAATATAAGTCTTCAATGACAATCTAGAATAGCTTATCGTTGCATATATATATATATATATATATATATAAAGTGATTTCGAACAAGTAACTTTGATAGATTGTCATTCAAGAAATTAGATTTTCTGAGAAAATATCAGTGAACATATGTTTTGTTTGAGAAGAAGTTAATAGGTCTGTTCTTTTCAGCTGAACAGGCTGCTCTAGTTCAGAAGTTTATCTCTTAACTTTCATGAAGTAAACCAGATAAACTCTGAACTAATGCGACAGTTTAACTATAAAGAACAGATCTATTTTGAAAAAGTGTCGAAGAACGTAGATCCTACTTTAAATGTGCAATTCAGAGTTCTTGATTCATCGTTGCGATGCATGCATTCAAATTCAGAGAGTATATTTTCAGCATTTAATATAAAACTGAATTATAATAAATTATGTTTACCTGTTTTTGTTTTGTTTTAATTTTTGAAAGATTACTTCACTTACCAAGCATGTGATTTGAACTATATAATTATTAAAAATAAACATATGTTTATCGACATTTCTTTATTCAGAATGATTAACCCAAACAATCTGTCAAAAAATTATTACACTCGTTTTGAATCAACTTGTAGTTCTGAAATAAAATATCAATCTTTTACATGTTGCCGAAAGTATTTACAATTATTGTTAAATATTATGCAATATAAAATTTTAAAAATTCGACACTATGAAATATCTAATATGATTCGCGATGTTCGAGTTGCATAATCTTAAGTCTCTTGGCAAGATTTTATATTATATAAAGAACTATTTATATATATAACAGTTTTTGATGATAATTATAGGTGTATTCTATTTTAATTAATAGGTCTTTTTCTAGCAAGAAAACAGGGAAAGACATAAGTTGCTTTCCATTTACATAAAAAATCAGATAAATCTCACTTTTGTCTTTCTTTAACATGGATGTTGATTATTAATTTACATTAAGTAAGTTGATTATTAATGTAAGATTTATTTGAGTTTTGATGTAAATGAAAAGCAACTATAATGTGATATAAATAATTGTCGAATAAAGAATTTTTAAAAAATTGTTCTATTTGAAAACTAATCATGTTTATGTTTGTTTCTTGCTGAAAAAATTTCTATAACTTTTTTATTTGATTGTTAGAATGTAGAATAGCTACTCCTTTCAATGTAGAACAAAAAAACTCTTTAATTAATGCAGTCAATTCAGACAAAAAACAGACCTTATGTTAGATAGCTGAAAAGCATCCAATAATCATCACATATGAATGAGTATGTATGAGTATGAATGAATGCGTACATGTGTGTACATGTATGTTTGAATAATTTATGTTACAAATACTAGCAGTCTATTGAAACACACACATATATTCCTCACGTAATATGGTGTCAGAAAATGATGAGTAAATGTACAAAATTTAGAAAAAATATTTATGCATTTACGCATATTATTTTAGAATTGTCAAATAATATTACTGTAGTGTTAAAAAAAATTAATATATATGTATTATTAAATAATCTAACTACATGATTTTTATAGTAAAATTTTGAAAATATAATTCTGTAAAAAATTCTGTATGTCGTGTTTGCTAAATTAATCTTATATTATCAGTCTTACATTATTTCATATTAACAGAAGTTTGGCTCTGTCCCAGTGAAGGCTACAATGCCCCTCTTTACGGTAGCCCTGTCAAGAATAATACTTCGGGAGCAACAGACATGGAGAGTCTACCTGAGTCTGGTACCAATAGTGGGTGGCGTAGCAGTTGCCACGTTGACAGAGCTTAGTTTCAACATGATTGGCCTGATAAGTGCGCTAGCATCCACCATGGCATTTTCCCTGCAGAATATTTACTCCAAAAAGGTAAAGTGACAAAATAATTTAATTCTATTTTAACGATTTAATTATATGTCTTATGTCAACTGAACCTTCCAATTTATTCGTTTTCCAGGTACTGCATGACACAGGGATACATCACTTACGGCTACTGTACATCCTTGGTCGTCTAGCTCTGTTTATGTTTCTACCGATTTGGGGTATATGCGATTTGTACCGTTTGATATACGAACCGATGATAAAACCATCGACAGAGACAAGTTATTATATATTAGGATTGTTGTTTTTAGACGGCATATTGAACTGGTTTCAAAATATTATCGCGTTTTCCGTGCTATCTATCGTGACTCCTTTAACATATGCGGTGGCCAGCGCGAGTAAACGTATATTCGTGATCGCAGTGACGTTATTCGTTCTCGGCAATCCGGTTACGTGGCTGAATATATTCGGCATGACTATGGCCATATTTGGAGTACTGTGTTACAATAAGGCCAAGTATAATCAAAGAATGGAGAAACAAAAGGAGACGGTTCTTCCGAAGTATCATAATTTAAGGCAGAATGGTAACAGTTCTTTCATGGTGAATGGATTTGCCAGTAAACAGTATCAATCATTTGCAATCTAGTCTCAATTCATAGTTTTATTTTGACGATTTCATGAATCTTCTGGAATATTTATTTCTGCCCATGAATTAGTTTCATTCAGCGCGCGACAAAATACTAATATGATTTGTTATGTTATGTGGAAGAAACTCATGACCAATTATTGTGTATGGATGGGTGTGTATTTTTGACTTGTATAAGTATTGCAGGAAAAAGCGTGATTTATATTGCTCGAATTTCATCGTGAAAATCACTCGATATTTCTTAGCTAATAAAAAATATTATATTTTCGTACTGCGCTCGTTGTGAATTCGATTTAATTTCTCCATTCTGAACCTGCGGGTAAGGTATGATTACATAATTCAAAAATATAGTCTTCTAGCTGATTGCTGGTTCAATTAGCATTAATCACGAAATTACATTCCTGCAAATCGCTTAGAATAATGAAAGGTACGCAATGTGTTACACACTAACGACATCCTGTTATTTGATATATGCGATGCAGTATTTATTAATACATAGAAATTGAAAATTCTGTTAGATACTAAATAATTCAACTGTTATAACACGGTTTATGTACTTTTGAACGTTGTACTATATTCAGTGTTGTGTCCAATTTTATTTAAACAGTTCTTCAGGTTTTAATCCATTATACGAGAGAAAACTTATATAAATATGTTTATAAAATGTCAATATACTGTACAGGCGCATTGTACGTTGAAGATGTGCGTGCGTGCGTGTAAGTTCTATTTAGGAGAGGACGTTCTAGCTGAAAAACCAATCTATACATTTATTTTTATAAATATACACGTGTACAAAAATATATTGAAAGCATTATATATATATGCTTATTATGTTCGAGGCAATTGCTCGTATATAGAAAATTGCAGTCATGCCCCAAAAATAACTGCCAGTATCAACAGTGTTCAGTTTATTACATAAATCTTCCACTTATTTAATATAATAAATGATAAAGTATTTCTAAGGCTCCTTGGTGCTCGCCGCAGCCATATGTTAGATTGATGTCAGAGATATAAAGATATTTTTGGAGAAATTCAACTTTAGATAGTTTCAACACATTTTTACAATACTTCGAAAATTATGTTTTTCTCTTAACAATCAACAACCATAAAATAATTGAAACATCAGATTTATTATATATTTTTATTGTATATATATATATTTATATTTTAAAAATATACAAAAGTTGTTTTTCATCAAAATATCTTTTTACCTAAAAATGACACGCAAAATGTGCAGCGCGTATTTTCTCACCTCTGACGTTATAATCTAACATTAAAGTAATAAGATTTTACATTGAGTCACGATGACATACTGGCAGTTGATTAGATAGACGATCATGATTATTGAATCACGATTAGATCATTGTAGATATTTGATCGATTTACAAAGTTTTTATAATGTTTTGTGGAAATAAAAGTCTCGCTACGGTCAGATCTAGACGCGATCCGGCCGCTGCGATGAGCGGAACCGTCAAACAACAGTCGCAGTCTTCCGTGCTGGCCTCGTTCACCCGAAGAATTCTGTCATACGGTCGCAGAACGCCGTCGCAGGGTCCGCCAGGTCGCAAGCGATTTATATAGACCCCGCGTTCGTAAAGACCATCCGACACCGAGAAGCCGAAGTCTTCGTAGACGGGGTCCTTGCGCAACGACACGTGCACTATCTGCTGGGCTTTGTTGTCGGGATCGCCGCATTCTTGTACACTGAAAAGCAAGAAACATATATTATATGAGGATTATTGTGAAATAAATTGTTTCATTGTGAGTGGATGAATCGATACCCTGGATAAGACGGCATTGACAGGTCTAATTGTCCGCTGTCTACAGAGACGGTATCCCAAATTCTCAATATCTCTGGCATAGTAGTACTCTCTCCCAACTCGCCCCAAGAATCCACCGCGCTGTCCACACTAGGAAGACTCTCTCTAGCCGAGCGTAACGCGTTTGCTGGAAACTGTGGCTGGACTGTATCGCTTCCTATACTAAGCTTCCTGCAACAAGTAGAGTCTCTTTTCTTTCAAGTATCTTGTGAGTAAACAGCTTTCTATTTCTGCATAATTGTCGAAAAATTTATTTTAAACATTCTCTTATTTATGCCAACTTTCCTAGTAACAAAGTGACGTCATTAAATGTCAAAATGACAATTTTGACGTCTAGTGACATCATTTGACATCAAAATGACTTACTTTTGTTGTCTGGGTTTACTACTATGACCACTTTTTACTTTTTCATTTTTTTATATTGCATATTCTTATTGCAAGTTATGTGCATCAAGATCCCAGGTAGCAAATCGACGTCATTAAACGTCAAAATGACATAATTTTGACGTCTAATAACGTCATAAAAATTCAACATTTATAAGAAATATTTTAGTCATCCTAAATATACCTTGTTTCTGAATTAGGGTCTGACTTTCTGACAGTTAAGGCGACTACCGAGCTGCCAGGTCGATGTAACAATTGGGCGGCTTGTCTCAGATCTCCAGAATCTAGATTCTCTCCGTCTATTGCGAGCAACCTGTCGCCAGATGCCAAGCTGCCTGTTCGATAAGCGAGTGATCCACGACGGACTTCCGTGATTATCAAATCCTCGTTCACCGTAAGACCCAAATCGGGTTGACCACCCAGCGGCCTCGTGACTCTCACTGTGAAAACTCCGGAATTCGGAACCACTGGTCCACCCACTCTGTATTCTATCACCAGCTCGATCTGATTGTGCCAAGGTAAATCAAACGAATTAATCAAAAGGATTAATTAATTAAACAATTTTAATTAATTATTTAATGTTTTATTAATTAATTCATTAATTTAATTAATTATATTAATTTTATTATAATTATCTTAATTAATTATATATTAATATTATATATTAAAATTTATATATTATATTATTATATAGTATATATATATATATATATATATATTTATTTATTTATAATATTGATCATATATTTAATTAATTATATTAATTAATTAAAAATTAAAAATGTTAATTAAGTAAAAAAATGGTTGATTTATTTTTTGTACAAGTTTAAACGTTTACCAATTGCGATGTCTCAAGTATATTAGCTACTTCAATCGGTTGCAGGTCGCGCAACATCCTCCGGTTGATCGCGACAGCCTTGTCGCCGGGCAGAAGGACGCCGCTTCGTTCCGCCGGGCCACCAGCCTCCAGGAAGCTGACGATGTAGTTCATGCGATCCTCGACCAGCTTGAGCGCGAGGCCGAAGCCCCGGTGATCCGGCCGGAGAACGACCGTCAGGCTCTCCTTCATCTGCAGGATCTGACTCGAGTTCTGCTGGGCCTGCGGCTGCGCTCTTCTCTTCACCGTCCTCGGCGGTCGCGGCAATATTTGTAGCCTAGCGATGCGGCAACTCTCAGAGTTGCTTCTGAGCAACTTCGCCGCGGTCGCCGCATCCTGGACAGGCGTGTCGTCCACGGCCAAGAGCCGATCTCCCACTTGCAGGGCGCCGCAACGATCCGCGGTGCTCGCTGGACGGAGACTCTCTATGTAGATTCCGTTTGAAGTCTCCCTCACGGTTAATCCCAGCTCTCCTGAGGATTTATGTTCAGATTTCAAGTTAGTGTTCATTCGAATGTTCATATTTTTAAAGCCAGACGGCGTCGAGATCAAAATATATGTTCAAACTCGGGTCATAAGACGTCTTTTAGATATCATCCCAGGTACGTCATTTTGATGTCAATTAACATCATTATAGATGTCAAAATGACGTCATGTTGACTTCTAATAACGCCATTAGATGTTAAAGTGACGTCATTTTGACACCTAATGACGTCAGTTTGCTACTTGGGATGTCTTAAAGACATCTTTAAAATGTTTTTTAGATATTATGCGTTTATTCTTTTTAGCTGAACTAGCTGCAGTTTATCTTTGATATTTTTATTGGAAGGAAAAAGATGAACTCTGAACTATAGCTGCACGTTCAGCTGAAAAGAACAGACCTCATATCGTAAAATGTCTTAAAGACGTCTTACATAGTCCCAAGTAGCAAGCTGACGTCATTAAACGTCAAAATGACGTCATTTTGATGTTTAATGACGTCAGTTTGCTACCTGGGGTGTTTGCTGTTATCTAAATAAAATTATACAGATGATCATCGAGATGAAATTTTGACATCATCTTATCTTTATATAGATAATAAAAAAATATATGTATTATCTTAGATGAAAAAAGTATCATCTTCACTAAATTTTCTAGAATAATGTTCAGCTAATTTGATTTAGAGTCGTCATAGTATATAAAATACTTAATTAGTAGAACTTAAACAGTAAGCGATAAAAATTTAACTTATAAATCAAAGTAATTTTTGTAATTTACATTTTTTATAACTCTGTTTACATAAACGGTCTTAAAATAATATTATCTAGAAGTTACCTAGATGAACCGCCATATAATTTTATCTTTTATATAGATATATTTAAAGTTATATTTAAATCTAGATACATATAAATTTTATCTAGATATATTTATATATTTAAATCATCTTTATATTAATCTAACAAGGGAAGGTCATACGATGGCCAAAAAGTTAGGTGACGATTTTGTGCTCATCTGATAAGGCACCCTTCAAAAAGTAATATATGAAGTCCGTTTGCTAATGTAACGTCAATTATCAGATTATCGGGCAAAAAAAATTTAAAAAAATTTTTTTTTATTAATCTCGAAAATTACTGGAGGTATAAAAAAAATGTTTTATACAAAAGTTTTATAATAAAAATAGCTTCATTTAATGACATTAATACAATTTAAAAAAAATTTTTTTTTGAAATTTTTTGAAAAATAAAAAGAAATTTTTTTGAATTTAATTATTTTGTTTATCAAAGAAATATGCAGTAAAAAAAAATTATGTCAGAATGACCACTAGAAACAAAAAGAAATGGTTTTTTTTCTCTGTGTGTGTGTGTGTGTGTGTGTGTGCGTGCGTGCGTGCGTACGTGCATTGTGTGTGTGTTTATTAATAATGTGTACAGTTAATATGTAAATTTTCAAGCAAGCAATGTTTGAAACAATAGCACCGTGTGCAGCGTGCACATGTCAAATCAAAAAACTGCTCACAGTTAAAATGTGAGCATATAGAAAATTTTTCAAATGAAAAAAATGCAGTTTTCTGATTTGAAATGTGCTATTGTTTCAAACATTGCTTGCTTGAAAATTTACATATTAACTGTACACATTATTAATAAACACACACACACACAGAGAGAAGAGAGAGAGAGAGAGAGAGAGAGAAACATTTCTTTTTTTACTAGTGGGTCATTCTGACATGATTTTTTTTTGACTGCATATTTCTTTGATAAATAAAATAATAAAATTCAAAAAAATTTCTTTTAATTTTTCAAAAATCCGATAATCTGGTAATTGGCGTTACATTAGCAAACGAACTTCATATATTACTTTTTGAAGGGTGCCTTATCAGATGAGCACAAAATCGTCACCTAACTTTTTGGCTATCGTATGACCTTTCCTTGTAAGATGAATTTACATATATTTTCATCTCATCTTTATCTATACCTAATTTTAAAATCATCTTAGCACAACACTGTGGTCTTATATAAAAATGCCTCATGTCCCAATTTTGGAAATACTGCTTCCTGTGATATATTTATTCTAAACGAGAAGTTTGAGGGGAAAAATAGCAAAATTGTATACCTGAAAAACTACGTTCCAGCTGAATGAGCAGCGGACCGGAAGTGGCCGCACGCGCCTCCTCCATGTTCGCGACGTCGTACTCGATGGTGAGAGACGCGACAGGTGCGTCCGAGCTCTTCTTCAGGGCTCGCTGCGCCTCGGCCAAGGTGAGGCCCCGCAACTCGGTGTCATCCACCGCCAGCAACCGATCTCCAGGTCTGACTCTTCCCTCCTTGGCGGCCGGCCCGTCCGCTTTCACCCCGGTCACCGTCAGGGCCTTCGACACTCCACCTCGAAGAGTCACCCCGAGGCTGCCGCCTTCCCGCTCGACCCTCACCTGGGCGACCTTCGAGGAAACGCTGAACGACGACAGGCCGATGACGTTCGTCGCCTCCTGATCGTTCAGCAGCAAGAAGCTGTGAGGATGATGCTGGATCTCCTCCGCTCTGCTCGAGTCCGAGTTCGCGGACGCGGCGATGCTTCCCGGTCTGGCGCGATTCTTGTGCGAGCGCATAGTTGTCAGCCTCAATGAACTGAACATCTTTCTTGATCCTTCCGTGCTTCCTCGGGGTCGCGAGCCGATGTATATACTTTGCCCAAATTTAATTCAGCGAAACAATTGTCACTTCAAGGAAGGAGATCTTTCGATGATATGTGAAACATATTCTATATTACGTTATACTCATCTCGTCGAATATGAAGAATATTTTTCATTTGAAATTAAAAGCGATTTTATCAACGAAAAATATTTATAGAGGATCTTTAAATTTGCTAAGCTCTAACACTCGTTTGAAAGATCAAAGATATGTGTCTAGCCATCTGTAGATGAATTTTTAGCTTAAATTGGTAAAAAATAGATCTTTCACTGAACAGAAGCAAAAAGACGACACGTATATATATATAAAAAATCAGATCTCAGTGGCACAATCACGATTCCTTTTGCTCATGGGGTAAACAAGTTGTCTTTGTTCGATTCTCTATAGGCGCAGCGTGAAACCACCGCACTCTTACCGCGAAGAAACTCCTTATAACTGAGTGCGGAGCTATAACAACTCACGAGATGTGGCTTTCAAAAATAACTCCTCCAATATAGGGCCGTATCATCGTGCAGACGAACGGATCTATTTATACATATGATGACGTGCACACTTTCGTTTTACGTGGGAACGTTCATGCGGCCCTGTGCGGACACTTCTTCGCGGTTGCTGTAGCGTTAAATGAGATTGTGCGTTTCTTATTAAAACTTAGGCTTAGCTGCATTCGTCCGAAGTGCCTATGCACGATATAAGAGTTCAACGTACACTTCATTAGCTATAAGAGCATATATATATATATGCTCTTCTGTAAGCGCATGTTAAATGCACTAATCAATCAAATTTACAAGTATAAGTCATACACAATGTTTGTTATCTAAATAAAATTATATAGATATAGATGATCATGTAGATCAAACTTTCGCGTCTTCTTATTTTTATATAGATAATAAAAATGTGTATATTATCTATATATCTCTGCATTTCACATGAAAAAAAGTATTTATTATCTTTATCCTAAATTAATTAGAATAATTTTCAGATAATTATGATTTAGAATCATATTTAGCACATAAATATACTTAAATAGTAGAACTTAAACAGTAAAACAATATCGGCAATCAAGAGAATATCATTGCCGTTTATGATTATATAAATGCAATGTAGCTTTTACATTAGTTTATATAAATTTTAAAAAATGACCCATTCCATAAATATACAAAATCTAAAATATGTATAATACAAGTTTAATTATAATAGAAAAACTGATAACAATCATTCGTTCTTAATAAATGGAGCAATAAAAATAAGAGAGCTTACTTGTATTTTAAGAACTAATTGTAAGTACTTTTTTTATAATATAGCGAAAAAGAGAGAAGGCCCTATAACACTGCATATTTTTCACTGCCAATTACTACAACTATGACTATGTCTCAATGACGGGTCGATTGAAATATTAGATTGCTGTCCAATTAATTTTAGTGTATTTTTAAATTAATAAACGAAATACGTGTACATGGTTATTTACATGTTTGAGAATTATATGTTCCGTGACTTTCGTTTGCTTCTATTTGATTTGTTTCATTTCACTATTCGTGCGTGTTAACAATATAAATTTATTCTTGGCATGGAGTGCTTTATTAATAACGGAAAACTATAATTGAGTTAATCAAAATTAATAAATAAGCGAACATATACTATGCCGAGACAGGCTTTGTCTTTTGCTATCACAGAGAGTTTTATAGACTCAGAACTAATAATGTGTTTTTCCTAATGTCGGACAGACAGTCACATACGAGTGACATTCACTCACTTCATTTTATATTTTCAGTTCCATCGATATTAACCAAAATGTATATACTTACAGATTAAAATTTGTACGGCTCTATATAAATGTATAACAAATGTAATTGATTAAATAACTAAAATTGAAACACTTGTACAAAAAGAACAATGCGATACACGATATGGAATCAAGTTTATTGTGAATATTTGTTACAAATTAGATACATTGCGCACATCAATTATTATTTCAATATTCTTATACCCGATTCGTCTTCCAATTTTGAGAAGAATTGAACCGAATTTATTAAACCGAATATAAAATATAAAATTATATTTAATACATTCTCTTTACTATAAATAATTCAAAAACAAATACGTATTAAGCAATGCGATGAAAACAAACACAAAAATATTATATTTGCTTAAATAAAATATCTTTGTTAACAATACTTTTAAAGTAGTAATTTTACAGAATTACTAATGTAATTTGTTTTATAATGAACAATGTCTTATAACAAAAGCAAAAGTATTATAAATATAAATAATTTAAAACGGCTGCCTGATAAGTGGTTAATTAGCTTACACTATGTTCGCAAAATAATCATTATAATTTCGTACTATTTCGCTTTATATTATATTAAAAAAACAATGTTAATAATTATTCATTAGATTACATTAAATGACTCTTTTCTCCACTACATTCAAATAACTGATTTACTTTGCTATTAAAATCGAATCAATTTAGTCACTATCAGCGGGTGCAATATCTTCAAGAATATTAGCAATTGAAATATTTGATAATTTTTACATAATTATAACAATAACAATAACTGAGTTTAACAATACCAATATAAATTCTCGTTTATATAGGTATGTAAAACGTTTTATGTATAAAATAACTATTAAGCACAAATAATATATATGTTAAAAACAATATTTTTAAAAAGTATTTACAAAATATAAAAAAAATAAAAATTTCGCTCTGTCAATTATGCTTGATATATAGATAATTAAAAAATTATGAGTTTGCAACACATTTGATATATTTATAAGTTTGTGTTATATCGCTTTATGTTAAATCGAAAAAGCAGTTGTTAATAATTACGCTTAAGATTAGTTCTATTACCTTCTTCAGTAGACTCCACTGCCCTATCAGAATTTAAATCGGAACAAAAATTATCAACGTAAATTCTCTTCTTACAAGTTTGCAGCTGATTGCTGCTAAACGTTGAAATATCTGCGGTGTTCCTATCACGATGAAAAAGATTGTATAATCTTGGTGATAATAAGCTGGAACAATTAACAGTACAATATTATGAATTAGTCAGTGTTATAAAGTCTTACTTGAATTGTGTGCATAATGCATAATTATTGAATACAAACTATTAATATTAATTTAACGCTTTTATTATATTAACACTTCTCGCTGTAAACTTGAAATACTAATATAAATGTAACGTATATAAATATTGTTAAAATGTAACAATTTTTGTCCGGTTATTTAATATTAAAAACCCTGATTCACAATTTATATTAAAATAAATATTTAATTAAATAAATTCTTACAAATTACAATTACAAGAAATACAACAGAGCAAAGCAGGTCCGAAAGTATATTTTAATAAAGTATGAACTAATTAAAATAAATTGACGTAAATATAAATATATGTAATAAACACATTCCAAAAGATTGAATTTTATTTTCTTATTTATTATAAACAATTCTGTTCATTCTACACAAATGTACGTGTAAATAATAAGTAACAATATAATTAATTTATAGGAAATTCTTACCGTGTTGGTATAAATTTTGGAGGTACGATGACACGATGAGCTTCGACTAAATGTACCATTATATTAAAAATATTAAATTTTTTTAATTGATTGCACGATTCGCATTTCTCAATTAAAGGAAGTTGGACGTTTACCCAGGTTTTGAGTTCATTAGCTATATCTTCGTTAAGTTTATGTTTTTCTATTATATGCCATTGTATCTTCGTACATGGATTCAAGGATGGCATACAAATTGTAGAACAATAATTACATTTTAATCCGTTTGTTTCAGTAGGAGTAAAAGTATTATCTAATTCTGAAGGTTGATCCTTTCCAAAATGTAAGCCTGACACATGCCCAAGCATTTTGGAACGGTGTGCAATGGTATTCTGATAATCACAAATATTGCATATTTCAATCTTTGTATCATTTTTCAAATAATACCACATCCATGTACAATTTTTTAACCTGTGAAGAATAAAAAATACAAATTGCTGGAATAATTAATATTGTAATGTTTGCTTGTTGAGTAATGTTTACAGTATAATATATATTATACTGTACACATATTAATATAAATATATATAATAAGCACATTTTTAATGTTTGAATTTTATTTTTTTATTTATTAAAAACAATTCTGTGTACACAAATGTACGTATAAATAATAAAAAAACAATATAATAGATTTATCGGAAATTCTTTTTACCCTGTTGGTATAAAGTTTGAAGGTACAGTGACATCATGAATTCTGTGTAAATGTACCATGAAATTGAAAATATCCAATTTCTCAAATTGTTTGCAAGTCTCACATTTCTCAATTATATCAAGTTGCTGATTTACCCAGATTTTGAGTTTATTAGCTATATTTTCGTTAAGTTTATGCTTATCTATAATGTGACGTTGCATATACCAATTTAGACGAAAAGAAGGCTTATAAATTTGCAGACAATAATTACATTTTATTTCGTTGTTCCTTATTGTAAAAAAAGGTGTTTCTTCCGATTTATTATGAATATCAGGATGTTCTTTTTGTATATGTGCTTTCATATATACAATGTGAGTCGAACAATATTTCTCATCACAAATATTACATATTTCATACTTCGTATCTCTTCTCAAATAATACCACATCCATCTATAGTTTATTGAGCTATATAAAATAAAAAATACAAATTGCTGGAATAATTAATATTGTAATGTTTGCTTGTTGAATAATGTGTACAATGTAAAATTACTGATAACAAATCACAACTAATATTATTAATAAGATCTTAATTATCTATTTAAACTTTATCCCCTTCATATAAATTTAACTTTCAATATTCTTAAAAACATGAAAATTATCCAACTACGAATATCTGTATCTTTAAATTAAATTGTACATTTGTTCATACCTATAAAGATTGTCACAAATTATCGATTATAAAAATTTTAAATATAATAGGACGCAAATTTAAGTTATAAAAAAAGACAATAAACACAAATAGAAAGATAGCCAATATCTTCAACGATATTAATTGTAAAACTCATGTTAATTAGACTTTGTTTTCTTGTTTTGACAAATAATATTATCTCGAAATATGTGACCTTTTTTTGCACCTTGTATATATATTTATACTTAACTTTATGAGTATATTTATAACTTAAATATTATAATATATTTGTGATAAAAACGTCCTAAATATTTGAAATCATGATACTATTCGTTGTACATGATTTTATTAAGTGACCATTATGATCTTTCAAGGTTTTCAATTATATTTTTTCTATATTCAATGGATTTGATAAAAATTATCACAAATATGTTGCCTTATTATTTTCGATGTGATACATAGGCCAATTTCCCATCTCCGATTATTTTCATCGACCGATTCAATTTAAGAATTTCAAACAACAAAGTACAGATTATTTTAAATATAGATAAAGTTGATCAGTTTTAAGTTGGCAATTTTTAAATTTAATCAACCGATTAAAATGCACGACAGAAATGATATAATTGGCCCATAATCTCATAAACTGGTGTTACCTTGCCTGAACATCTGACATATCTTCAGCAGTATAAGCAGAGGGTAAGCTGCTTGATGGTGCAATATCAGAAAGATTGCCAGTATCATCTAAAATATTTGATAATTTGTACAAAATTATATAACAATATAATTATCGAATTAATCAATAACAAAATAAATTCTCGTTTATATGAATATGTAAAATGTTTTATGTGTAAAATAACTATCAAGTACAAATAATAAATAATTATAAAAAAATTATTTAAAAAGTATTTAAAACACCGATAGATTTAAATAAGTCGCTAGTGATGAGTAAAACCATACAAGTTATTAATATTTCGACCTAACTGGCCAGTACAAATTATTGCCAACATTTCGTTTTAACGGTCGAAATATTAATAAACTTGTATATTTAATAATTATTTAAAAATAAAAATTTTGCTCTGTCGATGCTTGATATATAAATAATTAAAAAATTATTAGTTTGCAACACATTTGATATTTATAAGTTTTGATTTATAAGTTTGTGTTATATCGCTTTATGTTAAATCGTAAAAGCAGTGTTAATAATTACGCTTAAGATTAGTTCTATTACCTTCTTTAGTAGACTCCACTGCCCTATCAGAACTTAAATCGGAACAAAAATTATCAACGTAAGTTCTCAAAGTGTTACAAGTTTGCAGCTGATTGCTGCTAGACGTTGGAATATCTGCGGTGTTCCTATCACGATGAAAAAGATTGTATAATCTTGATGATAATAAGCTGGAATAATTAACAGTACAATATTATAAATTAGTCAGTGTTATAAAGTCTTATTGGTATCATGTGCATAATGCATAATTATTGAATACAAACTATTAATATTAATTTAACGTTTTTATTATATAAACACTTCTCGCTGTAAACTTGAAATACTCATATAAATGTAACATATATAAATATTATTGAAAAGCCACAATTTTTGTCCGGTTATTTAATATTATAAACCCTGATTCACAATTTATATTAAAATAAATATTTAATTAAATAAATTTTTACAAATTACGATTTCAAGAAATGAAACAGAGCAAATCTGGTCTAAAAGTAAATTTTAATAAAATATTAACTAACTCAGATAAATTGACGTGATAATAAATATATGTAATAAACACATTCCTAATAATTGAATTTTATTGTTTTATTTATTATAAACAATTTTGTTCATTCTACACAAATGTACGCATTAATGATAAATAACAATATAATTAATTTATTGGAAATTCTTCTTACCCTGTTGGTATAAATTTTGGAAGCACGATGACACGATGAGTTTCGACTAAATGTACCATTTTATTAAAAATATCAGAATCTTTAAATTGATCGCAAGATTCGCATTTCTTAATTAAAAGAAGTTGGTCGTTTACCCAGATTTTGAGTTCATTAGCTATATTTTCGTTAAGCTTATGTTCATTTGTCAAGTGATTTCGTGTATATTTACTCAGATTTATGGATGCCATATAAATTTTAGGACAATAATTACATTTTATTCCGTTGTTTTGTGTTAGAGTAAAGTGTTTTTTCAAAATTGTAATAGGATGTGCGTGTGCGATATGGTTAAGCATGGTGAAATGGTGAGAACTAGTATATGGCATATTACATATATTGCATATTTCATACTCCGTACTCTCATCTCTTCTCAAATAATACCACATCCATCTATATTTTATTGAGCTATATAAAATAAAAATACAAATTGCTGGAATAATTAATATTATAATGTTTGCTTGTTGAATAATGTGTACATTGTACAATACAATTACTGATAACAAATCAAAACTATAATATTATTGACAAGATTTTATTATCTACTTAAACTTTATCTCCTTTATTTAATTTTAAATTTTCAATATTCTTAAAAACATAAAAAATTATCTAATTTCGAATATATGTATATCTTATTAAAAAATTATATTGTACATTTGTTCATATCTATAAAGAATGTCACAAATTATCGATTATAAAAGTTCTAAATATAATAACATGCAAATTTATATTATTAAAAAAGACAATAAATAGGAAGATAGTCAGTATCTTCAAAGATATTTATTATAAAAATTAAATAATTGGACATTGTTTTTTTGTTTTGATCAATAATATTATCTCGAAAGTTGTGATATTTTTTCGCACTTTGTATATATATTTATACTTAACTTTACGACTATATTTATATGTTAACTTAAATATTATAATATATTTGTGATAAAAGACGTCCTAAATATTTGAAATCATGATTCTATTCGTTGTACATGATTTTACTAAGTGACCATTATGTACCTTTTTAAGGTTTTCAATTATATTTTTTCTATATTTTATGGATTTGATAAAAATTATCACAAATATGTTGCCTTATTTTTTAATGTGATATATAGGCCACTTCACCATTTTCGATTATTTTAATCGACCGATTCAATTTAAAGATTTCAAACGGCAAAGCACAGATTATTTTAAATGTAGATAAAGTTGATCAGTTTTAAGTTGACAATTTTTAAATTTAATCAACCGATTAAAATGCACGACAGAGATGATATAATTGATCCATAATCTCATAAATTGGTATTACTTTTCATCGTATTCTGACCTATTTGACTTTTCTGCCATGATGATTGCTCTGTAGATCGTGCACTACTGTGGATTATAAAGGAAAAATTATTTAAACGAAAAATATATATGTCAAGAAATGTTGATAATAGAAAAAGTATAGAGGTTGCGAGAAGATGTTGATTCGTTCTAAAAATGTAAATATTGATACACAGATATTAAAACTGCCTAATGTGTTTTTCAATTTTCACGATTATATATAGTAATAATCCAATGCGGATAATTTCACCGTTTAGGAAACAATTTAAAAAATTATAATCACTTATATAAAAATATATAAGAACGTTAGAAACTTTCCAAATTATGAAGATTTTTTTTTTATTCATCTAAATTTTTTTCTGTCAAAATATCGCGTTCTCGTTGTACTCCGGATTCTTCGCCAGTACCATATTCATTTCTTCTACAGGAGATCAACTTCTGCGTCCGAGAACTATCCTCGTAAAAACACTACGAAATATGCTTTCGTTACTTTTTTTCATTCGCAACTCAAGGCAACGCCCGGGTTTTAGGTTTAGCACATTTTCGACGCGTTTCGGTAAAACGCGAAAATATGCGAGAGTTTATTTGCACGCGAATAAAACCGATGTTTTCGCGTCACCGCTTTTTTTAAGATTCTCTTATCGGAGGACATTCCCGAACCTCATTATATATTATATTCCAAAATTCATTTCACTTATTCCAGAGAATTAGCCACTACACTCACTATATTTTATCTTTCACTGAACATTCGGCGAAGAAATCGCGAATATCGCGCACGAACCTCGTCGATTTATCAGCGCGTATTTCTATCCGAAATTTTTTAATTACATATTAAAAGGCTGAATGTGTGGTGTGTGTTTCTGAAATTAACGGTCCTTTTTATATTCTAAATTTGGAATTATATATTTCTCTAAATATTTCAGGTAATTAAAATTTTTGTTTAATTGTGTTATTGTTATAAAATTTATTTGAAAAGAACTTTTATTAAGAGCACGTTACTAACTTACATTATTAGACAGCTAATCATTTTAGTTATATTGCCTGCTCTTTAAACTTTAATTTTTGTTTTTTAAAAGCATAAATATTTACGTAAATATTTTAATAACTTTATTGAATATATACATATGTTAAATATCCAAAAATGTTGTATGTGTTTAGATGATTACATACTTTACACAACAATTACAATACTTGCTTCTATCCGTCAATTGGAAAAATTTTAGCGTTAAAAAAATGTGGCATTTTGTTTCATTAATTTTACTACAAAAACAGAGAGCTAGAAAGACTGCTTTCATGTTTTTCGAAATAAGTGATATGAATTATTAAATAATGCACAATTTATTTGATTAATTGAATGAAATTTTCCTCTATATATTGTACCTCTTCTTGAGCTTTCTAAAATAATTTATTAAAGCAAATTACACGTAATCAAAATAATATTTGAAATACAAAATGTACAGTATTGTTACTATAAGAATATTTAAATTAGAAAATACTATTTGTTTTTTTATAATCTGAATTAAATTACAAAATATTTTATACATTATAAAATAGAATAATTATTTATTGTATTTATTTAAAAAATATAAAATATAAAATATAAAATTTTTTGATTTTTTAAGAAAAATTTATATTTAAAATATATTGTTGTGTAATACTAAAAAAAAATAGAGGAGAGACAAAGGTATCTATACAGGTTTTGTTGACTAATTATCTACGTAATGTAACATTTCTGCCATTCTCATTCGCCATTTCATTCTTATTTTGAGTTCGAGACACCGAGGCGTCGAGAAAGCAAATGTTCATTCTCAGAATAGCAAACAAAGAGAATTGACGTCGTTTGAATTTTTGAACACACGTTAAAATCGTTGCTCGAATGCCGCGTTATTAAAAATTAAAATTTAATCTATATTTATAGAATAAATTATATATCACAAATTTAGGAGAAATTGAACAAAGGCAAATTAAAAGAGTTTTGTATTTGATCCTATTTAAATTTTCTGCATGCAATCGCGATTGTCTTGCAATCGCAAACTATAATTTTATTAAATATATATTAAATATATTATAAATTAAACTTCGGCTCGTATACAATTAAAATATGTGATACAATAAAAGGCCAACTTAACGAGCTTATAAGATATTAATTTAAAAAAAAATTTTTTATTATTTTACGTCATAATATAATGTTACAAAAGATAAACGTTTCGACTGTACGACAGTCTTTTTCAATATCATTATCTCTATGCTAATATGTCAAAAAATTAAATTATTTAGTTAGATCGAACTTATTATAAATACAACATTTATGGAATTATAATGTGAAGAACACAGTACAATATTCATGTTTTGTTGGCTTGAGTTAAAGCGTCAGATTTCTGTATTTCATGCTGTTATATTATGTAGCAACGCTGTGAATCAATTAATATATCAACTCAAATATTACATATTAATTATTAGATTTTTAATAAATAGTGTTAACTTACTTCTGTGTCACGACCATAACACTTATTTAAAAAATTATTTCTTTTTAAATGACATAATCACAATGTGTACTTTTTTTAAAAAAACAATTTGATATCTGTATTTTGCAATGTCGGCGCGCTGTATATATACCCAATTCCTTAGATGACGTAGACAATTTTTCTAAAATATCAAAATAAGAACCGTCAAGACGCTCGGTGTCCTTTTTTAGGTTGATACTGTTTTTTTCTTCTTTAATGTGTATCATTTCTGATATCAACCTTTTGTAATAATTCTTTTCGTAATCTAGGATTTTTGTGTCGTTCCAATTGAAATTATGCGTAAACTTTACAATATGATTCGAAACCACCGAGTGTCTTGCAGAATCCAATCTAATATTATTTTTATGTTCATTTACTCTTGTGCCTAATTGTCTTTTCGTTTGTCCTACATATGTAGCATCACAATTATTACACGATCTCTTATATATGACCCCCGAATTATTTTGGAGCTTATCTCTGTCTTTTTGTGTTTTTATGACTCTCTTTAATTTTTTTAGACATCTGTATCCTACTATTATATTCGATTTCTTTAATTCTGATGCTACTAATTCCGAGATTCTTTCAATATATGGTATCGCTATGAATTTTTTCTTTCTGTCGTTATTTATGTCTTCGTTATTTGTATCTTGAGTCATCTCTTTGTTTAATCTATTACCAATAAGGAACTTTAGTCTTTTATTAATTTCTGAGAAAATGAGATCAAGAGGATAACTATTGCTCAATAAAATCTCTATGATTAATGTTAAATTTTTACTATGAAAACTAGAATGTGATAATAATATTGATCGGTCTACTAAATTATATATTACACTTTTTTTGTGGCACATAGGATGATTTGAATATGAGAGTGTTCTACCCGAAAATGTTTTTTTCTGAAACCAATCTATATATATTATGTTATTTATAATTTTGAGTGAAATATCTAAAAAACTTATGCAACGGTTGTCCTCTCTTTCCATTGTGAATTTTAATCTATCGTGACAATCATTAAATTTTTCTACTAAATATGCGACCTGATCATCCGGCATGCAAACCAAGATGTCATCGACATAGCGATAGTAAAATTTTAAATTTACATTTATGGTATCAAGAATCTTAGTTTCTACATCTTGCATGACAATATCCGCAATGATTGGAGATAAAGGCGATCCCATAGGAGTTCCATGTATTTGTTTATAGATCGTATCATTGAATGTGAAGAACGTTAAAGTTAAAATGAATTTAATTACATTAACAAATTCATTTTTGCCAATTGATGTGACACAAAAGTAAGTTAACACTATTTATTAAAAATCTATATATAGGTAATATGTAATATTTGAGTTGATATATTAATTGATTCACAGCGTTGGTACATAATATAACAGCATGAAATACAGAAATCTGACGCTTTAACTCAAGCCAACAAAACATGAATATTGTACTGCGTTCTTCACATTATAATTCCATAAATGTTGTATTTATAATAAGTTCGATCTAACTAAATGATTTAATTTTTTGACATATTAGCATAGAGATAATGATATTGAAAAAGACTGTCGTACAGTCAAAACGTTTATCTTTTGTAACATTATATTATGACGTAAAATATAAAAAAATTTTTTTTAAATTAATATCTTATAAGCTCGTTAAGTTGGCCTTTTATTGTATCACATATTATAATTTTATTGTGAAATATCTGATTTGAATACAATATTGTGTATAACACTTTGAATAAATATAATTAATCTGAATATATATTATGTAAAAAAATCTGTATAATTATTTAAATGCAGATTACTAAAATTATTTTTTTTTTTTTGGAGGGAATTATACTGCAATATGATTTCTCTTTTTTTCAATTAGCTAATATTAAAAACTAATATTAGAAAAAATAAAGCTAAACTATAGAAAAGTAAAACAAACCCCAGGTGAAATAATACTAAGATTAGGAAAATTAAAACTAAAAAAAAAGTTAATTAATTATGTACGCAATAAAAATTCAGCGAATTAAAATTATTTGCATAAAAGAAATACGACAAATTAAAATTTTGTGCATAGTAAAAATTTAGCAAACTAAAATTATGCTCATAATAGTAATTCGGTGAATTAAAATTATATACATAATAGAAATTCAATGACATAAACATAAAATTATGTGCGTAATAGGAACTCGGCAAATTAAAATAATATTCAGTTTAACCACAAACTGTAAAGCTGTAAAACGATTTGACTGTGATTGAAGTCGCGAAGCAAACGTCGAGACAACCCGAACCAGCATCGCGAAAAAGTGGCCTCAATACTTCGATTAAAATTAAATTTACTCTATTAACATGTCTTTTTTTAAAGAAAGAATACAGCAAAAAAGGTCATATAGCGCTGCATATTTTACACTGCCAATTTCTACAGCGAATATGTAACGGATCGATTGATAGAAAAATATCAGATCGTTGTCCAATAAATTTTCGTGTATTTTTAATTTAATAAACAAAATACACATGTATACATTCAAGAATTATACGTATATTCCGTGTTTCGTTTACTTCTATCATTTGATTTGTTTCATTTCACTTTTCGTGCACGTTAACAATATAAGTTTATGTATGGCATAGATTGCCTTATTAATAACGCAAACCTATAATTGAGTTAATGCGAATACCTACTACGCAGAGACAGACTTTGTATTTTACTATAACACAGTTTTATAGACCCAAACAAATATAATGTGTTTTTCCTAATGTCGGACGGACAGTCACATGCGTGTCCACATCCACGCACACGATTTTATATTTTCAGTTCCATCGATATTAGCCAAAATGTATCCACTTACAGATTAAAATTTGTACGGCTCTATATAAATGTATAACAAATGTAATTGATTAAATAACTAAAATTGAAACACTTGTACAAAAAGAACAATGCGATACACGATATGAAATCAAGTTTATTGCGAATATTTGTTACAAATTAGATACATTGCGCACATGAATTATTATTTCAATATTCTTATACCCGATTCGTCTTCCAATTTTGAGAAGAATTGAACCGAATTTATTAAACCGAATATAAAATATAAAATTATATTTAATACATTCTCTTTATTATAAATAATTCAAAAACAAATACGTATTAAGCAACGCGATGAAAACAAACACTAAAATATTATATTTGCTTAAATAAAATATCTTTGTTAACAATACTTTTAAAGTACTAATTTTACAGAATCACTAATAAATTTGTTTTATAATGAACAATGTCTCATAACAAAAGCAACAGTATTATAAATATAAATAATTTAAAACGGCCGCCTGATAAGTGGTTAATTAGCATACACTATGTTCGCTAAATAGTCATTATAATTTCGTACTATTTCGCTTTATATTATATTAAAAAAACAATGTTAATAATTATTCATTAGATTACATTAAATGACTCTTTTCTCCACTACATTCAAATAACTGATTTACTTTGCTATTAAAAATCGAATCAATTTAGTCACTATCAGCGGGTGCAATATCTTCAAGAATATTAGCAATTGAAATATTTGATAATTTTTACATAATTATAACAATAACAATAACTGAGTTTAACAATACCAATATAAATTCTCGTTTATATAGATATGTAAAACGTTTTATGTATAAAATAACTATTAAGCACAAATAATATATATGTTAAAAACAATATTTTTAAAAAGTATTTACAAAATATAAAAAAATAAAAATTTCGCTCTGTCAAATATGCTTGATATATAAATAATTAAAAAATTATGAATTTGCAACACATTTGATATATTTATAAGTTTGTGTTATATCGCTTTATGTTAAATCGAAAAAGCAGTGTTAATAATTACGCTTAAGATTAGTCCTATTAGCTTCTTCAGTAGACTCCACTGCCATATCAGGATTTAAATCGGAACAAAAATTCTCAACGTAAGTTCTCAAAGTATTACAAGTTTGATTGTTGATTGCTGCTAGACGTTGGAATATCTGCGGTGTTCCTATCACGATGAAAAAGATTGTATAATCTTGGTGATAATAAGCTGGAATAATTAACAGTACAATATTATGAATTAAACAGTCTTATAAAGTCTTACTTGAATTATGTGCATAATGCATAATTATTGAATACAAACTATTAATATTAATATAAATTTAAAGTGTAAGACAGGCAATAAGAACCAATCGCGGAAGACAGTGCGTTATCCCAACGAAACTAAATTTTTTCGTTAGAATTAAATATCTGTGCAATAATCTTGAGAAGAATTTGTCAAACCGAATATAGATCATGCAAAATATAAAAATATTTAATACATTCTATTTACTATAAATAATTAAAAACAAATACGTATTAAGCGACGCGTTGAAAATAGACATAGAAATATTATAACAGCTTAAATAAAATATCTTTGTTAATTCAATACTTTTAAAGAACTAATTTTACAGAATTAACAATAAATTTATGTTTTATAACGAACAATAGTATTATAAGTGTAAATAATTTAAAACGCAGTTGCCCGATAAGTAGTTAATTGACAAATATGTTCGCAAAACAATCATCATTATAATTTTGTACCATTTCGTTTCATGTTACATTAATAAAGCAGTGTAAATAATTATTTATTAGATGACTCTTTACTCCACTGTACCGATTTAAATAACTTGTCCTTGTCAATACTTTTAAAAACGAATCAATATCTTCATTATTAGTATCAGCAGAAAAAAAGTTGCTTGATGGTGACATATCAGGAAGATCGTGATAATCATCTACAATATTTGATAATTTTCACAGAATTATATAACAATAACAATTACTGAATTAATCAATAACAAAATAAATTTTCGTTTATATAAATATGTAAAATGTTTTATGTGTAAAATAACTATCAAGTACAAATAATAAATAATTTTAAAAAATGATTTTAAAAAGTATTTAAAACATACCGATAAATTTAAATACGTCGCTAGTGATGAGTAAAACCATACAAATTATTAATATTTCGACCTAACAAATCAGTACAAATTATTGCCAACATTTCGTTTTAACGGTCGAAATATTAATAAACTTGTATATTTAATAAATATTTAAAAAATAAAAATTATGCTTTGTCGATGCATGATATGTAAGTAATTAAAAAAATTATGAGTTCGCAACATACTCAATATATTTATAAGTTTAAGTTATATCGCTTTATGTTAAATCGAAAAAGCAGTATTAATAATTACGCTTAAGATTAGTCCTATTACCTTCTTCAGTAGACTCCACTGCCCTATCAGAATTTAAATCGGAACAAAAATTATCAAAGTAATTTCTCAAAGTGTTACAAGTTGGCAGCTGATTGCTGCTAGACGTTGGAATATCTGCGATGTTCCTATCACGATGAAAAAGATTGTATAATTTTGGTAATAATATGCTGGAATAATTAACAGTACAATATTATAAATTAGTCAGTGTTATAAAGTCTTACTTGAAATATGTGCATAATGCATAATTATTGAATACAAACTATTAATATTAATTTAACGCTTTTATTATATTAATACTTCTCGCTGTAAACTTGAAATACTCATATAAATGTAACATATATAAATATTATTGAAATGCAACAATATTGGCCCGGTTATTTAATATTATAAAACCTGATTCACGTTTTAAACTAAAATAAATATTTAATTAACTAAATTCTTACAAATTACAATTACAAGAAATACAACAAAGCAAATCTGATCCGAAAGTATAGTTTAAAAAAATATTAACAAACTCAGATAAATTGACGTAATAATAAATATATGTAATAAAAACATTCCAAAAGATTGAATTTTATTTTCTTATTTATTATAAACAATTCTGTTCATTCTACACAAATGTACGTATATATGATAAATAAGAATATAATTAATTTATCGGAAATTCTTCTTACCCTCTTGGTATAAATTTTGGAAGCACGATGACACGATGAGCTTCGACTAAATGTACCATTATATTAAAAATATCAGATTCTTTAAATTGATCGCAAGTGTCACATTTCTTAATTACATTAAGTTGCTGGTTTACCCAGATTTTGAGTTCATTAGCTATATTTTCGTTAAGCTTATGATCATTTGTCAAGTGTCTTTGTGTATATATACTCAGATTTATGGATGCCATATAAATTTTAGAACAATAATTACATTTTAATCCATTGTTTTGTGTTGGAGTAAACTGTTTTTTTAAAATTGTATTAGGATGTGAGTGTCCGATATGTCTAAACATATTGGAATGGTGAAAACTAGTATATGGCATATTACATATATTGCATATTTCATACTCCGCATCTCTTCTCATATAATACCACATCCATTTATAGTTTATTGAGCTATATAAAATAAAAAATACAAATTGCTGAAATAATTAATTTTACAACGTTTGCTTGTTGAATAATGTGTACATTGTATAATTACTCATAACAAATCAGAACTATAATATTATTGAATATAAATATTCTGTTTTCTAAGTCGGGCAATAGAGCCAAAGAAACGAAAAATTAATTACTCGGAACTGTATCTCAATTTGAGATCCCAAAGTTCCTTATATAAATTAATTTCGAAACTTACATATGGAGAAATAATCGCGAAAAATTCCCGCTTCAGCGACTTTTCGGACCTATATTTTTCGCGTTTATTTCTCCATATGTAAGTTTCGAAATTAATTTATATATGGAACTTTGGGATCTCAAATTGAGATACAGTTCCGAGTAATTAATTTTTCGTTTCTTTGGCTCTATTGCCCGACTTAGAAAACAGCATATTTATATTCTTTATATTGAGAACCGATAAAAATATTTATTTCTGAGTATAATATTATTGACAAGATTTTATTAGCTACTTAAACTTTATCTCCTTTATTTTAATTTAAATTTTCAATATTCTTAAAAACATAAAAATTATCTAAATTCGAATATATGTATATCTTATTAAAAATTATATTGTACATTTGTTCATATCTATAAAGAATGTCACAAATTATCGATTATAAAATTTCTAAATATAATAACATGCAAATTTATATTATTAAAAAAGACAATAAATAGGAAGATAATCAGTATCTTCAAAGAAATTTATTATAAAAAATAGTTAATTGGACTTCGTTTTCTTGATTTGATCAGTAATATTATCTCGAAACATGTGACTCTTTTTTCGCACAATATATATATATTAATACTTTATAACTATTAAATTATTATGTATATTATTATATATATAATATTAGCTATGTTTAAGTTAACTTAAATATTATAATATATTTGTGATAAAGACGTCCTAAATATTTGAAATCATGATTCTATTCTTTGTACATGATTTCACTATGTTATCACTATGTACCATTTCAAGATTTTCAATTATATATTTTATTAAATTCGATGGATTTGATAAAAATGATCAGAAATATGCTGCCTTAATATTTTTCGATGTGATATATATGTAGGCCATTTTCACCATCTCCGATTATTTCAATCGATCGATTCAATTAAGAATTTTTAGCTGAAAAGCACAGATCATTTTAAATGTAGATAGAATTGATCAGTATTAAAGAGGCAATTTTTTAATTGAATCAGTCGATTAAAATGCACGACAGAAATGATATAATTGATGCATAATCTCATAAATTGGTATTACCTTTCATCGTAATCTGACCTATCTGACTTATCTGCCATGATGATTGCTCTGTAGATCGTGCACTTCTGTAGGTTACAAAGAAATAATTATTTAAACAAAAAATATATGTGTGAAGAAATGTTGATAATAGAAAAAGAGGTCACAAGAAGATGTATGGTTCCTTCTAGAAATGTAAATATTGATATACAAATATTAAAACTGTCTAACGTGTTTCTCAATTTTGACGATTATAGGTAGCAATAATCCAGTATCGATCATTCCACAGTTTAAAAAACGATTTAAAATATAATTTATAATCACATGTATTACAAATAATTTCAAATAAATTAAAAATGTACCGTCACATTTATTTTTTTATAATGTTATGTTTATGTATTTTATTTATAAAAATTGCATTAACTTTATATATTACTTTTATTGCAGTCAATACAAATCGAATGAGTCTACTAATTATATAAAAAACAAAAAATTTAATATTTGTTTATATGTTATTAATACAGTAATTAACACAATACTTTCAAGAAATTGTTCTTGCATGACAAATAATAAATTTATATCCATATAATAACTTGGCATGTCTTGAGCCTTATTAGTTAACACAACGAGAATTATGTATTATTTTGATATATATACCTATTTTTGAATGTTTGTTTCGTAAATACGAAAATTGATGTTTTTTAAAATGTGAAAATATACAAAAATATATATATACAAAAATGAACAACCTTAACAATACTTTATTCGAGCAATATAATTAATTTGATACCTCAAAATTTGCAAATGTTAATAAAAATGCACTTAACACTCAAGTTCATAATTTCATTAAAAAGTTAATTCTTTTACCAATTCTCGCCAAATTCAATAATACCAATTATTTTTACGCATCCATATTTTATATTTTACGTAAATATAAAATTTAATTCAATACCTAAAAATTTATGGAAGTTAGAGCAATTATGCAGACATTTATTTAAAAAATTCAAAATTTTATAGAAAAAATTGACTCTTTTGCATCGATATTCTAATTCAATACCACATATATAATAATGATTATATTTGTATATAATAACGATTATGTAATTTATGTAAAAAAATTTATTCCGATATTTCAAAATTTGTAGAAGTTAGAGAAACCACAAAATATTTTTTAAAAATTAAAATTACATTAATATTTGAAACATTTTATCAAATTTTATATATATGAATAATAAATATTTAATTTTACGCCAAATATTAAAGCACTACAACTCAAACAATAATGTTCTTGAAAAATTAAATTTTCAAGGGATAGACACGTATATTCTTTTTTAATATAATTTTTCGACATTTTAGCATATTTTGAACATATTCTCATAAAAATTAAAAAATTATTTTCAAGAAAACAATTTCCTCTTGAAAAGTAATTAATATTAAACAGCCGCACGGCCAGCCAGTTATATGCCACGTGTCAACGTACGTGGCTGTCACGTAAAAATTATATAGTTCTTTCGGCATTATATCATAAACGCATCGCGGAAAAATCACTTCTTTTATCATCACCACACATGCAAATATTAATCAATAATAATAAATATGATATTTTAAACCGGCCAATAAAGCCCAAGCGCGAAAATTAAGTTTCTCAGAAATGTATCTCTTCGTACAAAATTACTAAATTTCATATATTAATTAACTTTGAACTTACACATATAGAAAAATAGGCGAGAAAAATATAGGTCCGAAAAGTCGCTGAAGCGGGAACCTATATTCGGACCTATATTTTTCTTGTTTATTTTTCCATATGTAAGTTCAAGGTTAATTAATATATAGAATTTAGTAATCTCGTACCAAGAGATACAGTTCTGAAAAAAATTAATTTTTGCGCTTGGGCTCTATTGGCCGCTTTAAAATATCTTATTTATTATTTAATACTGAGAGCCGATAAAAATATTTCTTATTTGCAAAAATTAATCATTTTTTAGACTATTACGCTTGAAGTTGCAAGAAAATAAATTACATTTATGATTTCGTCTAAATTGTGTTTCACAAACTATATGTATTATTAAATAAATAAAAGAATAAAAATCTAAAAGTTGAATAATTTTAAATATAATATAAACAATAAAAATTTGAAATACACTAAATAATATTCAATTAACCTAGCCAATTTTGTTAGCCAGAGTTGCGTATAATTCTTCAAAATAATAATTTTTTTTCGGATAAATACATCTTTTGCGTAAAACATTGTGTCGCGTGTATAAAACAATACTTAGAAAAATCATCCGTACAATAAAATAAGTTAAATAATTAATGTATTTATTACTAAAAGGATGACTTGAGATCCACATTGCAATCTGTGGCCTTGCAAAGAGTCTACAAAAAATATATATCGATCTGGTGATCGTGAACGAGCAGGACTTTGCCAATACGTTCAGACAGGTGATTGCAGCATTGGATGTCTTAACTACGGAGCAACGATATGGATGCCACCAAATTTTGGATTTACTAATTGATTCTCGAATGCAGCACTTGACGTAACAGAAAAATAATCAATTAAAATAGATCTGTGCTCGTTGCTTACTCGTGAATAAACGAAGATTCTGTCACATTTGTGAACAGTGAGATTGCACTATACAGAGTGTAATTAATTCTCAAATATTCAGAGTAAAATCATCCGTTTATGGCGCAACTAAGAAAAAAAGTACGTAGATAAGAGTACAAAATATTATTACACTTTGTGCCGCAATCAAGAGAATATCATTTCCATTTATATAAATGCAATGTAGCTTTTACATTAGTTTCTGTAAATTTATTAAAATGACCGATTCTATAAATGTACAAAATCTAAAATATGTATAATACAAGTTTAATTATAATAGAACAACGGTTAACAATTATTCGTTCTTAATAAATGGAACAATGAAAATAAGAGAGCTTACTGGTATTTAAGAACTAAGTACTTTTTTATAATATTGCGAAAGAGAAGGCCATATAGCGATGCATATTTTTCACTGCAAATTTTTTACAACTACGACTATGTATCAATGACGGGTCGATTGATGGTAAAATATCAGACTGTTGCTCAATTAAATTTAGTGTATTTTTAAATTAATAAACGAAATACGTGTACATGGTTATTTACATGTTCGAGAATTATATATTCCGTGAGTTTCGTTTACTTGTATTTGATTTGTTTTATTTTCACTATTCGTGCATGTTAACAATATAAGTTTATTTCTGGAATGGAGTGCTTAATTAATAACGGAAAACTATAATTTAGTTAATAGGAACATTTACTATGCCGAGACAGACTTTGCCTTTTACTATCACAGAGAGTTTTATAGACTCAGAACTAATGTGTTTTTCCTAATGTCGGACAGACAGTCACATACGAGTGCACATCCACTCACTCGATTTTATATTTTCAGTTCCATCGATATTAGCCAAAATGTATCCACTTACAGATTAAAATTTGTATGACTTTATATAGATGTATAATAAATGTAATAGATTAAATAACTATACAATTGAAACACTTTTACAAAAAGAACAATGCGATACACGATATGGAATCAAATTTATTGAGAATGTTTATTACAAATTATATACATAGCGCATATGAATTATTATTCAATATTTTTATACCCAATTCGTCTTCCAATAATCTTGAGAAGAAGTTAACAAACCGAATATAGATCATGCAAAATATAAAATTATTTAACACATTCCCTTTACTATAAATAAATAAAAACAATACGTATTAAGCGACACGTTGAAAATAGACATAAAAATATTATAACAGCTTAAATAAAATATCTTTGTTAATACAATACTTTTAAAAAACTAATTTTACAAAATTAACAATATATTTATGTTTTATAATGAACAAGAGTATTATAAATATAGATAATTTAAAACGCAGTTGCCCGATAAGAAGTTAATTGACAAATATGTTCGCAAAACAGTCATCATTATAATTTCGTACCATTTCGTTTCATGTTACATTAAAAAAGCAGTGTGAATAATTATTCATTAGATGACTCTTTTCTACACTGTACCGATTTAAATGATTCGTCCTTGTCAATACTTTAAGAAACGAATCAATATCTTCATTATTCGTATCAGCAGAGAGAAAGTTGCTTGATGGTGACATATCAAAAAGATTGTGATAATCATGTACAATATTTGAAAATTTTCTCAGAATTATATAACAATAACAATTACTGAATTAATCAATAATAATATAAATTCTTGTTTATACGAGTATGTAAAATGTTTTATGTGAAAAATAACTATTAAAGTACCAATAATAAATGATTTTAAAAAATACTTAAAAGTATTTATAAAAAATATGGAAAATAAAAATTTCGCTCGGTCGCTTAATATGAAGATATTTAAAAAATTATGAGCTTGCAACACAATCGATACATTTATAAGTTTGTGTTATATCGCTTGAGGTTAAATAAAAAAAGAAGTGTTAATAATTACGCATATATTCAGTCCAATTATCTTTTTCAGTAAACTCCACAGTCCTATCGGTATTTAAATCGGAATCAACATTCTCAACGTCAGTTCTCGAAGTATTACAAGTTGGCTGCTGATTGCTGCTTAACGTTGAACTATCTACATTGTTTCCATCACCAAGAAAAAGATTGTGTACTATTTCTGTTACGCTGGAATAATTAACAGCACAATTCTATGAATTAGTTAAAGTTATAAAATCTTGCTTGTATCATGTGCATAATGCATAGTTATTGAATAGACACTATTGATATTAACTTTACGATTTTATTATATAAACACTTCTCGCTGTCAACTTGAAGTACATTCATATAAATGAAACATATATATAAATAGTATTAACATACGACCATTTATAATCGGTTATTTAATATTATTAATATAAAACCTGTGATACACGTTTTAAACTAAAATAAATATTTAATTAACTAAATTTTTACAAATTATAATTTCAAGAAATGCAACAGAGCAAATCTGGCTCGAAAGTATATTTTATTAAAATATTAACTAACTGAGATAAATTGACGTGAATATAAATATATATGTACTAAACACATTTTAAACAATTGAATTTTATTTTCTTATTTATTATAATCAACTCTGTTCATTCTACACAAATGTACGTATATATGATAAATAACAATATAATTAATTTAGTGGAATTCTTCTTACCCTGTTGGTATAAATTTCGGAAGCACGATGACTCGATGAGCTTCGACTAAATGTACCATTTTATTAAAAATATCAGATTCTTTAAATTGATCGCAAATGTCACATTTCTTAATTATATCAAGTCGCTGGTTTACCCAGATTTTGAGTTTATTAGCTATATTTTCGTTAAGCTCATGTCTACTTGTCAAGTGTTTTTGCACATTCGTACTTGGATTCAAGAATGGCATATAAATTTGAGAACAATAATTACATTTTACTCCGTTGATTTCAATAAAAGTAAAGTTATGTTTTTCTAATGGATTATATGAACGAGGATGTGAAGTTGACCCATGCGCAATAATACTGAATCGGTGTGCAATGATATATTCCTTGTTGCAAATATTACATATTTCATTCTCCGTATCACTTCTCAAATAATACCACATCCATGTACAATCCTCTAAACTGTATAAAATAAAAATACAAATTGTATGAAATAATTAATATTGTAATGTTTGCTTGTTGAGTAATGTGTACAGTATAATATATAAATATTCACTTACGACCATTTTTGACCGGTTATTAACATTATAAACACTAATTCACAATTTGTACTAAACTAAATACTTAATTTAATAAATGATTATAAATTACCGATTACAGAAATACAACAGAGCAAATCTGGTCGAACGTATATTTCAATATAAAATATTAACTAACTCAGACAAATTGACGTGAATTTCAATATATATGTAATAAACACATTTTAAACAATTGAATTTTATTTTCTTATTTATTATAATCAACTCTGTTCATTCTACACAAATGTACGTATATATGATAAATAACAATATAATTAATTTATTGGAAATTCTTCTTACCCTGTTGGTATAAATTTCGGAAGCACGATGACTCGATGAGCTTCGACTAAATGTACCATTTTATTAAAAATATCAGATTCTTTAAATTGATCGCAAATGTCACATTTCTTAATTATATCAAGTTGCTGGTTTACCCAGATTTTGAGTTCATTAGCTATATTTTCGTTAAGCTCATGTTTACTTGTCAAGTGTTTTTGCATATTCGTACTTGGATTCAAGAATGGCATATAAATTTGAGAACAATAATTACATTTTACTCCATTGGTTTCAGTAGGAGTAAAGTTATTATGTTTTTCTAATGGATTATATGAACGAGGATGTGAAGTTGACCCATGCGCAATAATACTGAATCGGTGTGCAATGATATATTCCTTGTTGCAAATATTACATATTTCATTCTCCGTATCACTTCTCAAATAATACCACATCCATGTACAATCCTTTAAACTGTATAAAATAAAAAATACAAATTGTAAGAAATAATTAGTATTGTAATGTTTGCTTGTTGAGTAATGTGTACAGTATAATATATAAATATTCACATACGACCATTTTTGACCGGTTATTTTATATTGTAAACACTAATTCACAATTTATACTAAAGTAAATACTTAATTAAATAAATTGTTACAAATTACCGATTACAGAAATACAACAGAGCAAATCTGGTCGAACGTATATTTCAATATAAAATATTAACTAACTCAGACAAATTGACGTGAATTTAAATAAATATGTAATAAACACATTCCTAATGATTGAATTTTATTATCTTATTTATTATAAACAATTCTGTTCATTGCACACAAATGTACGTATTAATGATAAATAACAATATAATTAATTTATTGGAAATTCTTCTTACCCTGTTGATATAAATTTCGGAAGCACGATGACACGATGAGCTTGGACTAAATGTATCATTTTATTAAAAATATCAGATTCTTTAAATTGATCGCAAGATTCGCATTTCTTAATTAAAAGAAGTTGGTCGTTTACCCAGATTTTGAGTTCATTAGCTATATCTTTGTTAAGCTTATGTTTTTTTGTCAGGTGATAGTGAGAACTAGTATATGCCTTATTACATATATTGCATATGTCATACTCCGTACTCTCATCTCTTCTCAAATAATACCACATCCATCTATTGTTTATGGAGCTATATAAAATAAAAAATACAAATTGCTGGAATAATTAATATTGTAATGTTTGATTGTTGAATAATGTGTACAATGTATAATTCCTGATAACAAATCGAAACTAATATTATTAATAAGATTTTATTATCTACTTAAACTTTAACTCCTTTATTTAAATTTAAATTTTCAGTATTTTTAAAAACGTAAAAGATTATCCAAATTTGAATATGTATACCTTATTAAAAATTTGAATTACACATGTGTTTATATCTATAAAGAATGTCACAAATTATCGATTATAAAATTTCTAAATATAATAACATGCAAATTTATATTATTAAAAAAAACAAATAGGAAGAGAGTCTGTATCTTCAAAAATATTAATTATAAAAATTAGTTAATTGGACTTAAAATATAATTTATAATCACATAAATATAATTTATAATCACAAATAATTTATAAAATATAATTTATAATCACATAAATTACAAATAATTTCAAATAAAATAAAATGTACCGTCACATTTATTTTTAATAATGTTATGTTTATGTATTTTATTTATAAAAATTGCATTAATTTTATATATTACTTTTATTGCAGTCAATGCAAATCGAATGAGTCCACTAATTATATAAAAAACAAAAAGATTCAATATTTGTTTAAATGTTATTAATACAGTCATTAACACAATACTTTTAAGAAATTGTTCTTGCATGACAAATAATAAATTTATATTTATATAATAATTTGGCGTGTCTTGAGCTCCAATAGTTAACACAACGAGAATTATGTATTATTTTGTTATATATACCTATTTTTAAATGTTTCTTTCGTAAAATACGAAAATTGATGTTTTTTTAAAAATGTGAAAATATCACAGAAATGAACAACCTTAACTATATTTTATTCTAGCATTATAATCAATTTGATAACTCAAAATTTGCGAATGTTAATAAAAAGTGCACTTAAAAATTTTTAAAGTTCAAAATTTTATATAATTAATCCTCTCATCAATCCTCGCCAAATTCAATAATACCAATTATTCTTACGCATCCATATTTTATGTTAGGTTTAAAAATAAAAGGAAAACACTTTGTCGCATATAAAGCAGCAATTAAAAACAAATATTTATTACAATAAATAAAGTAAGTAAAATATTTAATTAATTTATTAATAGTAGGATGACTTGACATACACATTGGAGGAATCTGTAACCTACGAGAAATACATATCCATCTGGTGAACGAAGACTTTGCCAATACGTTCGGGCATGTGATTACAGCATTTGATATCTTAGCTATGGAGCATCATAATGCATGCCAGCCAATTTAGCATTTACCAATTGGTTCTCGAATGCAGCACTTGACGTGACAGAAGAATAATGAATTAAATATGCTGTGTGCCCGTTTTTACGCGTAAATAAACGAAGATTTGATCACATTTGTAAACTGTGAGATTGCATTATAAAAAGTGTAAAATTATTCTCAAATATTTCGAGTAAAGTCATCCGTTTATCGCGCAACTACTATATAAAAAAACATGTATGATTAGAGTACAAAGAATATTACACTTTCTATTGCAATCAAGAAAATATCATTGCCATTTATGATTATGTAATTGCAATGTCGCTTTTGCATTAGTTTTAAAAATTGATTATACAATTTATTATATGAATGTATAAAATCTAAAACATTTAATATACACGAAATTAAGAGAGCTTTACTTTTATTTAACAACTGGACACTTTATTTATATGTAGCAAAAGAAAAAGTCATATAGCGCTGCATATATTTTTCACTTTTCCCAATTTCTACGGCTATGCATAACAGCTCGATTGATGGTAAAATATCAGAATGCTGTCCAATTAATTTTATTATATTTTTAATTTACTAAACAAAATACGTGTACATACATGAGTATATACATACATGGAATAATCATGTAAAATATACAATTATTTAATACATTTTCTTTACTATAAACAATTCAAAAACAAGTACGCATTAAGCGACGCGTAGAAAACGAACACAAAAAATATTATATTTGCTTAAATAAAATATTTTTGTTAATACAATACTTTTAAAGATCTAATTTTACAAAATTGATAATAAATTTGTGTTTTATAATGAGCAATTTCTTATAACAAAAACTAAAGTATTATAAGTATAAATAATTTAAAACGCAGTTGCCTGATAAGTAGTTGATTAACAAAATATGTTCGCAAAACAGTCATCATTATAATTTTGTACTATTTTGCTTTATGTTACATTAAAAAAGCATTGTAAATAATTATTCATAGAATGACATCGGATGACTTTTTTCTCCATTACATCCAAATAACTTATCCACTTCGATGTTATAAATAGAATCAATTTCCTCACTATCAGCAGAGGGTGCAATATCTTCAAAAATAATAGCAAAATATTTGATAATTTTCACAGAATTATAACAATAGCAATTACTGAATTAATCAATACCAATATAGATTCTTGTTTCTATAAGTATGTAAAATGTTTAATGTGTAAGACAACTATCATCCAAGTACAAATAATAAATAATTTTAAGAAAATATTTTTAAAAAGTATTTAAAAAAATATGGAAAATAAAAATTTTGCTCTGTCGATGCTTGATAATTGATTTTTTAATTATCTATAGATAATTAAAAAATTATGAGTTTGCAACACAATCGATACATTTATAAGTTTGTGTTATACCGCTTTATGTTAAATCGAAAAAGAAGTCTAATAATTACGTATATAATCAGCCCAAATATCTTCTTCAGTAAACTCCACTGTCTCATCAGGATTTAAATCGGAACCCACATTCTCAACGTCAGTTCTCAAAGTACTACAAGTTGGCAGCTGATTGCTGCTAGACGTTGGAATATCTGCGGTGTTCCTATCACGATGAAAAAGATTGTATAATTTTTCTGATAATGTGCTAGAATAATTAACAGTACAATATTATGAATTAGTCAAAGTTATAAAATTTTGCTTGCATCATGAGCATAATGCATAATTATTGAATACAAACTATTCATATTAACTTTACGATTTTATTATATAAACACTTCACGCTGTCAGCTTGAAGTACACTCATATAAATGAAACATATATATATATATATATATAGTATTCAAATACGACAATCCTTGTTCGGTTCTTTAATATTATAAGTGTTGATTCACAATTTATATTAAAATAAATATTTAATTAAATATTTTAATGGACCGATTTATTTTAAGAATTCCCAACTGCAAAGCAGAGACATCTCATTTTAAATGTAGATAAAGTTGATCAGTTTTAAATTGGCAATTTTTAAATTTAATCAGCCGATTAAAATGCAGGACAGAGATGATATAATTGGCCCATAATCTCATAAATTGGTGTTACCTTTCCTTGACATCTGACATATACTTATCAGTATCACCATATGAGGAAAAGCTCGTTGATGGCGAAATATCTGAAAGATTGTGATAATCATCTACAATATTTGATATTTTTCACAGAATTATAACAATAACAATTACTGAATTAATAATCAATACCAATATAAATTCTTATTTATATGAATATGTAAAATGTTTTATGTGTATAATAACAATTAAATAATATTTAATTTTAAATAAAATATTTTCAAAAATATTTAAAAATATTAAAAGAATAAAAATTTCGCTCGGTCGCTTAATATGAAGATATTTAAAAAATTATGAGCTTGCAACACAATCGATACATTTATAAGTTTGTGTTATATCGCTTGATGTTAAATAAAAAAAGAAGTGTTAATAATTACGCATATATTCAGTCCAATTATATTTTTCAGTAGACTCCACAGTCCTATCGGTATTTAAATCGGAATCAACATTCTCAACGTCAGTTCTCGAAGTATTACAAGTTGGCTGCTGATTGCTGCTTAACGTTGAACTATCTACATTGTTTCCATCACCATGAAAAAGATTGAGTACTATTTCTGTTACGCTGGAATAATTAACAGCACAATTCTATGAATTAGTTAAAGTTATTAAGTCTTGCTTGTATCATGTGCATAATGCATAGTTATTGAATAGACACTATTGATATTAACTTTACGATTTTATTATATAAACACTTCTCGCTGTAAACTTGAAGTACATTAATATAAATGAAACATATATATAAATAGTATTCACATACGACCATTTTTGACCGGTTATTTAATATCTGAAACCTGATTCACGTTTTAAACTAAAATACATATTTAATTAACTGAATTTTTACAAATTACAATTTCAAGAAATGCAACAGAGCAAATCTGGCTCGAAAGTATATTTTATTAAAATATTAACTAACTGAGATAAATTGACGTGAATATAAATATATATGTACTAAACACATTTTAAACAATTGAATTTTATTTTCTTATTTATTATAATCAACTCTGTTTATTCTACACAAATGTACGTATATATGATAAATAACAATATAATTAATTTATTGGAAATTCTTCTTACCCTGTTGGTATAAATTTCGGAAGCACGATGACTCGATGAGCTTCGACTAAATGTACCATTTTATTAAAATATCAGATTCTTTAAATTGATCGCAAATGTCACATTTCTTAATTATATCAAGTTGCTGGTTTACCCAGATTTTGAGTTCATTAGCTATATTTTCGTTAAGCTCATGTTTACTTGTCAAGTGTTTTTGCATATTCGTACTTGGATTCAAGAATGGCATATAAATTTGAGAACAATAATTACATTTTACTCCATTGGTTTCAGTAGGAGTAAAGTTATTATGTATTTCTAAGCGATTATATAAATTAGGATGTTTTGACACATGCAAATTCATACTGCATCGGTGTGCAATGATATATTCTTTGTTGCAAATATTACATATTTCATTCTCCGTATCACTTCTCAAATAATA